GACCACCGCCATCGAGTGCCACCGACAGGGCCACGACGTCGCCATCTACGAGAACTTCCCGGAGCTCAAGACCCTCGGCGACATCATTTCGTTCGGCGCCAACGCCGGGCGCATCTACCACCGGTGGTCGGACGGCAAGATCGCGCGGCGACTGCGCGAGCTGTGCATCGATCTGTCGAGCTACGGCTTCCGCATCCACAAGTACGACTCGGGCGAGGTCGTCTACCACCAGCCGCCCCCCAAACAAAACCCGGAGGCCCCGGCCCTGAACGGCCACCGCGGCGAGCTGCATGAGGTGGTCTTCAAGTACGCACGGGATGAGCTAGGTATCCCGATTCATCTGGGTCAACCTGCGGTGGAGTACTTTGAGGATGAGAACCAGGCGGGGATCGTGCTGAAGAGTGGTGAGCGCGTGGTTGCGGACCTGGTGATCGGCGCGGACGGCGTAAGATCCAAGGCGAGGGAGTTGGTGCTGGGATATGTTGATAAGCCGAAGAGCAGCGGATATGCTGTGTGGCGGGCATGGTAAGGATCGTATCTTATTCCGAATGTGGCGTGAGGCAAGCTAACAGGGGCTGATCTACTCAGGTTCTCCAACACCGACATGATTAAGGACCCACGCACGCGTGAGTTCTGCGCCAACGGCGACACCTTCAACGGCTGGATCGGTCCCGACGTCCACTTCCTATTTAGCACACTCAAGGGCGGAAAGGACTGTTGCTGGGTGTTGACGCACCGCGACGAGCACGACATTGACGAATCGTGGTCCTTCCCCGGGAAGCTTGAAGATGTCTACAAGGTACTTGAAGGCTGGGACCCCGTTTGCCGCGCCATTGTCGAAAAGACTCCCAGTGTCGTGGACTGGAAGCTGGTATACCGCGACCCCTTGCCGACGTGGGTGAGCAAACATGCAAGGATCCTGCTGGTTGGTGATGCCGCACATCCGTTCCTGCCAACCAGCGCACAAGGAGCGACGCAGGCAATGGAAGATGGCGTAACAATCGCCGTGTGTTTGAAGAGGGCCGGTAAGGGCAACGTACCAGCTGCCGTACGGGTGCATCAGGAACTTCGGTACGTATCCCGGCTGGTTCTTCTCTTTTCTTCATACTAACAGGAAGACGCAGTTACGAACGTGTTGGCGTTGTGCAAAAGACCGGCGAGACCACACGCGATAGGTGGCACAAGACGGACTGGAAGAAGGTGGCCAAGGACCCCAAGAGCATCGCTTTCCCTCGCGAGGACTGGATCCACCAACATGACGCCGAGAAACATGCCGAGGAAGGGTTCGAGGAGATCTTCAAGAAGGTTACGCAACCGGAGCTATTCCAGGATGTCAAGCTGCTACCTGTTGGCCCTATAGCCGTGGCAGTATGATGATGCATGCTACACGCGATGACCCGTACAAGTAGCCTTAGAGCCAGGGGGTTTGGGGTCATAAAGAAGTAGAGGTGGTCCGTCATGTGGATCTTATTAGAGGAAGATGGGAGTCAAGTGCATCAAGAGAATTTATTTTAGTATCAGGAAACCTAAACGCGTTTCCACACATACCCTCGAACCACTCCAGTGATCGTGGTCCTCTTGGTGTGTGGTCAGTGGTGTCGACCGGATTGTGGTTATAAAAAGGGATAATGAGATTTGCTTGTCAGCCGAGTTGCACTCCCCGAAAGCACGAAGAAAAGGAACGGATGAACCGCTGCTGTTCACAATTTAATGGTCCAAAACAGCAGGAAATAATATAAAAATCATAGCTGCAAGTGCTAACTCAGGTTTCATGTATTCTAATGCAAGCGACAAGGTATTCCCAAGATACCTAACATACTGTAAAGACCCTCTGGGTCAGAACTTGGGCATCATCTTCCCACCGGCAAAGCCTACCTAGTTGACTTAATCCTCATCTATCCTCATAATAATACTCTTGGTCTCCAGGAAGTTGTTCATGCTGTACAACCACCCCTCCCTGCCCTGACCACTGCTCTTGTAGCCTCCAAACGGCAGATCCAACCCCGTCAAAGGGCTGGTGCAGTTGATGCCAACATACCCGCTCTCCAACGCTTTGGCCACCCGCATCGCCCGGCCGACATCGCGCGTGAATACGGACGCATATAGCCCAAACTCGGTATCGTTGGCCTTGGCAATGGCCTCGGCCTCGGTCTCGAACGTGTTGATGATTACCACGGGGCCGAACACCTCCTCCTTGGTGATGCGCGCCGTCTCGGGGGTATCCAGGAACACGGTGGGCTGGATGAAGAAGCCCTTGGTGCTCTCAAACGTTCCTTGGCCGCCTAGCGCCAACGTGCCGCTCTTCTTGCCCTCCTCGATGTAGTTCAGCACGTTGCGATACTGGACTTCGTCGGCTTGCGGGCCGTGCTTGGTTTCTGCATCCAGGGGATTCCCGGCGCGGGCACCTGCAAACTTGGTCTTGAAGGCCTCGATGAACTGCGGCGCGATGCTCTTTTGCACGTAGATGCGCGAGTTGGCCATGCAGACCTGCCCGCTGTTGGTCTGGATGCTGAACTGCGTCTGGGCGACGGCCTTTTCGAGGTTGGCGTCCTCGAAGACGAGGGCGGGTGACTTGCCGCCCAGCTCGAGAATGACCTTTTTGAGGTTGGTACGCGCCGCCTCTTCTTGGATCAGCTTGCCTGTACGGCTTGACCCCGTAAAGCTCAGAGCGCGGACGTCCATGTGGCGGGATAGGATTTGCCCCGAGGGTAGACCGTGGCCAGAAATGATGTTGAAGACGCCTGGTGGGAACCCCGCTTCGATGACGAGCTCGGCAATGCGGGCAGAAGACAGGGGCGCCTTCTCACTGGATTTGAGTACCACAGTGTTGCCTGTGATGAGGGCGGGCGCAGCCTTAGAGGCGAGAAAGTGGATCGGGGCGTTCCAGGGGATGATGAGCGCCACGACCCCATAGGGTTGCCGGAGCGTCATGGTAACAAGCCCAGGCGTATTGACACTCGCCTGCCCCTGGATGTTCCCCCAGGCCTCGGCGTAGTGATCAAAGTTAGTGGAGGCGGTATGAGCGTAGTGGTGAGTCGAGACAGGCATGCCCATTGAAATAGCGTCCAGTCGCGCAAGCTCATCTTTGTTTTCCCGGATCAGGGCCGCTAGCTTCTTCAAGTGCACGGCTCGCTGTGACCCTCCAATGGCTGACCAAGACGGGAATGCTGCTTTTGCCGCTGCCACGGCGGCATTAGTATCATCGGCGCTCGCTTCGGGGACTAGGCAGGTGTCAGTGGTGACGGCTCTCGTTTCTCTCGTGAGTGGGTGAGCACTTCGCGGGACGGGGACTAACCATGGGCTGAGATTTCCTGTGTTGCTGGGTTGTAAACTGTGAAGGTCTTGCCATCCGATGCCTCGACAAGCTAAGTTGTTTTGTCAGTCTCCTTCTTGGAGGCTCGGGTGTGAATATCTCGTTACCTCTCCATTGATGAGCATCCGGGGACGGATAGGGGCCGCTTCTGCCATCTTGCCAAGCTTCGACTTTCTATCTTGCTCCAAAGGCGATGTCTTGAATTTCTTGACGGGAGAAGAATGGAATCAACAACGAATGACTTTGATGAGACCAAAATGTGCCTGCCTACGTAAGATCGGTACTTATTAACTCTCAGCTGGATACCGATTGACCTCAGCCCCAGAAATGCAGCACGCCCCACGTCAGCGAGCAATACGCGTGCGAGTGCGTATAAAAACGTGGGAAGAACCAACCCCGCTCCCCAGTCCCCTGACGTCGACAACCGGCAGGGGCCGAGTAGCAATGTGGGGCCCCAGCAGGTTCCAGGTCCCGTTCCGCGCCATCTTCCGGCAGTTGCTGCACACATGCATGTAATGCCATATCACAAGCAACCCCGCAGTTGCTGTCGAGATGTTGAAGACAGAGGAAACGCCGACAGGGGATTGGGCGGAAAGCTTTACCCGTGGAGCATTCCCGCGTCTGTGGGGACGCCAAGGAGGTCCCGTTGGTGGTTCAAGCAGATGTGGATGCGACAGTTGCCGCTGATCCGAGACCTGGGAAAAGCCATGCGGTGTCCATCTTGAGGTTTACAAGTGAGTTGAGGATTGTTGAACACCACGCGTAATATGAGTTGGTTATTTGGGATTGTCACAATCCCGAGTATGCTTCTAGGTTATTATGTCGGCCTCGAAAAGCGAAACAGACAGTGAGACAGTCAAGTTACCCCCAGGCGCCAGGGCCAGACCCCAGGGTTTGCCGATTCGAGGATGAAGAGCCATGCGTTTGTAGTATTCGCCATCGCAAGTGCCGAATTTGGAGAAGAGCCTGTCATCGATGCACGGATGGAACTCGGAATGTCGTTTCCTATCCCCGAGATGCCCTCCTCACTAAACACCATCCGGTCGTGGTCCTCGTGTGTCCCTGGGACTGACGATTCTCCCTCCTCTGCCCAGCTGCACAACTCAGAAACGATTGCGAGTTATTAGCCGATATATCAATAGCCGATATAGCTTGTATAGGGCTACAATAACACCTCCTCACCCTCTTCATTCCACCCATCCTTCCCTCCGACAACCACAACACCGTCACCCACAAACTCGTGAAGTACCAACACCACCATCAACCATGGCCGAAACCACACCAAAAGGCACCATCGCCATTGAAGAAGCCGGTGCTCAACCCCGCCGGCCTCTCATGGATCGCCGAGTCCGCAGCCCTCTTCAACCCCAGCCAAGCCACCACCACCACCACCACCACCACCACCTCTCCCACCTCCACCCCCCAACCCAGCCAAAAGCTCAACCAACTCCTCCTCGACATCCACAACGAGCGCCTCAACCAAATGGACGCCCACGGCGTCGAGTACATGCTCCTCAGCCTGACCTCCCCCGGCGCACAAGGCGAAGCCGACCCCGCCAAGGCACGCACCCTCGCCGCCGAGGCCAACAACTGGCTGGCGGCGCAGGTGGCGCAGAACCCGGCGCGGTTTGGGGCCTTCGCGGCGGTGTCGATGCACAGCGCTGAGGATGCCGTTGCTGAGGCGACAAGGGCGGTTAAGGAGCTGGGCATGTTTGGGGTCATGGTGAATGATTATCAGGTTGTGAATGAGGGTGGGGATGGGGAGGGGAAGCGGTACTATGATGAGGCGGCGTATAGGCCGTTTTGGAAAGCGGTTGAGCAGTTGGGCGTGCCCGTGTATTTCCATCCGCGGTATCCGCCGGCGAAGGACCTACTGCCGGGGACGAAGTATGGGGAGAGGAAGCACATTCTGGGTGCGGCGGTGCAGTTTCACTTGGATTTGAGCATGCATTTGTATGCGCTGTGCTCGAGTGGGGTGTTCGATGAGTTTCCCAAACTGCAAGTCGTGGTTGGGCACCTGGGGGAGGGGTGAGTTCAAGTTGAGTCCCAAGGATAAGGGGGCTGATTGCTGACGGTGTGATAGGATCCCGTTCAACCTCGTGAGGGCAGATCACTGGTTCAATAAGCCCGTGAAGAAGGCCACGAGACCGTCCAAGGAAGACTACAGCTACTATTTTACTCACAATATCTCCATCACCACATCCGGCAACTTCAACACGGCCGCCCTAAAGTTCTGTATTGATCAGATTGGTGTCGAAAGGTGCCTCTACTCGATAGGTATGAGAACACCCTCCCATGGTTCGAGGCCCAACCTGACTACCGTTAGATTATCCGTACGACACAATTGCTGAGGCTCAGGGGTGGTGGCATGGTGTCGAACTACCAGAGGACAAAAAGAAGCTGGTTGCACGGGAGAATGCCATCAGACTCTTCAAGCTTCCGTTGGAACCTTAGGGGTGTGGCTTTTACTTAGCCTGAGCTATCGTCGTCGCCCTGTTTGTCGGTGCATGAGGCCGCGTTAGGGACCCTACAACTTTGCCAGAAGTATACAATGCCGCCTACACCCCTTGATATGTAGTTCGTATCGAGTAAGAGCACATGGTAGTAGCGCCCGAGACGGCATGTATTGTTTGTGTTCATGCAACGGAAAAAAGCTGTGACCCCCGGAACGCCGCATGTACCCCGTGCTGCCATTAATCATACAGTCATACCCCATGAATATTAACGTGCTTGTATTGGCTCCGCCCTCCGTCCGTATCGAGATTCTCTAGGCTCGTGGAGTTGAGCTGACGCTCGTCGGTTGTGTCAAATCTGGCAGCGTAATGATTTTGGTCGCCGCGGATAAGTACGCGCAGAATGGGAATAGAGGCAGCAATGATGGTGATGGAGCCTTCTGCACCACCCCATATGGTAACAGCTACACTGTCGGCTGTTTGTGGTCAGAAGGGGCGCTGAAAAGGGTCAGAGAAGGTATGCATACTTGGATCTCCCGTAAGGTTGGGCAGCATGACAAGCTTGACGAAGGACGCGGCGCCAGCACTATAATTCGTGTCAGCGAGTCTATCATCCGTGGCCAGCATTGAGGGAACAGTCGTACACAACACCCATGCTCATGGCAAGAGCGATACCCAATCTTTCCTTGTTGCTTAGTGACTGGCGCATACCAAATAGTATGCCCCAGGGCAACAGCGCGAGGATAACGTCCGCGGAGCCGGACCAGCCTAGCCACATTCACACTCATCAGCTAGGTAACTATCTTAGCGGTATTACCGGGTCGGCGAAACTCACCAGCAGACCACTGAAACAAGATGACGATCTTGTTCGGGTCGATGCACCAACCGTCGAGACTGCTGTCCCATACTTTGGCGAATGGTTGACACTTGATCCACATAAACAACATGGCGGTCCCCATGATGGCGTTCATGGTAATCATGATGAACCAGATAACGGCCTTCATCTAACTCTCGCTCAGTCTGAGCAGGGTCAAGGCAAAGGAGGTCTTGCTCTAGGCGGCGGCAAGAATCTGAGAAAAAGCTAGCAAAGACTGGCGACGAACGGCATCTTGGGAAGGTTTTCGGGCCGCATATCGTACAGGTTCTTTCCGTAGTCAAGGCTGACGCAAACCGAAGTGGTGGCAGCCGAGACACCCAGTGACACCTGGGGCCTGGTAAGCTTCAACCATAACTAGGCGACTACATGTATCAACACGTCGATTGGGGGTGATCCTACCCATGATGCAATCAGAAGATGGTCGTCCCACCATAGGGTCCGGCCCACGGAGGAACTTGCAGTAGAGTCGTAAAGCCAGGAAAAAAGTGGCGAGTGAGGTGAGCAACCAAAAGACGGTGTTAAGCTGCGGGCCGAGATCTTCGTGGATCAACCCGTCGTCCGCTGGCTGGGCGAATGAGGACTGCCTCGCTACCAGCCGGTGTGTCCCCATGTCGCAATGTCCGAAAGCGGCCGAGGCGGGACTCGCGGGAGAGACACATAAGAGCCACACCGTGGCCTATAGCATCAAAGGGGGGGATTGACCGGGAACCTTCATGTAGGATCCACCACCAGTCCATAGCAGTTTGGGAGAGAAATAATAAAAGACGGTCAAACAACCGTGGGTCTCTGGGGGTACCGCTGGCTTCAAAAACAAAACGCTCGTCGTGGAGATGAGTTTGGCCGGGTCGCTCGGGGTCGGAGGAGACATGACCGAGAACGAGAAAGCCACCCCCCCGTGGCGGCGGGGTTTCCTGTTCCATTCGAGGACCAGCCCTGTGCTAGCGAAATCCTCTGGCGAGATGGAGAACAGCGGCCGTTAGCGAACGAGCTCCTAACCCAAAGTTGCTGTCATGGCCGAGAAATCCCGTTGCGCACGGACACACCGAGACAGTTACTGGAGACGAGGGACTTGGCAAGGCTTAACCCCCTGCCTCTCTCACAGAACTTTGCGTTTGGCGGTGGGCCGTCTCAGCTGGTCCCTTTCCTGGGTGATGTGATAACCCCATTCATGTAGCCACCACAGATCATATGGAAAGCCAAAAACTGTGTTGATAAAAGAATTGTGGTGTGGTCAATCGAATCAGTTGTAGTTTCGTCGAAAACTCATGAACATCGACGCCGTTGTTGTTGGCTGACGGACTCTATCCCCTGCACCCATGTGGCCTTCAAGGGTTTCGTCGGAGTTTCGTGTGTCATGGCAGTGTGTCTGGGTCTTTTTTCCGTCGCAGAACCGTCACAGCGCACAGATGTCTTTTGGAGGAGCGGGTCATGGACGCACTAGTTAGGGGAGTCAACGTCATCGAATTCCGACGGTCAAGCCCTCGCGGATTTCAGTTGCAAGGACAGATTTGTCGTATCGCCAGGTTCGTTTTGTGCGTCTGGTTGGCAAGACCGGCAGCGCTAGCAGCTTTTGGTAAGACAATGGCGATCAAGAGCTGCCAGCAGGGTCACAGCACTCAAACAAGGGGGTACCCTACCCGAGTACGAAGCAGGTGTCTCCAAAGATCACCGCTGAACAAAGCGTTGGGCAGACGACTCACCTGCTCCGGATGGCTGTTCCTTTGCCACGCTAGCGAAGACCGAATGCACTAAAGGCGCGGGGAAAAGAAAAAAAAGAAGAGTGAAAGAAAGAGTGAAAGAAAAAGGGAAAGAAAAAGGGAAAGAAAAAGGGAAAGAAAAAGGGAAAGAAAAAGGGAAAGAAAAAGGGAAAGAAAAAGGGAAAGAAAAAGGGAAAGAAAAAGGGAAAGAAAAAGGGAAAGAAAAAAAAAACGGAAAACAAAAAGTAGAAAAGGGCAAAGGAAAAACAGAAGAGCGTAGAGAAGGGCAAACAAAAAAGATGAAAACGAAATAAAAACGAAAATAGGAAAAAAACAATAACTATGCTTATACCATAGCTGACGTTTTCCCTGCAAAACTAAGGCGTCTAAGCAAGAAAGTATAACGACCACAGCACCCACAAGGTAGCGGTGGTATTGGAGCTGCTACCCACGAATACTAGGCAAATAGTAATTTTAGACCATATAAGGCCACCGGGACCCCGAACGCCAGGCACGCCATTCCCCACGCCAGTAACTCACACCCCCCCATATCCATGTCCAGCCGTAGGATCCATACCGCATCTCCCTCCAGCACCTGCGCGGCCAATCCGCCGCCCGCCTCTACGGCGGGGTGGACTAGAGAGTCCACTGTTAGAGAGAGCCCCCAAAAGATGTACCGGGTGACGATGACCTACCTTCCACCGGGAGGGCGTGGGTGACGGCGGCGGCAGGGGCGGGGGCAGGCACCTCGAACGCCTGGTCAATTTTGGCCCTGATGTTTCGGCGACGGGGTTGGGTGACGGGAGGTGGCTGTGGCGGCCGAGGTACGGCTGGTTGGACGGCGGGGGCTGGCACTGCCGGCGCTGCTGGCGCTGCTGGGGAATGGTGGCCGGCTCTTTTCGTATGAGTGTAAATAATGCTGTTGTTGGAATCGAAGTCAGCAGTGTGAATCGCCTGGCATGGTTGGGCGGTGCTGGGAATGCCCGAAACTTACTAAGGCATTTTGGTTATTTATATCAAGGATGCGTTTGAAGTTGTGACTTTAGTTGGGAACAAAACAGCAGAGTTCAGGACCAGGAAGACTTCAGATGTTATAAAATAGACTCAAGTCCGTCGGCAGGCTCTTTCCATCATTCATGGGGTGTTAATATCGCCCGGGGTTTGATGATGTACCTAGGCAGCCACCCACGGGACATACCTACGTGTACCTAACGAGCTCTAGAAGGGCCCAGAACGGATGGACAGCGAACAAGGACCGTCGACAATAGTTGCTGCCCGTGTGTGAGGGTTTCCAAGTCACTTACCCTAATGCGGTGTGCGTCTGGCGTGACATGACGCATCTTACCCAAATCACCTACGTCAGCGGAACACGCCACCAACAAGCGTGTATAAGAGAGCATTGCTCTTTCCAACTTCCCTTTTTCTGGACTTTCAGGCCCTTCTCCATTTCCCGCTAATAATACCAGCAGCCACGACACCGTGGCAGATCAAACGTATCACGGAACAAGAGACTCAGAGCCATGACGTTTATTCGCCTTCCACGCACTGGGAGGTTTCGGAGCATCAAAGGCAGGAAGTACCAGATACCGGACGTATCGCCTGGTTGCGGCAGTCCTCCTTCCTACCAGAGCCTTGAAGACCCCGCCCCGACTATAACCACAGCTCCGCGGGGGAAAGGCAGCACAGAGACTTCGAAGGGAACTAACAGTTTAGTGCGACAAGAGCACTCTGGCATCTACAATACATACTTCCGTGACGACGACGACGAAGGATGGGAAATCCTGGCCCTAAAGATGGTACCTGACCCCACAGCACGGCTTTACAAAAAGGCACCATGGGCAGCCGTCCTGGAAGTTAAGACTACAGACATTCCTCGTTTGATGCGCGAAGGGTTCTTTTGGTCAGCCGAGAACGTCGTGCCCGAGGCAGGGTTCATGTCTTCAGAGACGAGACCGGCATGGATCGAATTTGGTTTCGTGCACAAACGCACGTGGGTTCTCGTCGACAAGTCCAATCCAAGCCCGACATGGGTGGGACGTCTTGACGTATCTACACCGTCCTACGAAATTCTCCCGAGCTTTCAGGTACAGAGCCTGACAAGCACGAATGTATATGAGGCAATTGCCTGCAATGCGGTGGGGGATATCATTTACGACTATAACTATCGGTTGCCTAAGAGGAACTTTAACTGCATACACGACAATAAACCCCTCCAAGGTTGGTGGCCATGGCCAAAGGAGAAGGAGGACTTTGCAACGTCTGCTGGCCCAGGTCTGAGCTGTGGTGGTGAGCCATCTGCGTACATTTCTATCAGTTGACATTAGCCTTACCAACCGTCGCAAGAGCTCCCCGGGCGTGATAAACGCCATGAACCCGACGAACCCAACAAGCTTTAATCTCGTCATCAACTATCTGATAGTTGCGCCATTCAATAGCATGGGGGCTCTCACAGGTAAACCGGGACTGTATCCAGGCGCTCATAGTGATAAGATACACGGACTAGTTACCGGTCTTTCGAGGGGGCTCGTCTCGCGTCATGCTGCACTAGGACTTGGTGGACACAAGGCAATCCTTATTATCCTTGGGTGGCCGCGGCCGGGTGATGGATCAGATCATGTCACACGTTAAAGGATGCCTTGATCGCAAATCTACACCGACATGGCGGTGAAGTAACAGAAAGGAAAGCCGGTTATTGTCAACGTTAACATAATGACAATCCCCCAACCCATTGTTCGTGGACTGAGAATAACTGTGACCATCTTGACGGCTTCGGGCTTGAAGAAGTATTAGAATGCCATTGCTCACGCGTGTTGAACAGTCGCCGCAGTTGCCGCCCAACAAAACTCAGAAACCCAGGCACTACCCGCAGACTATACCCTGGCGCCTACAGAAGATGCTCGTCAAACCAGTTAACGGCCTGCAGGAAGGCCTGCTCCTTGGCAAACTTCTGCACCTTGACGGACGTATCACAGCGAACGGCGAACCCATGCTCGACCTGCGAGAAGAGGTTGATCTGGTATGGCTTGCCAGCCTCCTTGAGGATCACCTCGGACCGGTGGCGCTTCTCGGCGGGGAAGATGCTGTCGGTCTCAGCGGCCGAAATGGCCAGCGGGCCCGAGATGGCTGCGAGCTCCTCCTCGTCGACAAAGGACGGGTGGGCGACGTAACCGGCGGCGATACCGTCCTTGTAGTGCCGGATGACGTACTAGTCCACGTTGTTAGTCTTTTCCCCTTGGCGTCCCATCCGCAAGCTGCTTCGCAACGCACCTTGGCCCCAAAGCAGTAGCCCACGCCGCCAATCTTCTGGATCCCGTATTCCTCCTTCAGTGCCTTGATCCCATCAAGCACAATGGGGTCAATAGCCTCAGTTGTGTGTGGGTTCTTGCCGTCGGAGCCCTTGGCGATCCAGTCAAAGAGGTTGAAACCGGCGGGGCGGTTGGTGAGGGAGAGCGCGTCGCCATTGTACACGTCGATCATGAGTGTCAGGTATCCGTTGGCGGCGAATTGATCGGCAATAAGCTTGCTATTCTGCCAGATCCCAATGACGTCCGGAATAATCAGAATGCCGGCGCCCTGATGGGCCTTGTCGGCGGGCGGAGTTGCGAGATAAGCGTCGTGCTTGCCAGCGACTCGAACGGCCTTGCCGACGGTGTCACCTCTGGGAATCCAAGGTCAGTGGCATCCCGGGGCGGGGATTCAGTACATGAAGCTAAAACATACTCATGCTTAACGCCAACAGTGCAGCATTGTCCAGGCGGGTTCGAAGCCATAGCGTGATGGTAGGGTTGGATTGGGATGACAATTGGTGCGGGGAAGTTGGCGACTCCTGAGGGGAGATGTGATGTGAACTTTATCTCAATTGGAATAACGGCGGGCCCTTGAGAAAAGGGAAACAAAGTTCGCAATCGGATCGCTGCTTCGGGGTTGTTGTGCCATACCGGAGCTCCCGGCCGGCAACTGTGCCGCCCGGTGCGACCCCTCTAGGTACCCCGCCATCTGCTGCACGAAACCACGAAACATACCCCACCAGTTCCGTCATCAGGGAATTAACCTTGCCAACCCCTCGCCCCGACAACACAAGTTAACCACTCCCGAGGGCTTCAATTTTCCTGTGGCCACAGGGTTGTGGCACCAACTCAAACCTGAAATGCAACAACCCCAATCGAGGCATCTCGGGTCCGAGCTTCCACTTCTTCTCCGAACACACGCCCTTCCATGTACGACACATCTGGCACCTACCCGATATCGTTGGTGAAGCCTTATCCGACGGCTTTGATGGAGCACCAGCCATTCGATGTACTCCAGGTTGTGATAGAATTTGCTTGTTGTGTGTCTCGGGGGCTCCTGCACCCGAATCGGGGGATGGACATACTTGGGCAAAATCTCATTATTGCCTATTTAGGCATTGATCCTGAACCTTATTTGTAAGCCGCGGGAGAAGCTCAGACAATTGCTGCAAAACACGCTTGGCTGGAGAGCTTGGGCTGCTTGGCTCCCTTCCACGGATGAAAAGGCCGCCGCCGAAAGCCCAGACCATCCTGCGACGAAAAAGTGGATCACCTTCCATCAGTGGCTCGGCACGCCAAGACGGCATGCTGAGACAACGATGCAGGGTTGAATGGAAACCACCGACCACAAAGTTGTCCTTTGTTCATCGTACACCTCACGCCGCGCATCTCCTCCAGTGGCTCGATTCGCCCTGTCAGGTGGATTAAGTCAATGCTCTGACCCTCGTGATGGTCACCTAGCGACCTTTCGCGACCAGTCGACCGAGAACACAGCGGAGCAACATGGAGGTACCGTCGTCTCCGGCGAAGGCCCACGAGCCATCCGATACCTCCAAGGTCGAGCCGGGGAAAGAAACTCACAGGTCAAAAAACCGGAGAAGGAGTAGGAAAGGATCCCAGAATACCGCCGCACACCTTCCCTCCCCGATTTTAACACCAAGCGATCCGCCACCGAGGCAAACCCCCGAGACCATCGTTCCCAGGGAGCGGGCGGTGTCGAGTCCGACTACTGGTGTACCGACACCGGACCCGTCTGGCGAGAGCCAGAGCGATGGCGACCAATTTCGATTGCCTACTCCGCCCGCAAACGCCGCACCGCTTCAGACACTTGGTACAGATCTTGACAATGTCACGAAAACCCGAAGCAGGTCTAACACCAAAACGAGCAACCCCGACGGGGTCAGGCGACTCTCGGCATCCAAAATGCAAGAACTGACCGCCGCACCGGACTCTCTGCCCGTCGCCGCCATCTCAAAACGCATAGTTGGGGACCTCCCGCTGACCGCTGGCATCGTCGAAGCAAGCCGCCGGCTATCAAAGGCAACGGAGGACCACTCGGCCCACGTCGCTCAGGCCGAGTTCCTACGATCCGAGCAACGGGAGAACGGGAGGTTAGCGCAAGGAAGGCCGATGATAAATGGACGCACACTTTCTACGCCACCAATGGGTAGACGGAAGACAACGAGCCAACCCCTAAGTCAGCCTCCGGCTCAGCAATCCTCGCGTCGCAATTCCTTCCAACCAGCCCCGCGGCCGACTGCTCTAGAACTCGACAGCCGAAATACCCACGCGCCGCCCACCGATAGAGCCACCCTGCCGCCGAGGGACAGCAAGGTCGACCCGGTCCCTCCATCCCCGATCGCGCCCACAATTCCCCTCCCGCCCATGTCCATACCGACGTTACTGCAGCTCGAATTAGCCGCCCAGCGACCGAGTCCCCTCTACATCCATCACTCGTACGCGAGTGACATGCCATACGAATCCAGTGCCATCAAATTCGAACGCCTCAAGAACTTCTTGCTTCTTCCGTGGTATCTCGAGAGGGCTATGGCGTTTGGTGTTGCTGCTTGCTTCGACGCCTGGCTTTGGACCTTCACCGTGCTGCCCATGCGATTCTGCATCGCGGCGTCTGTGTTGGTCCGTTGGTGGGCGTATGTCATCGGGAAAGAGTTACGGTGGATGGTGGATTTCGTTTGGTACGGACTGGGGCGCATGTGGCAGCGAGGGCGCCGGGGGCGCGCCTCATCAAGCACAACCGGTCAAGAAAACCGTGCGGAGGAATCGAGGAGCAGAAGCAGAGCCCGAGACGGTCTAGATGGCACAGCGCATGCTTCAGGGGTTGCCGGCGGTAGAGCCGAGTCCGCTTCTCGGCGCCCAGGCAGCCGGCACGTTTCTGGGCCCGGCATGGCTGGCCCGCCGAAGAAGCCGAGTAGCAGACCGTCAGGATTGTTCCGTCACCGTCGAACGAAGTCGAGCCCCTCGAACCTTACATCGTACCACAAAGCCGACCTCCTCCAGGGCGCCATCCTCATCTGCAGCTCCATAGCTCTGATGAATCTTGATGCCAGCCGAATGTACCATTTCATCCGGGCCCAGTCGGCCATCAAGTTATACGCCATTTACAACCTCCTCGAGGTCGGCGACAGGCTTCTTTCTGCCCTCGGCCAGGACATCTTCGAGTGCCTCTTTAGTACCGAGACCCTCTCCCGAAACAGCTCGGGTCGCTCCAAGGTGATGCTGCCACTCGGCATGTTCTTGCTGGCGCTCCTGTACAACGTCCTGCATTCCGTTATTCTATTTTACCAAGTCATTGCGCTCAACGTGGCCGTCAACTCGTACTCTAATGCTCTCCTAACGCTACTGCTGTCGAACCAGTTCGTCGAGATCAAAAGCGCCGTGTTCAAGCGGTTCGAGAAGGAGAATACCTTCCAACTCTCTTGCGCCGACATCGTCGAGCGTTTTCAGTTATGGGTCATGCTTATTATCATCGGCATGCGCAATGTCGTCGAGGTTGGCGGGCTGTCTGTGCCAGGCGCCGGGAGTGAGGACAGCGGGCCGAGCAGCATCCCCCTGCACACGTCATCCATCCTACCAGCCAGCTTCACCATCCTTCCGTCATGGTTATGGTCGGGCGAGGTGCTCTCTCCGTTCATCGTGGTTATCGGGAGCGAGATGGTGGTTGACTGGATCAAGCATGCCTACATCAACAAGTTTAACAATATCAAACCGACCTTTTACGCGCGGATCCTCGACATCCTGTGCAAGGACTACTACACCAACGTAAGCAACCTTTCATATCCGTCTACCCGCTGAACACTGACACTGTAACCAGGCCTTTGTCACTCCCTCCCTAACCCGTCGTCTCGGCCTCCCTCTTCTCCCGCTCTCAACCCTCTTCATCCGCGCCTCGGTGCAAATCTACAACATGTTCCTCGCCACGCACCTGCCCACCCCGCTCCCGCCCACCACCCAAACCTCCCTCTCGGTCGATAACGCGACACCCTCCCCCGCCATGCAAGCGGCACTCAGCCGCATCGACCACCTCATCCGCAACGCGCTAGGCCGCTCCGTCTTCGGCTACCCCTACGCCGCTGACCAATCCGACGGCAAAGGCACGGGCGACATGCCGGGGAGCGGAAACCCCGCGGCGCCAGTGAGCAACATACTCCTACGATGGCTGCCGCCCGTTAGCAGCGACGACGCCATCGCGGCGCTGACCATGGTGGTGGTGTTTTTGCTGATCTTCCTCGTCCTGCTCGTCGTCAAACTGCTGCTGGGGATGGTGCTGCTGCGATACGCGCGCGACCGCTACGCAAGCATGAAGGCCAAGGAGCAGGCCGTGGCGGCGGGCGTGGCGGAGCGCGAGTCGTTTGACGCGCGCGGCCGGAGGGTCGGCGGGTATGGGCAGGTGGAGGTCGGGGAGGACAGGCGGCGGTGGATCTTTGGGGAGGATGTGGAGGGGTTGAGGAAGACGAGGGAGAGGGAGAGGAAGGCGGAGGGGAATGTCGAGAGGGATAAGGAAAAGGATTTTGGGAGGGTTATGAGGTATGAAATGGTGGCGAAACGCATTTGGTAGACGGTTTTTCGGTCTCGCTTTTTTTTTTTTTTTCCATCGTTTGCGGTTTGTTTATTTGCGTTGAGTGAGCATTGCGCGGCGTTATTAGCATACATGCATACGGAGCTTGCATCTTCGTACCAAGCGAGGTGATAATTGAACATCCAACCCACGACTGCGTTCATTCGAGCGCCATCAATCTCCTGGCTATTACCCCTCCTCCTGATCCCTCGCCAACTGGCTCTGCAGCCCCTTCTTACCCACGTGCATCGCCCGCTCAATCTCCCGCTCCTCGTCCCGCAACCGCGCCCGCTCATACTGCACCTTCTTCTCCTGCCGCCGTTTCTCCTCAGCAACAGCCCGCTCCCGCTCCTCCAGCGCCCTCTCCCGCCGCCGCCTCTCCTCGCGCACTTTCTTCGCCGCCTCATCCTCCTGCTCCATAGCCTCCCTCCCCTCCGGCGGCGGCCCCAGACCCTGGATGTACGCCTCGAAAAACGGATCACGCACCTTGGGGTCCAGCGAGATGTACCGCACATCAGCGAGCACCTGCGGTGGGAGTTCGGTCGGCAGGGTCTGGTTGTTGAGCGCCGACAGCGGCACCGCCTCGAGCAGTTTCTTCAAGTCCGACCGCAGCGTCGCCTGCGGCAGCTTCAGGCGGTTGATGTGCTCGCGGTACCACTTCTCGCGGTCCTTGTCCGGCAGCTTGGGGTCGCGCATGGGGTCCTCGCGCTTGTACTTGCGCCGGAACTCGGGCCAGTACAGCTTGGGCGTGGCCCTGGCCTGCAGGAAGGCGAGGTAGGGGATGCGCGGGTCCTTCTTCTCCTCTTTGGCGCGCCGCTCCTTGAGGTCTTGGATCTTGGCTCGCGACCACTCCTCCCACACCTCCCTGCGCGCCTTGGTCGTGGGCAGCACGCCGTACCGCGCGTCGTCGAACACCTTGCCCTCTTCGATCAGCTTCTCCCACGGGCTGTACGGGTTGATGTGGAAGTCGTTGAGCAGGTCCTTGAACAGCTCGCGCGCGTCCTCGTCGGACAGCGGCAGGCCCTCGTCGCCTTCTTCCCAGCCCTCGCCGCCCTCGCCCATCTCGGCGTCGTTGTATGCGTCGTCGTCGTCGGCTCCGTAGTCGGCGCCCATGGCGGCCAGCTGCGCGGCGATGTCCGCTTCGGTGAATTCGGCGGGTCCCTCGTCGGCCGCGGGCTCGTCGGTGCGTTGCCGCTTGCGGGGGTTGCCGTCTTGGTCGAGCTCGTCTTCGGCGCCCTCGTCGTCTGTTACCTCGACCTCTTCGTACTCGGAGCTATCGTAGTCCTGCGCGGCCTCTTGTTGAGATACGTCCGCCGCGGGTTTCTGGGACTCCTTGGCATCTTTGGAGCTTCGCTCTTGTTTTTGTCGTTGCTCGGCCGGCTTCCCCTCGGCCTTTTCTCGAATGCGCGCCTGGTCCAACTCGAGGATCGCGGGCATGAGTTTCTCGGGGATGCGCCAGTAGCTCGCGTTCTTGTCGGGATTGAAGGCGAACCGGCGGCCGTATTTCGTGTAGACGAGTATCCAGGGCTCGCAGCCAGGAATGGCGATCTTGGACCGTGGCTTGTCAGACGGCTGCGGGCGTGGCCTGGGCTGGAACCCTCCCCTGCCTCCCGAGCCATATCCCCCCCGCTGGCCATGTGGTTGTTGGGGTTGTTGGGGTTGTGTGTACTGGGCCATGAAGGCATTGGCAACATTCGGGTCAGATAGGTTGACTTGCGGGACGGTCTGGTGCTGCATGTAGCTGCTCATGGCCGGGTTTGTCGGGTGAGCGACGGGCGCAACAACACCCGGCCGCTTGTATGTCGACTCCTTCGTTTCTGCATTGTAGTAGTATGTGTGTCCGGTCGGTGCTTTGTGTTCGGTCCAGCCAGGGGGTAACGGCTGCAGTGCGGCGGAAGAAGGTTGGTAGGTGGACTTGACCATGGCGGGCGGAAACGTGATGGCATTAAAGCTTGAGTGGTGTTGATGGTTCAGGTTCCATCTGGGACGGCGACACGGACCTGCAGGGTCGCGGGCCTGGAGAAATTTAAGTGGATCCATCAAATGTGAGGCTTGGCGGTATCCATTCCCGAGCTGTGCGAGCCAAATCAACGACACCACAAGCGCCACAACACCACCAAATAATCGTCATCAAAAATGTTACTCTCGAAGCCCGGAATTGGCTGCGCCATCTAAGGTCATAATCGAGTCAATTTGAAACCATTTTCGGTCAACATTGTCGATGTGGTTGATGCAGCACTCCGTGAGGGTAATGATAAGATTGACGCTGCAGGCATCGCCGCATCGGAACCCTGGTCACGAGACGTTGAACTGAAGTTTTGGTGGAAGATGATTTATATGAGGGGCAGATACGCCGTGATGAAGGCCTTCATGAGGCCTCTGTTTACCGTACCGGTAAACTTTATAGTACGATACCAAATGCATGCGCACCACCAGATCCCAGCCAAACACCTTGAACTGTGGAAAGACAACAGCCAACATCCCGTCAAAAATCACCGAGGTCTTTGTTTAATGTTTAATCAGTAGTAACTAGTTACTGCCTGTCGCGGTTAATTAATTAAAATTGCTGGCGTCGCTTCGTTCGTCAGTCGCGCGGCCCTTCGCTGCGCTACGGGGCGCTTCCTTCACTCTCTCCCGCTCCTGGCAATTTTCCTGTCCCTCTCGGGAGGACAATCCGGGTTAGGGTTGAGTTACGGGAGAGACGAAGCGCCAATATCTGTCCGTCGGCCAACTCCATCCACTTGAGCCTTCTTATTAAACTTGTACTAATTAGCTCTATCATTGTTCTAACCGGTTATACCTCTACACTCCCATTCTCGCTGCCTGTATCCCAACCAGACTCCTCTGAGCGATCCTTCGCCACCACTGCATCTAACACCTGCAGTTGCCTGGTGGCGTGATCCAACAACTTCAACCCCATAGCTCGCGATGGTGTCTCGCGATAGACCCTGCTGCGGTCGAAGACCTTCTCAAGCATCAGCCCGCCGAGTGTCTTCACCCGCGAAACGGCCACGTAGGAGAGGCCAGAAGAGAACTCTGGGGCGGAGATATCGCAGACAACCTTGTCAAGAGTGATATCTTGTGACTTGTGGACGGTGATTTCGTAGCTCACCAGTAAAGGGAACTGCTCTCTGTGACAGGATCTGGCACCAACTATGAAATCCTGCCGTGCGCGAAGAATGGGGACCACCAACTTCTCTCCTCTGCGGAGCTCCTCCCCACACGGCATCGCGAAGGCTGGGCCTGTGTAGTCGTCGAAGGCCACCATAACAATCTCGGGCGGGTCTTGCAGTACGTTAGCACCCTCCTTCCAGAATATATCGTGGACTGTGCCCTGTGCGCCGTTGACGAGCCCAACGTCGGCCCACAAGTTCCGCGCCAGCATCACCCTGCAACCAACACACAGGGGCAAGCGCTTGGCCAAGTTGCCGGCATTTGAGGACTCAACCTTCTCCGCACCCACACCCTCGTGCTTTGCCTCGACCTGAATGGCGGGGCTGTCCAGGCCAAGCATGTGTTGGTGATTGTACTCGACGACCTGGGCCTTGGTGGGATAGATGCGAAGCGCATCAGCAAAGCTGTCAGCCTCCTCGAGAGAAAGCTTGACAGAACACCTCGAAGCAAGGAGTTCCCAGGAGGGCACTGACACATTAGCCTTTCGCAGTTCTTCCAAGGCCCGCCGAAACGGGGCCTGGTCTTCGCCCTGCTGCCGCTGTATTGTGGTCAGAAACACCGACTTGTCGAATGAGAGGTACGCATTACGCCCGACAATCTCGATGTCCTTCAGGTCGTCGCGCGTTGAGTATAGCGGCTTGTTGAGAACAGGGGGGGGCTGGAAGAAGTCTCCAATCAGGATGACGCTGAGGCGCAATGAAAAGCTCCTCCAACGGCTCTAGTTGGGGCAACTGTGGTGGGACCGGGCCAAAATCAAGCTTGTTCTCTGCGGAGAAAAAAAAAGGTTCCTCCTGCCGTTTCTTGTCATCCTTGTCGTGGCAGCGCTTACAAACGCCATCCGCCATGAGCTTGATGTCAAACCAGCGCTCCTTGCAACGCAGGCATCGTTGCATCTCCTCTGCGGCAAGCGCTTCGTCGAAATCCCTCTTGATTGCAATGTCTTCGGCCAAAAGCGGCGTCTCCTGGTCGTCGCCTGCAAACCGCGGACCGGATTCGTTAAATTAGCGCGGAAGGTTTCCTTCGTGGAGGGTTTGCATGCGTGGGCGGCCGATGGGATTGTGTGCTAGCCGAGGACGTCCGCGAGGGCGTCCGCGAGACCCAACCGCGGGTTCGTTCAATTCTCGCGGAGGGTTTTCTTGGGGAAGATTTTGCGTAGGTGGGCGGCCAACAGGATTGCGTGCCAGCCGAGGGCGTCCGCGAGGGCGTCCGCGAGACTGAGCTGAAGATATAGACGGAGGAGAATAGCGTTTAGGAGGGCGTCCGCCGCCGCGGTACTGTGGCGGTGTGTGTCGCAAGTCATCCGCGTCACCACCCAAACCATCTCCCTCAGCTGCTTGCACGGGTAGCAAATCAGCTCGGCTGGTCGTAGGCACCTCGTTCTGAGCATTGAGCTGCTGTTGTCGAATCAAGCCGCTTAACGTCGGGGTTTGTGAAGGCTGCACGCCATGGCGTCGCTCCACGCGGTGGCGTCTCTGGATTGTCAATCGTTGATCCCGTGCGGCTGCCATTTCTGGGGTATCTGTAGGAACGCGACCCCTTTCGTGATACATCGTGGCAAGGACGCCGTGTGTAACGTTTCGTCGAACTCCAGGTGCAAGCGCCGGTGCGAAAGAAAGGGGAAGATTTTCTCCGCGGGCGATTGCGCGAGAAATCTCAATACTCGCTCGTGACGCTTGAACCTGCGAGAGGTTAGCCGAAGAAAAAAAAATCGTAACTAGGGATATCACATGAAGCCTGTTCTTGTGCCGGCAACTTAGACAGTTGACAGCAATCCTTCCGTTCCCGCGTGCATGGAGAAACTGCTCAATGTTTTGCTCGGTGTTGCAATTAGTACATGTCTTGCGTGCCACAGCCGTCTCCACCGCCGCCTCAGTAGCGCCGCCTAGAACGACTATCACGTCTTCCATAGAAACAGCCTGGAATTGAAAGCGGCAGACGTGCAAACGGATGGAGTGGCGACGTTCGCGAAGGTCGAGCGGATTGCGAGGGCTGGATGGATGGATGGAACGGATTGCGAGGGCATGAATGGTGCAGTTTCGGGAGAACCCATAAGACAGCTGACGAAGTGAACTTTGAGCCGGAGCGTGCTTGTTAACCAATCAGTGATCGCGATAAAGTTTCTTAGTTATCAATTTCGCATAGTTAGTATTGTCCTCCGGACAGGAATATCGAAGAACCTCACACACGAAATTTCACGCAGGGGTATCTAACTTACAGAACTATCCCAGTTTATTCCTCTCGTGCTTGCGATGGATCGTCTGCTGTTGGATGTGTGAATGTCAGTAAAACGATGCCACGATCGAAACTCCATCCATCAAAACAATAATTTTGTTGCTTTTCAGACGATGTCGGCTCAAATGACATGGACTGTTCGGTCTTTTCCTCATAATATGAATCGGAATAGGGAACGATTTTGATGCATCAGATGCAACGGGGAAACTGATGGACGTCTCGACTTGACAGGAAAGCGGAACTCACAGGTTGGCAACAGTTAGGACTGATGTCTCGCGACATATCTTATCAAGCCCAACCAAACCTCGGGTGGTCTGTTGAGTGAGGGGAGCGATGACACAAGGGCCTAGAGGATCTCCTTTTGTGACCACCGGTGCCTTCATCCGCCGGCGGCCCAACTCATGGGTGAGCAATGATGATTCACTTCGCTTGGGCAATCAAAACCCGCCAAAGTCACCACCTTGCGGGCCTGCATCACACCCCACTCAGAGCCAACTCTTCAAAGTTATTGGCAGATGCCGTGCTATCTTCCAACACTTGAAGTTCAAGGTTAGTGGGACCATGGGCTGTCTCATATCGTATTCACAATGATTCATACACAGCGTTGTTACAACCACCCCACATGAGCCATCTGGTACGACTCACTTTCCTGTTTAGGCACATACGGGCATGCCGCAACCTTGCGGACCCCTTCAGATAAGATGATTCCTTTCTTTGTCTCATTGCCCCCATTACGGCACCAATGTGGGGATATAAAACACGAAGCAGCTCGTCAGGGACATCCTGTCCCAACACCGCGGGGCGACTACATGTATTCGGATACATGTTCTCAGTAGGCTATATTCTGGTGCGCACATAAGGACGCCAGTGAACCATTTCCGTCGGAAGCCGCAGTCTATGGCGTATGAGTCTGTGACACACATGCGCTCAATTCCACGGCTGTTGGTCCCTGTAGCCAACCCAGGTTTCTTTTTTTATGGTACTTGGATTTCGTCTTAGTCAACTTGGCACCATGACGTTAGCCACAATGCCATGCTCTTGCTTAGGTAGGTATGGAGTGTGGCCGGCAGCCTCCCTGAAGGTTTCTCCTGTGATTCTTAGACAGCCCGTGGTAATCAGTCCTGCATAAAAAAGCCCTCCCCCAGAGTAACCTAGAATAAGGAAGATACCGCAAGGGCTAGTGAGTATACTCATAACATGATCCAGAAATAGATCCTAACTGACGGTGTCGGATTTGCCGAACCCATATAGGAGCTGCCACTCTAACAATTTCGACTCCAATGCCGATTAACCACAGCACCGCTTACAAGGAAAGGGCAAAAGGACCAAACATACGGTAAGAGAAGTAGCATCGGAAGAATATTGATGGCTCATCCTAGGTCTACGGGTGCCCGAGATCAATATGTGGATGCGAGACCCGAGGAAATCTGTGACAAACCTATTTCAGGACCTTGTCCTGTTAGGGTTCAGCTTCGGTTGAAGGTAATCTCTCAAGGGTGCACAACAAAGGCTTGTCTCAACAGTAGGCTCTCGAGCTTGTAGCGAACTGTAGTTGTGATTGCTAACTGAGAACTCCCAGAGCTCTCCAGAACGAGTGACTATATACTGCTATCTGGTTCCCTGAGCTCTAGACAGCTCTCGAGAGCTCACTAGAGCTCATGGCTCTCGGTGGCTCTCGAGAGCCCTTGAGAGCGGCTTCTGACTGGTCGCTCTCCTTTGGCTCTCGGGTGCTACGGAGAGCACCCTGTGATTGGTTCGTTTAAATGATTGGCTCGGGGCGTCCCGCGCCCCGGGGTCCCGCCTGTTGGCATATTCGTGACAAAATCGGCGGATTATAAGTTGCCTGCGAAGGACATTGGGAGCCGGGAAACATCATCTGGATCAGTCTTGATAACTAATAGGTGATGATGGGAACTCGCCCCGGAGTGCTATAGCCCAGAAGTGCCGTATCAGGAAGGCCGCGTTTACCATTATGGAGGTAAGGTACCTGGCATGTAGTCTTGGAAGAAACTTGGGACACACCTAAAGAACAGTGACTTAATATTTACACCCCCGATAACCTCGATACATTTACCGCATGTTTCCTGTGTGCTCCCGTGAGCTACGCTTTACGTGGAGAACTATGGTGCATCACTCAGATTTGTATCAGTGACTGGATTGATTAGAGTAACCTCCCTCCCATAATGTAGTGATGTTCCTGCTCTTAGTGGCAAAACTAGCCCAAAGTCGCGCCAGTACTGGGCAGCCTCGTAGCTGCCTAGCGTTATTAACAGTTTTCTTGCTAGCGAAGTCAAAATGCGAAGATCCAGAACGACTACACAAGTGATTGTTTGTGAGTGATTGTTTGAACGGTAAGTATAGCTCAAGTATTGTCGTAATTCGGGACAGAAGATTTCTGAGAATCCTCAACCCCATATGTCGTTGAAGGCGTAGCGATAAATATACATCATCTGCATCATATAACCCATCGACCCGGGAACCATGTCTCATTTCATCACGCTCATTTGCAGAACGGAGAGCCGTTGATGTACTCGCAACGGTTACCGCAGATGGACACGAGCCGCTGTTGCCCATTGTTGCACTGGTAGATGGCGGGCTGCCCACCGCTTGATCCGCAGCTGTATACACCTATTCCGTGTTAATTAGAGTGCATGCCTCCCCATTATTTCAAAAGGGTACTTGCCATGGGTGCAGCCGATGGCGGTTGTCTGGGCAGCGCCAAAGGCGGCCAGGGAGAGCATGACGGCGAGGGTAGGGAGTTGCATTTTGGTTGAGGTGGTTTGGGTTGGAAAGGAGGTTGAGTGTTTGTTGAGGAACTGTTGGTCGAGTTTGGGTTGAAAGATTGACGGGATCATAGTGGCGTATTTATGTTCGCGGACTCATAGACAGCTTGGGGGCCTTGGGGGCGAAAGTCGAGGGCTCGAGTTCCCCGCGGACCGCAGGACAGGGGGTTGCAGAGGGGTCCCAGGTTGTGATTGGGGAGAAAACGGAAAAATGGATTCAAGAGCATAACTAGCCGATATTACCTTTCCAGGGTGCCCACATGCAAAGGAGAAGATGACGAGAGCGCCCTGCGAAAACAGGGCGACGGACGCGACTGTGTGGTGATTCGAGGAGTGATGACGATTTACCTAGATTCCCGCTCTCATAGGTATGTACATACCTAGGTACCCAAGTATCTATAGTTGTCCTCAGCCTATATCGATGTTCCGCCCTATGGCTCCTCGCAACTCGACCTGCGCGAACAACCTGAACTGACTGACCCCGACTCATCTATGAAGGCGGCCGCTGCTGACATGATGCTCACCGCTTCATTCCGGTTTCCTGCGAGGATCTTGCAGGAGCGGAGTATCACAGCATGTTGCCAGGCTGCAACATCTAGATATGTCTAGCGCTCTTCGCTGTATCTTTTTGTGAGTTGGGGGCTAAAAGACTTGGCGCTGTGAGTCGTGAGGGTGGTTGGCAAGTAGGATGCTTGACACGGTGCAAGCATCCAAGATGCTGGTTGGTCCGAAAAGCGAATATTGAGTCTCGAGGTATTGGATTGGAGTTGCATCAAGTCGAAAATCCGCCGAAACTTAGTAAGGGAGAGAGGTACACTACATTACATCTATCGTGCCCTCAACCAAGGCACCTTCGTTTGTATGGAGGTACCCAGACATCTCGCATCGGGTCAACTCGGGCCCCAAGTTTGAAGCCCACTTAGGTACCTCTATTGACGCATGACCGCATGACAACATCCCCCACAGTATGACAACAGCGACGCTGACATGGAACCTCGTCAACAACCCCTCACTCCTCAGTTGTCCCGAATGCAGAGACAACCCCGCTACCTACCGAGCTGAGCCGCAATATTAATCTGTCTAATCTCACGCACTTCTGCCAAAAGCAGGGGGCCTCGCCCAACATAATCAACCTGCCCACTGCCGTCATGAGTTCGCGGGAGCGCTAAGATCACCCGGCGATACAATACGGCGGCCATTCCCACCCAAACCTCGCGCCCTTTCGCTGGGGCCCGGGCCTCTGCCGCCGAACTATCACCCCCTCATCCCGTCGGTTGTGAAGAGCTCAGCCCGGCCAAAAGCATATCACCCATGGCCGGGCCGCCCCAAACCTGAGATGTCTAGAACTTCCTGATAGAACCCGTACTGAAGGGGTTCGGTCCAACGTATTTCTACTGATTAGATTCATGAGTGAAATCCATGATGACTACAACGAATGGAAATTGAATGGGTAGATAGTCTGTGGCTACTCAATTTTGATGATTTGACTCCAGTTTTGATCTACGGCGTTGAGGGCAAGTGGTCGTGGCTCAACTGGATTGCATTTAGAAAATATACCTAGGTAGGTACCCAAGAGCATTAGAAAGGGAGAGGGCGAAAAAATAATAAGCGACCAATGGAATGGTGCGTTCCTGTTTCCTTCTTGCATGTCGAGGGTCTTGTTGATGGGAAACGAAATACCTTAAGTGACCTCATTTCCTGGGGGTCTTCGCCAGAAGTTTTTAGTGCTGCGAGCTGATATGGAGGAGTTGCAAGCCACAGCGTTGGTTCATTACGGCGATCCTTCTGAAGTCGATGAAGCCGTTTATTTCACCGCAAACTAAAGGTGGTTTCAACTATTAGTTATTATTATTATTATTCATACTCCGCTATGCCCTAGGGCGTGCCGGACCCTCAGCTATTTAGTGTACAGGAAAACCGTGCCCTCCCGGGCCGGGTGAAAAACCCATACCAACAATCAAGGAACGGTGCGTTCTGGTGAGTCTGCGTATACAAAGAGAGGAGGCCTCCTGGCCTCCGAACGGGGGCGCTTCAGGCCGCCGCTTCCAGCTCGAGCCTCCTGGCTAAGTTGTACATCGGCAGCTTCCCCGAGTCCATCAGCCAGTCGAGAACTTTTCCTCGCGAGCCGTGCAGTCGTGGGATTGATGCCGTGTAGAACAGAGTAAAAGTCCCGTCGTGTCCGAATTCCAGTTCTCTCCCATCTTCGAGTCAACGGTGGGGCCAAACACCACACTACCAGGTGTTCGGCAGTCTCTCGTCCCTCGCCACACTCGCAGGCAGGAGTCAGAACCTCCGGGACTCCCCGTGTAAACAAGAAGTCCCGTAAGCCTATTGCTCCCGTCTGGATTTGAATCAGCAGTGAGCTCTTCGCCTTGCTGAGACCGTCGTGCCTCCTTAGTGTTTCGTTCCGGAATAACGTCTCCTGCTGATGGTCAAAGTCGTCCGCCGGCCTGGTGATTGCCCTGCCGTCCCGTTCCTTTAACCACCTCGACTTCCAAGCCTCTTCTACTGCCCTGTTCGTATCAACGATCCCCCCCGTCCAGCGCATGACCGTGCCCGCGGCTCTCTCCACCGCCGTAGGCCCTTGAGGTCCCAAGGTTCGCGGTCGGCCCCTGTTGCCCCTCCTCGAGCTAAGTCTCTGCTGTATCTTGCGGCAGGCGGTGAGGACAACGCTCGCCGCCGTCTTCTTGCCGCCTCGACCGTCGTCCAGATCGGGTCGTTGGAGTCGGTTTTCGAAATCTGCAAGCCGTTTGTTTAGGTACAAGTCCAATGGTGGTACCCATGTCTCTGTCTCGAGGTTACGGATGGGGGTAGACTTAAAGGCTCCCGCCACGATCCGCAAGCTCTTGTTCTGGGCCTTCCCGAGGGCCTTAGTGATGCCTTTCTTTGCCGGCTCGCCTCCCACATCCGTGGGGATGTGAAACGACGATGCGCCATAGGCCAGCGCTGACCGTGCGTTGGCGGTAGAGATTTCCGGGGCGACTGCGTGTCCCGGATCGCCCTTCTTTCCACGCCCACTGCGGCCGCGCTGCAGATTGCGCTTCGGTGCACGTGGTGTGGCTAGATAGGGCTTTGCGAGAGCTTTGGATCAGCGCTAGCTTTGAGACTTTTGGGCCGAAATTCAAGGACGTTCTTTTTTTGAGGCCGTCACGAGCTACCGTAGGAACCGTCACCGCATACCGTAGGCCTAAATTCTGCCCACACAAATCCCTAACCCTGGCCTCGCGCAACAATTCTGCCGCCCCGCCTTCGGCAATTCTGCCGCACTTCCAGCTTTCTGCGCGCGTGCACGCATCATCATCACCACCAACCCTCGCACACCAACAGCCATTGCAACTGCGCTGCGCGCGTACCTTCAGTAAGCGCCCCAGCTGTTTCGCGCGCTCTACAGGGCTAACCAGCGATAGATATGGCGCTTTCAGAGCTCGACTCCGACGCGCACAGCGATGCGCACAGCGATGCGCACAGCGATACGAGCGCGCGGGGCGACGCGCAAGCGCTGCCAGCATCGCTGTTTGCGCTGAATTGCGCTGCGATTGATTGCACTGTGGCAATTGACGAGCGCTGCGCGCGCATCGCGAAGGCGGTGAGCGATTATTTTCACCGCCTACCTTACTAGGTAGGCGGTGGGCGTTGTGGGGTGGTGCTACGGTATGCGGTGACGGTTCCTACGGTAGCTCGTGACGGCCTCGTTTTTTTTTAGTTGTTTCAACTATTAAGACATGGTACGGCGAGGTAATCACGGCGTAGCAGGCGGGGGGTATTTCAGCACCTTGAAGGTTAATGAGCCATTCCGAGTCGAAGCCCACCAACTGCATCATCGTCTGATTACCAGTTTTTCTTCCTACGGCACAGAACTTTCACATGGCATGGACTTTGTATAACAGTCAACAGCAGCTGAAGGGGGTGGATGCAACCCACGATCCAATGGCAATCCGTCTGAAAGGCGGCGGAGTCACCCGAATCCAACCTTGGGAGGCTGGGATGCGGCTCACATGGCGATCCGTCCCGACGGTGGCACGAAATTCCGCGGCGTCGGATTGCCGAGCCGACCTTTAACTTATCCTCTTCCCTGGTTCAAGCACTTTGGGTGGGCAAGCCTCGATTCCACCACGTGGTGTTTCAGCCGCCATGCATAGCTTGAACTTTACCTCTCTCGGTGGTCTGTTGAAAGCCGAGGGCAAGGTCTCGAGAGTGGCCTTTGGAGTTCAGGATTTGCCGCGAGGCACCAGTTTCAGATACGGAGAAGGAATTGTGTTTTCTTTTGTTACATGGCATGCATCGCCGCACCAAGTCCCTCAACCCCCGGGCAGCCGTTCCGCAACAAAAGCCTCTTTCCGCCGTCACAAAACCCGTTCGCCAGCCAGTTGTGTCCCCGGACTCAAAATGCAAACAAAAAATCGAGGTATCATCCATATCGCTCTTAAAATCTCACAAAAAAGGCATGCAATCTCCAAAAAGGTCACACCTGTACGCCCGAGCCCGCTCCAGTCTTCAAACAAGCCGCCCTGCCACTGATCATGAACACCGCACCCGCTGCTTTTTGTCCAGCCGGTTCCCGCACCAAAGCGAAACCCGAGGGAATGATTCGTTATCCTCGGTAGCTTTCCGCCGGATCGAGTCGCATTTATACCCACCCGTGGTCTGCTTATCTTTGCAAAAGGTGACGCAGCAGTCGGTTTTCTCCGTGGCCCATACGTAGCTCGTGATACTGATGTTCAAATCGTAATATCCGGGTTCTACGTAAATTTCGGTCGCATCGCCGGTGAAGTCGTTTCCGGAAAAGCCCTGGAAAGCAAACATCTCGAAGATGCTGGGGTCCGTTTGGTTATTGAGGAATGTGGGTGATGCGGTGGGCGCGCTCGAGGTTGTGGAAACTGACGTCGGTTCTGTGGATGATGCGCTGGTCGGGCTGTGTTCGCGTTAGCAAGGTGCACAAGTTCAGCGCCAGCTTCGTTTTCCAAGTCATCGCTCACCTGCTACCCGACTCCGTGGCCGACTCCGTGGCCGACCCCGTTTCTACTGGCGCGGCGCCCGAATCTGACTGCCTTGATGCCATCGCGCTCGCGATGCCTGCGCCAGCCGCCACCGCTATGATCACGACCGCAAGGACCACAGCGATGATAATAAAGACGCGCTTGCGCAAGCCGCAGATGCGCTTTTCCCTCGGAGGCTCACTTCCAACGTATGTTTGTTGGTCGTCAGCGCCGGAAAACGAATGCCACGGCACATCGCTGTTTGGGCTCAACGCGCTGACTGAATGATAATCGCCGCCTACTATCGACGCTGGCCCCCATGGTTGCTGGTATTGTTGCATGGGGCTCACCCCCGGAGTCATTGGTTTCTCGTAGAGAAGTTTTGGTGCCTGTGTCGTATTGTGCCGGATACTTGTCTGTCTCTATATAGTACCGCTGTTGCGCCGCTTCTGGTGATGAATCTGGCACCACTTCTGGTAGATGGTCCGCGTGGGGATTGGGCGTGAGGGTTGGCCGGTTTTCCACCACCTCTGGGAGGTTTTCGTCTGGTGCTTGTGGACGCCCCATCTTGACAGGATCTGCTGGCGAGGATCCCTTTCGAATCGAGTTCGTCTTCACACTTTGTCGTCTAGGAACCCACTCGCTGACTGAGAAGCCAGATGTGGCGTTCGTTGATGATGGCGCTTGCGCACAAGTTCTTGGCTCGTGCCGGACCTGGGAACGTTCAGGGTTTTGTTGAACGCCATTGAGTTGATCTTTGGAGGATCTGGAAGGTCCAACGACGCCAATTTCCCCACAGACAAGCTTCAGCAATCTTCTGGATTTGGGTCGGTCGGGTCCCCTTGGCGTAAGACGGGGGAATTTTTGGCATGGCTTTCGCCCAGCGATCAACCGGCTGTGCTACCCCATTTAGCAACGTTTCCGGGAAATGTGCAGACTGGCGGGACGGGGTTGCCATTCCCACTGCTTCGCTTGCGCAGGAGAAGGACATGGGCACATAGGTCCCACGGACCCGCCAGCTCGGCGAGCGCGCACCAATTCATGGAAACCCGTCATTTCCCACGACGTGGCCGAAACATTTGAGCCGACTCAAGCATGCGCTGCGAGTTAGGATTTGTCTGCGTCGATGTCAAACTCTGTTTCCTGGCCACCGCTGGCGTCGTTCGAGAAGGATGTATGTGGGGCTGAACTTGGCGGTGGCTTTAGTTATCCCACTGCGGCGAACAGTCCATCGCGATGAATCGCTGCCAGGGACGATCGGCCTCCAATTGGCTGCCATGAACTCCACCACACAAACCAAAAACGGAATTTGAGCCAGGCATCAAGGCACGTTCGGTGCTGGCGCCGATCGGGAGCGCGGTGACACACGGTTCTGACCGGCTCTCATAGCGATCGACGGCCCGCCGAGCCCGCGTTTTCCCATGCTGCCATCATCCCGTCCATAACCACTCACACCACTCACTCGGAAGCTTTTACTTGTATGGCGACCGGAATCCAAACGGGACGGACGACGGCATCGGCATCCGCGGCAGATCATTGCCGAAGCCACATCGATGTGATCGTGTATCTCGGAGCGCCGTGAGCAGCCAGGGCTTATGAATTGTTAACTAACTCTTGGGCATCGGAATTTCCATTGTGCTTTTCGGGTGGGGAAGCGATTGACCATGCCGTCTCCGCTGCTGCGTGGCCTCTGGGCTTTCGCCCTTGGCATCACAACTTGCCCAAAAACGCCACGACTCGAGTACTTTGTAACAAAGTCGTTTCCAAGTGCTTGCCTCCTTGGAAAATTAGCTATTGGTCCGGAAGGGTCGAAATGCCAGGCCATCTCACTGTTAACTGGACCGTTGCGACTAAGATACGAATAACGAGGTATAATGGACAAATCGGCCGTCCCTCCCCTGCGTGCGCTGAAACCCCGCAATGGCCGGGAGAAGGTGAATCCGACGGTCCAATCGTAGTCGGTGCATCGTACTGCGCACCAAGTACCAATACTTGGAGAATAATGATCTGGCAAGCCACGTACTGTTCCAACTTTAGGGGGTGACCGATCAAGAGGGTGATCGATCAAGGGGTTGAAACATCTCGATGGAGGCAGAGACCGAAGAGAAAACACAGCACTCGGGCTTATTTAGTTTAGTGACACATATCCCCATTCAAAAATCCCATGCGACACTGCGAGGCGGCGCCTCCAAATCTCAAGCTGCCCCTGAACAGGAAGAAAGAGCGAGAAGGCGGCCGGCATCGGCATTCTTGATGTGTGTTCTGCCGCTCACCCGGTTTTTTCCATTGCCAAGCATCAAATCAGCTGGAAATCTTATCAGATCATCTGTTGACAAGTGAGGTGCTTCGTACTTCCCCCACTCTCTTGTTCCTCGGCACCAAATGGGATTCGACACGGCTGAACAAAGGCAGGCGAACGAAAGCTGGACTCATGCCCTCCAGAGAAGTCGGGGTATTCTTCCGTCAAATACATATCCTCTTGCTTGCAATTGCTTCACATATGCAATCTGTCTTACCATCAGCAGCTTCATGGTTTGATGGGTCCCCAATTGGGTATCTAAACCAATTTACCGCCTGTGCTGATCCATGATTTTCTTCCTTACCTACCTGGCACCTACCTCACCGAGTCCCCAGTCGCCCGATCGGCGACGGCAGCCCATACAACGACCGCATCGCACCATCGGAACAGGGATCACCATTGTCAGGCGATCTGATAATGCAGAGTTTTTCCCTCATTCCTCGGCGCCCGCAACCCCGCGAGCCATTGTTGGCGTCCGTTCCTCGGAGCAGCAAGGGAAGAAGATTCGGCTATATCCAGATGAAGTTGGATGATTGGTTAATTCGAGCCAGTTCTGGTGGTGATGGAACCCTCTTCATCTTATCTGATCCGAAGATAACCCCGAATGCCGCCTCGGGCCCACAAAGATCCTGGAAGAATTCGACGGGGCCTGCAGCAAGCCTGCGGCAACGCATCATCACCCAGCACCACCCCACCACAAATACGCCGTGCCATTGCAGAACCTTCTGCAGAGCTCACCCGGCGAATGGCTCGACACTGGCATGCCGGCACACTGCTTTCTTGCGTGAAGCACGACCCAAAAATTTCTCATCTCCCCCCCACTCCACCGCCGTTAAATCATGTCACCGATTGCTCCGAAAAGCAAGAACTCCGCAATAATGCAGGAAATGTTCCCCTCAGTCCCCTGTCCCTCGTTCGATAGGAGAGGGTGGGAGAGCACAGAGTCAATGGACCCCGGCCCCCGCTCCTCATGGTTCCCGGCCGTGCTCCAGCGAGGTACCGTGTTGTACATGCAGTACGAGTGAGGTACATGCCACCACCAGATTAGCCTCACCCCCGGCGGCCCCACGGAAGGAGAACCGAGCTCCGCTGGAGTGTTTGCGTGGCCTGGGCTTGTTATATCATAATGGTACCCGCCGCCGCTCTCCGTTGTCCTCGCTTCTCTCCCGACTTTCGTTTCAATCTAACTTTCCCGTGCAATCGGCAGCTCATCAGTTTTACACTGAGTGACGTGACCCTTCATCTCATCTCCTCCCGCTTCCACCTCCACCGAGCTACGTCAACCTGGGCTGCCGAGGGACCGTGCATCGTCCGATCTGAACACCGAAACCATCGTTCTCTTTCGTGCCACCAAGGTTTACCACCAAATACATCAAGGACAAAGTTCACTCACCACTGCTTGGTCATTCCGGACCTTTTCCGTTGGGAAATCACGCAGACGGCCCCTCAAAGCGTTACCCGATCCGACTTCATCATGTCGCCTCACAGCATCGACGACATGGAACACCCAGCCGTCACCAACGGCTCCCATAATACAGACGCAGTTCCTCAATTGTGTCAACGGCACTGCGAATGGATACTCGGCCCAAGATGTCCCCAATAGCCGATATCTTGAACCCACAGATGCCAACTCGGAGCTTGACTTGGTCTGTGTTGGTTTCGGGCCCGCCAGCGTCGCTATCGCTGTCGCCCTCCATGATTCCATGGAAGCCGGCAAGATGGCACAAGCGCCTAAGGTGTTGTTCCTCGAGAAGCAACCCCAGTTTGCGTGGCACGCCGGCATGCTGCTACCAGGGGCCAAGATGCAGATTTCTTTCGTCAAGGACCTCGCTTCGCTTCGGGACCCGCGATCCAACTTCACATTCCTCAACTACCTGCACAAGAATAACCGGGTTAGTCGACTTTATCAACCTGAGCACCTTCCTCCCCGCCCGTGCCGAATATGAGGACTATCTCCGGTGGTGTGCCCGACACTTCGACCACGTTGTCCGCTACCAAAACGAGGTTGTTTCCATTTCTCCTGTACAGGAGGAAAGGTCACACAGGGTGTTTACTGTGACTTCTCGGGAACGCCAAGACCGGCGCGATCACCACTTATCGTGCCCGGAACGTTGTCGTCGCTGTCGGCGGGCCAGGCCATCTATTCCCAAGCTCTTCCCCGCACATCACCCTTCGAGTTATCCACTCGTCGCAGTACGCGCAGCTGGTTCCCAAAATCCTCGGCGATAAGACGGCGCCTTACCGCGTGGTCGTCGTGGCGCGGGACAGAGCGCCGCCGAAATTTACAGCAACGTCCATGGCCTGTACCCCAACAGCAAACGCGCTTGGTCATGCGAGCGAGTTCCTCAGCCGAGCGACGATTCGCCATTGTAGTGTGGCCACGCTTCTCAGACGAGCAAAATAGATTAACTTCTCGTCAGCGTCAACTTCCTCTTCAACCCCGAATTCATCGATACCGTTTATCCCAAGTCTTCTGCCTACCGCGCCCACCTCCTCGAGGATGCTCGGGCTACAAACTACGGCGTTGTGAGGTTGGAACTGATTGAGCATTTGTTTGAGGTTATGTACCACCAAAAGCGCACACTCGGCCCCGACGAGAAGAAATGGCCGCACCGCATCCTGGCTGGGCGGGATATCGTGGCCGTGGAGGACAGCGGCGACTCGCTCCGCCTTAAAGTAGCCACGCTTCCCATTCCTGGAGCCCAAGATGGGCCGCTACTGGGCGAGGAGGAGTTGGATGTCGACCTCGTTATTTGTGCCACGGGCTATAACCGCACGGCTCATGTCGACATGCTGAAAGATGCCTGGCATCTCCTGCCAACGGCTATGGATGCCGAGAATGGAGTTTTGAGAAAGGACCGCTGGTTGGTGGAAACTCGCAAGGCCGAGAACACATCTACCAAAGTCATGGAAGTTGGCCGTGATTATGGAGTCCGCTTCTCGCCTGGAGTTGTGGCTCCAGGCTCTGGTGTTTGGCTGCAGGGCTGTTGTGAGGCAACGCACGGCGTAAGTGGGCACTTTTACCCCTAAAGTGAATTACGGAGCTAACCAAACAACAGTTGAGTGATACCCTTCTTTCTGTTTTGTCTACACGGTCCGGAGAGATGGTCCAGTCCATCTTTGGTGCATCAGCATGACTTACGCGGGCGGCTGAACCGCCTTGCGCATTTTGGGTTTGATTTGCTTTTTGTAAGAGGAGTTAAGGCCTGCACGTGAAAAGCATTGTCTCGTTGTTTTTTTTTTTTTTGGATTTTCCGCGCCGTAGCCATCCCACCGTCTCAAGCGAGCCCTAGCCTTTTAGAGAGAAACTGCCACGGTTTGGGGCGGGGAGTTGGGAAGAGCCTGAACCTTAGACTGGAAAATGGTAGATGGCAGTTTTCCGGCATACTCCACGCATGGTAATCCGGCGGCCGCGGAGTCTTCATCGTCTGAAACGCCACCTGTCAGCAGCATGTGGGGGTTAAAGTCGTATCTCCTCAGCTCCACGCGGCAAACTGCTGCACAAGGCTGAATATGGACCAGGCCGGCCATCGGATGGGATGTGACCCTACCTGATCGCAGGGGCCCAACGTCCCCTTGATGGTCTCGGCCGACTCGCTGCTGGAACACCGAGGCCGAGTGTGACTGAGGATGGGGGTTCACCACTCCATGACACCACAACAACACCCCCCATGACTAACAAAAGCCGGATCCGATGAGGGGTTCAGCGCCAAGCGGAACAGGTTTGCGGTGGGAACATGCGGCAGGATCCGGTCCCTTTTCCGCTGGCCCCTCGTCAGGTGAACACCGAAATCCAGTGGCCGGGAGCACAGTTTGGAGCCGCGTGGATCACCAGGCCATGCCAAACCACCTAGGCAGCCTGGAGGCAGGTTGTGACGGCCAAGGGACCCCAGTACAGATACCCGCACGCGAATCCCTTCCATGCTATCCACGTTGGCCCGGCTCGCCTCGTTAAATGCCGCGCCTTCCCAACCTGCGGTAGAACGGCAGTCACGCTGCGTACAACAGCCGCAGTACACCGAGGAAACAGAAGGTGGGGGCTTGCCGCCGGTCCATCTTGGAAACCCGGTAACCAGCCTCGACAGAACCGTGAACCAGGGTAGGCACACACAACCCCACAGAACCCGCTCCCACTTGTGTCACAAACCCTTCAGCTGTGCACTCTTGAGACGCGGGTTGTGCAGGAGTTCGTCGTACAATCTCCCCCCCCATCTTGGTTGAACAGAGCGAACGCACCTCGAACTGACCAATCATCTCGCGCCAGAATCAAATCCCACGTCTTCAACTCGCTTCTCTCCCAGTCCCTGGCCAATCAGAAGGGTCCCATTTCCGTTCTTGGGTGGCTCTGTATATTCGCTTATTGACCGGTGCTGGTATACAGAGAGGTACCTGCCCAGCTAGGAGGATACCGGTGCAAGCCCACGCTGTTAGGTTACAGAGGGAGAGGGACCTTGGTAAGTTGTGATTTGTTTGCTTCTAGTCGATGCCGTCCCAACCCGAGAAGCCGTTGAACGATTAACTCACATGGCACAGTTAGGGGCGAACAACATCATGGACATGCCTGTGCAAGGAACCGCGACCTCTTTGTCTATTGTCAACCACCCACCAACACGGTTGCCGGGACCATCCTTGCTTCACCTTCTGGTCCAGGGCCCCTCCCAGGATGGGCAGACGGCCATTGACTTCCTCTCATCAAACGGCACCCGGAGCTCGTTATCGTATGGAGAGTTACACCATGCGTCTGAGGCCCTGGCAATCAGGCTTTCAGCTCTGGTTGGGCCGCTGGACCCTTCCAAGCCGTTGGTTATCCCGGTTCTTCTCCCGCAAAGCCTCGACCTCTACATTGCCCTCTTGGCCATTCTGAAAGCCGGCGGTGCATTCTGTCCGATGAACCTGGATGTGCCACTTGAGCGTGCCAAATTCATCCTCGAAGACGTGTCTGCCAAAGTTGTCATCACCGCGCCGGAATTGGCATCAAAACTCCCGGATGGCGACCAGGCGGTGCTGATAATGAATGGAGAAATCTACGCCGAACCCCCGGCCGTTACGTCACACCGACAGCCGACCCCAGCGGACCTGGCATACGTGATGTACACGTCTGGCTCAACTGGGACACCGAAAGGTGTTGGGATATCTCACGATGCTGTCACCCAGAGCCTCCTTGCCCACGACCGGCACATCCCGCAATTCACACGGTTCCTCCAGTTTGCCGCCCCGACCTTCGACGTCTCCGTTTTCGAGATCTTTTTTCCTCTTTACAGGGGCAAAACCCTCGTCAGTTGCGCCCGCTCAGCCTTACTCAATGAATTGCCAGGTGTCATCCGGGACATGGATGTGGACGCATGCGAGCTGACGCCCAGCGTCGCCGCCAGTCTCCTCCGTAAACGAGAAAATGCCTCTGGTCTGCGGCTGTTGTTGACCATCGGGGAGATGTTGACACAGCCGGTAGTCGAAGAGTTTGGTGGCGATCAGGAACGGCCAAGCATGCTCTGGGGCATGTATGGACCAACCGAGGCATCGATCCATTGTACACTTCAACCTGCATTCGCTCGCGATTCGGTGGTTCGCAACATTGGGGTTCCGCTGGACACCGTCTCCGCTTTTATTCTGAAGATCCCGGAAGAGGGCAGCGAAAGCCCCGATTTCTTGGTGCTGGGCCGGGAGGAAGTTGGCGAGCTGGCCATCGGCGGTCACCAACTAGCAGATGGCTATCTCAACCGGCCCGAGCAGACGTCATCCACGTTCATCGACACTCCCTACGGCCGTCTCTACCGAACCGGTGACAAAGCGAGGATGCTTGCAGATGGCACGCTAGAGTGTCTCGGTCGGATCGCTGACGGGCAAGTCAAGCTCAGGGGCCAACGGATGGAGCTTGGAGAGGTGGAACATGCCGCGCTGAGAACGCCGGGCTGCCACAGTGCGGTAGCTGCGGTTATGGACGTCACGCTGGTCCTCTTTTGCGCCTTTGACGGAACAAACAACGCACAGGATGCTATTCTGGAGTCTTGCCGACAATGGCTCCCGGGATTCATGCACCCTGGTGAGGTTGTGGTCGTGGAACACTTCCCACGATTGGCATCTGGAAAAGTTGATAAGAAGCAGTTGGTGGCGGACTACGCAAGTCAAATAAGCGGGATACCGAGCAATACAACCTTCAAGGATGAGTTAGAGAAGCGGGTTTGCGACCTCGCGAGCCACTGTTTAGGGACGGACGTTCAACCGAACTTGGATTTGGCTCGGGCGGGACTGGATTCGCTCACCGCGATTAGGCTCGCATCGTGTCTTAGGGATGGTGGATTGAGTGTTGGGGCGATCGATGTCCTTGAAGCTCGGACGGTCTCTGCACTTTTACTGCGGATACGGTCAAAGACGGAAACAGAGGCTTTGGAGTTCGCTCCCACGGATCCAGATCCAGGGCCGGATGTTTCGGAGATTGTGGCAAACTCGATACTATCGACGCATAACGGGCCAATTGAAGCTATTATCCCATGTACGCCGCTACAGTCTTCCATGCTGGCCGAGACAATGGCGGATGCCCGAGCGTACTGCAACTGGGTTCAACTCAATATTGCTGGAGCTCACTCTGCAGATACGGTTCGGTCTTGGCTTTCACAGATCGCCAATGCAAACGAAGCCTTACGAACCGGTTTCACACATTACGACGGGCGGTTCCTGCAAGTTATCTTTGAGCAGCTGCCTGAGTCCAGTATTTCGATCACCGATTCCATCCCCATCATCAGAGACTTTGAGCTTTGTGAAGACGAGGACTTCCTTCGCCCGTTTCGGGCTCAGATCTCTATTTGTGAGGGTTCCGACAATACAATGATCATCCTGCAAATCCACCATGCGGTGTATGATGGTTGGTCCTTGGATCTGGTGCGTTCGGATCTGGCCAGATTGGACCAGGGGAAGGAATTCAGTCCCCGACCTCAGTTCCGCCAGATCTCGGCGTACCACCAGTCAGCGAAAACAAGCCAGGCATTCGACGCAGCGAGGGAATTTTGGTCCCAGAGTCTTCTTGGCTTTCAACCTTCCGCTCTCCCAAACTTCACGGCTGAGGTGAACCGCGCCCCTGCAGTATTGTCGTCAACCACCCTCCTTAACATCAAACCAGGGGAGATGAAGATGACGCTCCAGGAAATTGACTGCGGACCTCAAACGATATTCCAGGCCACGCTGGCATGCATTTGGAGTTCCATGGTTGGAGCTACAGACGTAGTTGTTGGTTCGATCCAGTCCGGACGAACGATACCTGTCGCGAAGATCGAGGACATAATCGGACCTTGTATTGCCACCGCGCCTATCCGGACCGATCTGTCACAAGTTCGAACCATCAGAGATCTCCTGGTTAACATCAATGCCGGAAACCGTGAAGCTCTCCCGCATAGCCTGTTACCTCTCGCCGAAATCAAGCGGGCTGCTGGTGTACGTTCCGGGCAGTCACTCTACGACGTTCTTTTTATTTATCAAGAGTCTCTTTACAGCTCATCGGAATGTGTCAACACTGTTAAACAAGTGGATCATCGAGACTACTTGGAGACGAAGCTGCTCGTTGAAATTGAGCCAGGGCAAGAAGGGTTCAACTGCCGTTTGACATATCATTCTGATGTGCTCCCGAAAGATCAGATACGCGTCGTGGGAAACCTGATCTCCGCATTGATCCCCTATATGCTCAAAAACATTGATTCGGATATCTCTTCGGTCTGGAAGGCCTGCCCACAACACCTGCTCTCGATCTTCAACCCTAAGCCAAAGACTTTTAACGGAATTCCCGACTTGGCCACCGCCGTTGAGTGCATCTCTGAGGAGTTCCCCGACAAGGATGCAATCTGCTTTGCGGAGAACATCTCGAATGGTGTCCTCACAACCACCACGATCACTTTTGCAGAGCTCAATAAGATGGCAGATCGAATTGCTTGGCACCTCGCACAACATGGTGTGGGCGAGACAGGCGTGGTCGCCATCATCATGGAGAAGTCCGTTCGACTCTATGCTGGTATTCTCGCCATTCTCAAAACTGGGTGCGCATACTTGCCTCTTCTCCCCAGCACTCCAATGGCCCGAATCGAGACCATATTCCAACAGGCGGGCGTCAAGGTTTGCGTTGTTGACACCGCTACCCAGGAAAAGGTGCAACAGCGGTTGGAGTGTAACTGCCTTAACCTTCAGTCCCTTGACCTTCAAGCAACCCCTATTTTGACGAAGCCGGCCCCAGATCCCGAGCGGTTGGCCTACGTCATCTACACATCAGGAAGCACAGGCGTACCCAAAGGTGTCTGCCTCACACAGCGCAATATCATGAGCAATCTCGATATGCTGTCACAGATCTACCCGGTCGAGGAGCATTCTAGACTTCTGCAATCTTGCTCGCAAGCCTTTGATGTTTCGGTGTTTGAGATCTTTTTCACTTGGACAAGAGGCATGTGCCTTTGTTCTGGGACTAATGACACGCTCTTCGAGGATCTCGAGAGGTCCATTCGCAAGCTCAACGTCACCCATCTCAGCATGACGCCTACCGTGGCATCTCTGGTTGACCCAGCCAAGGTCCCGAGAGTGCAATTCCTAGTCACTGCTGGCGAGCCGATGACCGAGGCTGTGACGCAGAAATGGGGCGACAAACTGTATCAGGGGTACGGGCCGTCGGAGACAACCAACATCTGCAGTGTCAAGAAGATGAGCGCCAACCAGGCCATTCAGCATCTCGGCTGGTCATTCGATAACACGTCAACATTTGTCCTCGCCCAGAACAGCTTGGAGGCTGTCCCTTTTGGTAGCCTGGGCGAGTTCTGCTTTGGCGGCGACCAGATAGCTCAAGGGTATCTCAACCTGGAAGCTCTCACAGCCGCAAAGTTCATCTATCACCCCACCTTTGGCCGGATCTACAGGTCTGGTGACCTTGGACGCATGTTGACAGACGGCTCGATGGTTATTCTTGGTCGCGCAGACGAGCAGATTAAGATCAGAGGACAGCGAGTCGAGCTCGATGAAGTAACTGAGGCCATTCGGCAGTCCGGGAATGTCGACTGCGCAACCCTGTTTTTGACGGTAGAGGACACGGGAACCCGGGATCAAATCATCTCGTTTGTGGTGTTGAAAGCGAAGGAGACGGCCAAGTTCCAAGCCTTACTCGTTAATGACGAAGTCAAGGGGAGCATCCAATCAATCTATCGCGCTCTCGGAGACCGGCTTCCACTGTACATGCTTCCTTCCGCTATCATCCCAATCTCGGCTTTGCCTACCACTTCATCCGGAAAGTTGGACAAAGCAAGGCTGAAGCAGACTTTCCGGGACTTCGGGCCCGATCGACTGGCCTTGGTTAGCTACGGAGCTGAGCATAACGCGGACGACGGAGAATGGTCTACCATCGAAACAGAGATCGCCCAAGCTATCTCTGGTGCGTTGAATGTCAGGAGGACCGATGTTCAGCGGTGGACTCCGTTGGCCACCCTTGGTCTGGATTCCATTTCCGCCATTCAAGCGTCCAGAGACCTGGACTCAAAGCTGGGCATCCGGTTTCCGATATCAACCATTTTACAAAACCCGAGCGTCGCGAGACTCGCAAAGGTGGCTCCGGTAACGGAGAGCCGGGGACAAGAACATCGAGGAGCCCCAGAGCTTTTGCCATCGGATTTCCTCGACGGAATTGCTGAGGGACTAAGACAACTTGGCAAGCCGTTCGCCAAAATTCTCCCTTGCACTCCGCTGCAAGAAGCCATGCTCGCAACGTCATCCACGGATAGCCAATACCTCAACCAGATGTTATTCAGAGTTAGTGGTGACTTGGAACAACTGAGACAGGCTTGGAATGCCATGGTGGCCCGCCATGATATTCTCCGGACATGCTTCATCGCGACAAACGACGCGCGATGGCCAATCCTCCAAATCGCCCTCGACCCCTGGCAGCCCTCCTGGCATGACTTGGGCGGTGGCCAGTCTGACATCGACGACTGTATCCACAAGCACGCGCAAATAATGCCCGACGCCGTTGACTCTCTAGAGCCGGCTGTATCGTTCGCGACGTTCAGACAGAACGACAATGTGTATCTGTCATTTTTGTGCCACCATGCTTTATATGATGGCGTGGCTATCGAACGTCTCTTGTACGAAGTCGAGCAATATGCCTTCGGCGCCCGACTGCCGCGTGCCCCTGCTTATGATCGGTTCCTCGGCGAATCTCTCAGACTGCCGGACAACGTTGATAGGTTTTGGCTTGAGCACCTTGCCAGCTACGAGCCTAAACTCACAGCAAGTGTGGTTTCGACGCTTGCTAAGACACAGACGCGCGAGCTATCCTATGAACTGGATGTTACGTTGTCTCAAGCCACGGTCGGAACCAAGGAGCTTGGGGTATCCCTGTTGGCGCTTGTTCAAACCGCATGGGCAATAACTCTTGGCCGCATCTTCAAGACCGAAGACGTCTGTTTCGGAAATGTTGTCAACGGCCGATCACTGCCCATCGAAGGCATCAGCGAACTTGTTGCGCCGTGCTTCAACACCATACCCATTCGCATGGACCTCTCTCACAGACAGCGAAATCTTGACGTGATGAGAGCGTTTCAAAAGATCAATGCGGAGGTTATGAACTATCAGTTCACACCTCTACGGCGCATTCAGTCCATCATTCCAGACGTTGGTTGCTGGGGGTTGTTTGATACCCTTTTACTCTTGCAGCAACCGTCTCGAGCTCTCGACCAGAGTCTTTGGACCTTGGAACGAGATGACGGGGAGATGGATGTAAGCTTTTCTTTTCTGCGCACCTGCTACGCATTCAACAACTGACGGATTTTAGGTTCCCCTCGTTTGTGAAGTGATACCGAATAGTCATTCAGACCAGTTGTTCGTCAAAATGCATACCGCCGGAAGGTATGTAACATTGTCCATGTTGTGTTCTCGAACTCGACTCACCTTCTGGCAGCCGACCGCTCTCCCAGGAGATTGCCAAAGTAGCCTACGATTTGTTCTCCGATGCATTACGGAACTGTCTCCAATTCCCTGGGTCCCATACGACGTATACCAACATATCTCAAGGGCTAGCGGAACGGCTCGCTCAGATCGAATACCTGCCTCCGTCTCTCGCCATCGTTGCAACAGAGCAAGAGTCTAGGGGCGGGCAATGGACGGAAATGGAAATCTCTGTCCGAGAGGTATTGGAAACCTTAGTAACCCAGGATTCGGAGAACATCCAGCGTGACACGACGATATACCGACTCGGGCTGGATAGCATCAGCGCAGTCCAAATCGCCTCGATGCTCCGCAAACGCGGCCATCAGGTAGTCGCGAGTGATGTCATCGAAAACCCGACATGTGCCAGTCTTGCACAATTTATCGAGACACGAACCCCGGGCTCAGGGGCTGCATCAGCATACGATATCACCAGATTCCACCTTCAAGTCAGAACCCAACTCCTTGCCCACGGTATTATATCCAAGGCGGTGGAGGCCGTGCTTCCATGTACACCAGTGCAATCCGCGATGATGGCGCAATTTATCAAGTCGGGGGGCCGAGCCTACTTCAACCAGGCTGATTTTGAACTCGACGATGACTTGGGATCCGCCAAAGTCGTTGAAGCATGGCATGTTGTCTTGCGAGAGCACCCCATACTTCGAACTACCATTGTCCCGGTCGAACATGACGACTGCGCGTTCACCATGGTTCAGTATTATGCGGATATGTTTGAGCACGGATCAAGCACCATCACTGAGAGCTCAACCGACAGCTTCAACTTCGATGCTTGGAAACTTGACGCCTCCGAAGCGGCGTTCGGAACACTTCGGCCACGGCTTTGGAGCGTTGCTGTCGTTAAAGGCAAGACGAAAACCAAGATGCACCTCGTGATGCACCACGCACTATACGATGCTCATTCTCTTCAGTCCATCCTCGATGATTTGTCGCGGGTGATCCTGGGCCGGGACCCTCTCCCCAGACCTCCCGTTGGAGAAGCTGTCGCGGATATACTTGGCCACGCCCTTTCAAACTCGAAGAGCTCGGCGGAATTCTGGAAGCAACAAGCCGAGAATGTGGTCATTAACAAATTCCCAGTATTGACACCACTCCGGGAAGCAACACGGGAGATCCTGACGGAATCAACCATGAGTGGCACCACGCTTACTACATTGGAAACTGCCGCGTCAAGGTCAGCGTACCCTGTGCAAGTCATTCTCCAGGCGGCTTGGACACGGGTCTTGTCGGCGTACCTTGGCGAAACTTCAGTGGTCTTTGGAGTTGTTCTTTTTGGACGCAACGCAGAAGCAACACGGAATGCGGTGTTCCCCTGTATCACGACCCTGCCCGTCATTACCAGAAACGCCGATTCGAACCAAGCTCTGCTGACGCAGATGCTGTCATACAACACCAATCTCTACAAAGAGCAGCATCAGCCCCTGACAAGAATTCAGCGGTGGTTAGGATGCCCGGATTCCAAACCGTTCGACTCATTGTTGGTTTACCAGAGACTCGACCGAGACATGTCAGCGAAACAGCATTGGAAAATCGTCAATGAGAATGCCAACGTCGATTATCCTGTTTCTATTGAAGTCGAGCCCACAGCCGGAGGTCAGCTGCGGCTTCAAATTACCTTCTTCAGTGATATTCTCGCCAAAGAGCAAGCCATGATACTGCTGAAACAGTTTGACGCGGCATTTCAGCACCTTGCTTTTTCGCCCTTTGATTACGAAACAGATCTTTTCAAGTTACACCCGGCCCTTTTCTCAATCCTGCCTCCAGAGACTGCTGAGATCCCGACGCAGGTTAAGTTCCTTCACCAGTTTGTGGAAGTTCAGGCCCTTCAAGCACCTGACGCGACCGCTCTTCATTTTGTGACAGGATACGACGGGAATGCGCCGATCGGGGATATATGGACCTACGCAGAGCTCAATGATAACGGCAACCGGGTGGCACAGTTATTGCTCTCTCGGGTCAAGCCTGGAGACATCGTTGCTGTTTACTTTGACAAGTGCCCCGAAGCATACTTTTCAATTCTGGGGATCCTCAAAGCTGGTTGTGCGTTCCTTGCCTTGGATCCTGGAGCACCACGGGCAAGAAATGAGTTCATCTTACAAGATTCTGGAGCCTCGGTTCTAGTCACGTCGAGAGCCAGAAAGGACAACCTCGAGCTCTCTGTCATCGTCCCCACCATCTTTCTCGATCGGGCGTGTTTATTGGCGGCATCATCAGATCCTCCGGTTCTTAACCTGGAACCCAACAATGTCTGCTACTGCCTCTACACATCTGGCACAACTGGCACGCCAAAAGGATGCGAGATCACTCATGATAACGCAGTCCAATGTATGCTTGCCTTCCAACATATCTTCAGCGGCCATTGGCAAGATGACTCAAGATGGCTGCAGTTTGCCTCGCTGCATTTTGACGTCTCAGTCTTGGAACAGTACTGGAGTTGGTCAGTGGGCATTACGCTTGTGGCTGCCCCCCGAGACTTAATTTTGGAAGACCTCGCAGGAACGATTTCTCGGCTTGGAATCACTCACATCGACCTTACCCCCAGCCTAGCACGCCTTCTACATCCCGATGATGTGCCAACTCTCTGCAAGGGTGTTTTTATTACCGGGGGCGAGTCGCTAAAACAGGAGATCCTTGATATTTGGGGTTCCAAAGGTGTCATCTACAACTTCTATGGCCCAACGGAGGCGACCATCGGGGTCACAGTTTTCCCACGAGTACCCACAAACGGCCGGGCGTCAAACATTGGAAAGCAGTTCCTCAACGTTGGTTCCTACGTGCTGAAACCGGGCACACAACAACCTGTCCTCCGTGGGGGCATAGGCGAGCTTTGTGTTTCCGGTCGGTTGGTTGGTAAAGGGTATTTGAAGCGCCAGGACCTTACGGCAGAAAGGTTCCCGACCCTCCAACAGTTTGGGGACAGAGTCTATCGCACTGGCGACTTGGTGCGTGTCCTCCACGACGGATGCTTTGATTTCCTGGGCAGAGCCGACGACCAGGTCAAGCTTCGCGGCCAGCGTCTCGAGATCGGCGAGATCAACCACACTATCCGCAAAGGGGTCGATTCCATCCGGGATGTTGCCACCCTTGTCGTGAGAAGCGAATCCCAGAAGAAAGATCTGCTTGTTTCGTTCATCACAACTGGTGATGGGGCTAAGCGAGAGGAGTCGAACACCTCGCTTGAGGTTCTCGACGGCCCCAGCGCGGCAGAACTATGCCAACGCGCCAGAGACGCCTGCCGTTCAAATCTCCCTAGTTACATGGTCCCGACATACGTGCTTCAAGTCTCTTTCATCCCGTTGTCTTCCAACAACAAAGCGGAAACCAAACGGTTAGCGACGTTCTTCGCTTCGCTGACCGCTGACAAGCTCATGTCGCTGTCTTCACTATCGAACGTGTCTCCCCGGGTACTCAACGGTACTGGCGCGAAGATTGCGAAGGTCCTTGCTACAATGCAAGACGTCGAGACCAACTCGGTGACAGCAGAGTCGAGCATATTCGAGCTCGGTGTGGACTCCATTACTGTTCTCCGTCTCTCTCGGGAGCTGAAGAAGGAAGGTTTTGCAACGGCCAGCCCATCCTTGATTCTTCGCCACCCCCTAATCGGGGATTTAGTCCGGACTTTGGAAACTCACAAGCCAATTCACGGATCTGACTCGGTTGCAGCAGCAAAGCAGCTCGTCCAAGCCTGCGGCCATAAACACCGGGCCCACGTTTCTCAGGAACTAGGCGTCTTGCCAGACGAGATTGAATACATCGCTCCGTGCTCGCCTCTACAACAGGGCATGATCTCGAGGTTTTCCAGCGATAGCGCCTACTTCAACACATTCCAGTTCATCTTAGCTCCTGGTGTCTCAGCTGAGCGGATGCGTAACGCACTACAAAGGACAGTTGACGCGAACTCTATCCTCCGGACCAAGTTTGTGAGCACGGTTGACGGTGTCGTCCAGGTTGCTCTGAACGGTACTTCATTACCGTGGAGTGAAATCCGGCTCGAGGCTGGCTCGCCGATCGAGGACACGATCCGCGAGATGCGGGATGCTTGGTTGTTACGAAATCAGGACCGCCTTGTCGAACCCTTCAGAGTCGTTCTCGTCCATAGTGACGGGGCCCGCGTGCTTTGCCTTCACATATTCCACGGACTTTACGATGCCAACAGTTTCGATCTTCTTCTTAACCAACTGGCAAGCCAATACCTGGCGGGAGGCGATGAGTCTGCTGAAACAGCTCACGATACACGGAGGCCATCCTTCATCGATGCTTTGTGCCATGGACCGCTGCAAGACTTTAGCAACAGCAGGGCATTCTGGAGGAAGCATCTAAAAGGTGCAGCTGTTATCCATTCCCTCGAGCTTGCAACATCCCCGGCAACCATCAACGTCACGCGTAAGGGCCACTTCGGCGATCTCGAACTGTTGAAAACCAACCTCAGAGTCACGCACCAAGCATTGGTTCAAGCGGCATGGGTTAGTGTTTTAGCCAAACACCGTTCCATTGATCCAACCATCGGCATTATCGTTTCTGGGAGGAGCATTGAGTTAGACAACGCGGAAGCCGTTGTCGGACCATTGTTCAACACGCTCCCTTTTCATGCGGCTATCATCTCAAATGCCGGGTCTACCTGGTCATCCTTGATCCAGCAGTGCCATGAGTTCAACACTGCTGTTTTGGCTTTCCAACACGTCCCCCTTCGCGACATACAAAAATGGTGCTCGGGTGGACAACCCTTGTTCGACAGCCTGTTTTCGTTCCAGCGTGATATAGAACCAGACATCAAGCAGAGAACGCTGTGGACTGCGGTCGAGTCGAAACCCAAGGCTGATTACCCCCTGGCCTTAGAAGCCTCCCTGGACTCCAACGGTTATCTTTCTTTGCTTCTCGTTGCCCAGAATCACGAGGCTACTATACTCGCAACTATGATGGAAGACCTGGAAGAAGCGCTCAAGAACATGACTCGGGATTCCGGCGATCTCGTGGGAGCCATGTCAGCCGGCTTGGACCCTCGATCAGTTCGGTGCGCTGCGACAAACGAAGATATGTCGGATGAGCAACCTTCTGAGCCTCTCGTCGAAAGGTCGCCCTTTGAGTGGACCAAAGACGCTCTCATGATACGGAATGAGATAGCCGACCTCGCCGACATGGACCCACGATCTGTCCCCGAGAACGCATCCCTCCTAAGCTTAGGCCTCGATAGTATCGACGTGATCAGGCTCTCTGCATTGCTGCGGAAAAAAGGGGTCAACATCAAGACCAGCGACCTGATGAAAGCGCAAACGATTGCAGCGATTACCGAGCTGCTGCAAGCCAGGGCTCATGACGCCACCATCAACGGAACCGAAGGCGCTCCCGCGACGCAAAGAATAAACGAGGCAAAAGCCGCTTTGCGAGATTACATGATCAAAGCTGGCGAGCTCCTTGATGGCGAAGTTGTGCTCCCGGCGACGCCGCTTCAGGAGTCTATGGTAATGGAGATGATCAAATCCGATTTCCAGTTGTACTTCAACCACGACATCCTGGAACTTGCGCCCTCGGTGGATGTCACCAGGATGGCGGACGCGTGGAGGACCGTGATCGCCGGCTCGCCTATTCTTCGGACCAGGTTCGTACCAGTTGAGAGCCCCGAGTTGGCGGCATCGTACTGTCAAGTCATTGGTGACGGCTCAACGGTGCGCATTACCGAAGTTATCTTGAACAAGACCGAGGAGTTGGCAAAGGTTTGCTACACTGCGACGCTCCGAGCTCAGAAAGGGGCAGGGAGGTCCGACCTTCTGCAGCTGGTGTTTGCAACAGACGGAGATCAGACCTTCTTGGTCCTTTCCATCGCCCATGCACTGTACGACGGGTGGTCTCTCAGCCTTATCCACGAAGCCGTCCATGAGGCGTATGAAGGGACATACCGGGTCCCAACCTTGGGGTCATACATTCACCAGCTCGACAACGTTTTGTTCCAGGAACATCGAGATGCACCGGCATTTTGGGCTGGTTTCCTTCAAGGTGTTACCCCGACCCTGATACCCGAAAACCAGTCGGAACCCGACAAAGATCCGCTGGTTCACAGAGATGAAGTGACCTGGCCTGTCTCGGCGGCGGAGACCATGGCTTTCTGCAAAGCCAATACTATCACCTTGCAAACCTTAGGGCAGGCCTGTTGGGCTGCCATCCTCGCTGCCAAAACAGGGTCTCTTGATGTCACCTTCGGCGTGGTACTTTCCTGCCGGGACACTGTGTCCCTCGAAGAGCTCGTGTTTCCAACCATGAACACCATCCCTGTCAGGAGTGTCTTGCACGGCACGGTCTCATCATGGGTCCGTTACATGCAGGAAAACATGAACAGCATCGGCCCTTACAGGCATTTTCCACTACGAGCGGCAAAAAAAGTGGCTAAAAGCAACGGGCCCCTCTTCAATACCTTGTTTATTCAGCAGCGAGGACTTCCGGGGGTTCACCAGGTGAGCAACAGACAGCTCATGGAGTCAGTTGGCGGAACATCGAAAGTGGAATACCCCGTGTGCGTGGAGATGGAGTTGATGGAGAGCAGGCTGGTCTGGCGGATGGCTTGTGACGGCGCTTATGCGTCTCAAGACGCAATGTTGCAAATGTTGCGGGAACTCAACCAAGTCCTTATCTACATCATGCGTTCTCCTGAAACAGGCGTTCTGTCGTTCTCAGGGCAGCGAGTTTCAGTGTGCGGCCAGTCTCCCATCGTGCTCCAAATCACAGACAGTGTCCTCACCACTGCCGCACACGATATGGGGCTGGAAGAGGAGGACGGTCCTTGGTCTCCTCTCGAAGAAATCATCAGGGATGTGTTAGCTGCTGTGTCAGGGACACCCGCCACAACCATCCTGAAGGCCAACAGCATTTACCATCTTGGCCTGGATTCGATCAGCGCCGTGAAGGCTGGTTCACTGTTGCGGAAGAAGGGAGTTTCGATCGGGTTCCGAGATATGCTCAAGGCACAGTCGATATCCGAAATGGCGATGCTTGCCCGTGAAGCCCAGTCTATCCCAACACCGCCAGAGTCTTCCGACGGTGAAGACGAACGCACCAAGGCCTTTGACGTTCCACAAGATGTCGGAATACCGGTCATCCTCCGTGGTATCGGGATTCAAGAATCCGATGCCGAAGAAGTGCTCCCAGCCACGTCGATGCAGGTACATATGCTGTCAGTCTGGCAGAACACCCTTGGAAGCGTGTTTTATCCGTGTTTCCAATACGCACTGTCCGGTCAAGTGGACATCATCACCATTGCCACGGCATGGAAGACTTTGGTGGCCGAGACACCCATGCTCAGGACCGTATTCGTCTCAACCAATTTGAGATCAACCCCGATCATGCAGATCACTCTTCACGCCGCAGCATTGGATCACATACAACTTTCGGTCGACAACACTACGTGGCATAGCCGGGCGATGGAAGATCTGCCACAGCCGTATAGCTCCCTGCACGCGGAAAGAAACGGGGACAGTTGGGTCTTGCGCTTGAAGATTCACCACGCACTATACGATGCCGTTAGCCTGCCCGTAATCATGGACAAGTTTGCGGCCCTCTGTTTCCCGAAAACCATTGATAGTTTCATCACCACCGGGTTCAAGTGGCGGACTATTCTCGCCCCCCACCTTTCGGATGCTGCTCGTGATGCACGACGGCAGTTCTGGGTCCAGTATCTTGCCGGCATCCAGCCCCAGCCCCCATGTCCTCCTACAACCGAGGGAGACCCCACTTCCCGGGTGAGCACCATCAAACGGGCTGCTCTTCGTGGAGTCTGTGGAATTGTGAACTTGTGCAAACAGAATGGAGTGGGTTTGCAAGCCCTCTTCTTCGCTGCATATGCAGAGTTCCTCGCCTCCACAGCCGCTCGAAATGGTGCCGAAAGGCCTCAAACGATGGTATTTGGCATTTACCTCGCCAATAGGGCCGAAAATGACCCAGGCACGAGTACCTATCCCTTCCTGCGTCTGGTGCCGCTCCGGGTCGTGTTACGAGACACTCCCAGCCTGTTTGACATTGCGAGTGAGATCCAGAGGGATATCCACGCCATATCATCCCCTGTTCACGTGGAAGTTGGGCTGTGGGAGATCAAGGATTGGACGGGCGTCACGATCGACTCGTTCGTGAACTTCCTTGCAGCGGCCCCGTCCGTCCTAGATCAGCGGGAGGATCCCCAACTAGAGCTACGGGAGCCATCGGAAGCTGGTGATCCAACCACCCATGATCAGTTGGATGGCAACTTTGAAGAGTTGGCCGAGGCGATAGCAAGCAACCCTGTAAGGGATGCCTTTCAGGTAAGTGCTTTCCTGGTGATATATTGGCACGGCCATTCATGGGGCTGCACTGACCATTCATCAGGATGCGGTTGATGTGGAGGTTTCCGTGCAGGACGATACGATGACAGTTGGCGTCTTTGGGTCCAGAGAGAAACTGGGAAACAGCGGTGGAGACAGAGTGATTGAAGGAGTCATTACACTATTGACGGGTGTGTTCTAAGTATTTTAGTTTTAAGCTGTATTATGACGGGTTGGTTTCCTTCAAGTAGTCAATAACTAACTGGAGCTTTCGATGCTTTGGCATGCATTCGAAATGGGCATTGAGCAACGTCCTTGTGCCCAATATCTTTACAGTGATTGTCTACCTATTTACAGCCGTCAAATGACCCTATAATACTGGACCTGTGGACCATGCTGCGGTTTTAGCACGACCCTGCGCCCCCTGGCCCCCCTTCGAGCAAAGCAACCATCTGTTCCAGCTCATGCACCACACTTTCGTAGATAGCCCCCTGCAACTGTGGCTTGTTAAGATCAGCTCCAAAGCCAAAATCACAGTACAAACACTTCGCAGTCAGCTCGTCATATCGAGGCCCCAGTCGTGACGGTTTTGCTGCCACCCTGCGTATCAAGACCAAATCTTCAGTATCTATTGCCTCCCACCTCCCGATCTGGAGGAGGGCAACTCCAAGACTATGAAGCGTGACGTTTCGAATACCACACAGGAGTTGGGTGTCGTCGTCAGATGGCGGCGTGGGGATGTGTGTTGTGACGCTCTGCATTGACATCATGCTCTCTGGAGTGGATAGCCTTGTGTTGATGTGGAGTGTCGAAAGAGAGACTGAAAGTTCAGCATCGATATCAAAGTAGGAAAGATCAGAAAGGTCCCAGTTTCGGCGCCACCATGGCGTTGAGTGATACTGAAGCACCGAGCGGGCAAGGCGGAGGGCTAGTCGGAGCTGCTCGTTGACCGCTATGTCTTGTTGGTTGGGACACCGTAGTACGGAAGCTAAACTCGCCGAAGGGGAGGGGCGGGTCTGAATCACAGTGCTCTCCCTGTCATGAGCCGTCATGAGTTGGTGGGTGAGGTTGTCGGTGGATACTAGGTACCCGATACAGCCCTCCTCTTTTGACTGGTGGAGTGCTTTCCCACATTCGAATACGTGCTGGCAGACATCTTTGGATTGGCATAGATTATGAGCTAGTTTTTCGTTGCTCGTGCGTTGCCACGTTCGCAGAGAAGTGTAAGTCCTTAAGGAAGAATGGCCCGGGGAGTCAGCAAATCTGACTCGACGAGCCTTGGTTGGTGGCTCGGGAGATGGTAGTGAGGCAACCGGCGACGGAAGGCCGACGTCAACCCAGGAAATCTCTTCGGAACGGATACGCAAGAACAATAAGCTACTAAGTAGGAAGACGGTGAGCCAAGTAAGTCCTTAGGTAGCAGTTACCGAGGAGCAGACTTACTTCTGTTTAAGATTTCCTGATGTAGATTCGTACGCCAGTATCATCCTGAAGTTGACACAGGTTTTGGATACGTCTGACTCAAGAAATAACTTGGCAGTGTGGGTGGAGTGGACACCATTTGAGTTCCGGCAAGACCAGGTTTTTGAAAGAGCTTCGATGAAGGACGCAGAATGTCTCGCTACCAAGCTGTATGTCTGGGGCATGGCTTTCCGTTGCATTAGGGAAACCGGGCTGGGCTTCTGTAGCTCCCTCGCTGTCTTTCTTAGTCTCCGAAACTCGCCAATGGAATCGGTGAGGGCGTCGAGCCCCGCCCTGAGGGCAGAGTACTTAGAAGCGACTCCGACGGCCTGTTGGAGATGGTGGGCTTTGGCTGCGAGCTATAGAAATGAGTAAGTCGTGTTTCATAGGACGGGGCTTTCCCCCGGTGAGAGGTAGAGGGGCATGGGGCTCTGACTTTGCCTTTGCTGGAAGGCTGATCCGACCCCTCTAGGGCACTGAGATCTCGGTCAAATGCCGCTACTTGTGTATGGACCTGCTCCGTCACTTCCTTGAGGTCGAGATATCTCTTGCCGATAAACTTTTGGATCTGAAGCTCGAGATTCGGACTCGTCCAATGTTCATGACTATGATCCTCGAGCATTTCTGCGGCGAGGTCGGGCCCGATTCCAGCGTCTTGGATTAATAACTGGGATTCGTCTCGGAAAATTGACATTTGCGTCCGGAGCCTTTTGCGGAAACGAGAGACTTCCCGATCATGGTGTTTCAGGAGCTTGATCTTAGACTTTGCATGTTTTGCCCCTTTCAATGCCCCAAGACAGAGCGGCGCTATTCCAAGAGCCAGTGAGACGGGGTCCATCGCTACATGGCCCAGCGGATTACGAAGATGGAAAGACGGGAGTTCACCGGGCTTTGGGTAGTTATGAGCTGGACAGATCCTTTACGCGCTAATCCGCTAATCGAACGCCGCTAAAACACATCAAGCGGCTATTGGCTTGCGCAACTCGACGCCCTCCTGCATTGTGCATGGTCGGGACCAGCATAGCCCCCACACTGCCACCATGCGCAAGCAAGCCGCACGCAAGGCTCTGTGGCTTCGTCAATATCGGGTCTCCGCGTGGTTCCGGGAGGGAGGGGCGTAGCGTCACAGCTGGAAGACTTGGAACCTCATCGTTTCTCGATTATGGATAGGTACGTAAATTGCAATTAACACCGTCACCTGCCACTCCAACCGATCCTTCCTTAGGTCCAGCTCAATTCAGGTATCTCCATTATGGGTAGCGAGATCAAACGCTGGCAACAGTCCGTGGTGCGTGATGGCAGCACGGAAACTTCGTCATCCAAGCGAGACGGATTTACCTCACGTCTCAGCAAAGCAGCGTGTCAACTATTCCATCTCTGTCTCGACCAGGGTGATCTTGGAACCATCGGACCCCACCGCCGTGAGCTCAGTCGCGTCTATGGATACTTGCAGCTGTGGTGCGATGGTTACGGTGCGCTGACCGGGGACCTTGACGTTGCCCTATCCGAATCAAAAAGGCTGCGACGTGACACCTACCGTCTGTTAGTGAGCATATGTCATATTATGGCGGATAGTAGGTGAATATGGATTCTTACGAGGCTCCATTGGGTTCTAACTGCCCTCAGGGATGACTACTGCGCTCTCAGTCGACCTTGACAACGACTGGCAGCGCGGGCTACACAATGAAGCGGCCCGGACCCGGGATCTAATCGAAGAGGCAACGTTTGCCAATGGCGGCGACGATGGCAGTGATTCGGGGAGCGACTCTGGAAGCGACACGTCGTCCGTAACAAGTGACTTCAATATCGAGGAGATCACAAAGGATCTCAAAACCGATATTCTTTGCCTGGTTGAGTTAGGTCCCAGATACAAAGAGCCCATTCGAGACAGAACTGTCGAGGAGCAGCCTGTATTGCCATCGCTAGCAATGAACTGGGATCCGGCCGAACACCTAGCGTCCCGCATACGACACCGTTATCCCGATGGAGATGCTCTCTTGGCTCATGTCTTCGGCAAGATGAACTGGGAAAGGGCCAAAAGATTATATGCCGCGAGAGAGGCGAACGCCCGGGCAGTCGAACGGCCATCAATACAACTTGCCGCAGCGTCCGAGGCAAAGGGAACCGTAGTTGCGTCCGACTTTCACGACTCGGGGCTTGGGACAACATTAGCCTCGCCAACCTCTTACGCTGAGACGGTCCTTTCATACCGAGGCACGAAGGGGGGATCGATCAGCGTCCCGCAGATCCCCCCAGAAGGGATGAAAGGACAACCATTTATTTGCAGCATATGTGGCTGCGCCTGCCAATTGCCGGAGGCCAACTGGAAGTCATCCTGGAAGTAAGAACGCTGTTTCCTTCTTTTTTTCCTTTCTGTCTTTCCTTTTTTTTTTTTTTTCTTTTTTGAAAAGACCGGCGGTTCGGCTCACCTAACAGTGCTAACGTCGATGGACAGGAGACATGTTTTCTCCGACCTTGAACCCTATGCCTGTGTCATGGCAGAATGCAAATTTGGCCACGTCCCCTTCCCGCACAAGTACGCCTGGATACAGCACCTCAAATTGGAACATAATTTCCCTAGCATCTCAAACAAGATAGCATGCCCTCTTTGCCAGGAGCACATCGGCAGCGAGGGAATAGCCCATCTAGCACGGCACCTTGAGGAGATCTCATTAACCATCCTCCCGACAAACACGGAATCCGACGACGAATCCGACGGGAATCCGGGGGAGGGCCCGGAGGGGTCAAAGGATGGACCCAATATCCCCGACGGAACATTCGCGAAGTCCCCCGAGGATCCAACATCATCAGAAGGCTCCCGAACCCCTGCAACAAGCAAACCCGGCGGGCAACACAACGGACCCGCGTGGTCCCGGGCCATTGCTTTGTACGATCTCAAGCCTGCGCGAGCGAGCGAGCTTCCATTGGTGAAAGGCCAAGACTTATGGGTCCTAAAATTAGCGGAAAGGGCCCCAGGTGCAGCCTGGATTCCAGCCTTAAGTGACCAAGGACAACGCCAAGGTTGGGTGCCACGCTCGTATGCAAGGTTGATAAGGAACAACAAGAGTCTTGCCGAAGGCGATGGCCCAGAACTGCCACACCCAAGTACTGAGTTTGAATTTCATACTCAATGGGGAGAGAGCTACCAAGCTGCCTTGCCTTCTGCATATCCGCCGCTTTCTCCTATTCAAGAACCCCGGGAAAATATCGGAGTCAGCAAGTTAGACGGTGCAGGGGCAGATGAGACCAGTACGACAGGCAACGCAAATGACAGTGAGACCGCGGTTCTACCGCATCCACTTGATGCACCGGAAGAGCCGGGGGGAGGCGTTGACGAGAGGCCAAACAATAGTCATTTTATCCTATTTGAGGATGTTAAATACCACTTGGTGAACGTTCCACCGAATCCACTCGGTGCACCAGAGAACCCAAAGGGAGGCGTTGACGATAGGCCAAACAACGGCGATTTTGTCCTGTTTGAGGGAGTCAGGGACGACTTGGTGTACTTCCCACCGCTGTTTGATGATACGGAAGCACCACGCGCCTCGCAAGAGTTGTCGGAGGCAATTCATGGGGATGGTCCGCGCGAGGACTCAAGACACCCGGTGCCCTGGTCGCTGTTTACGTGCCCTGAACCAGGATGCAACTTCAGGTCACGCAAAGAAAACTTGGAGCGTCACCGACGGAGGCACGGGTATGACGGAGAGGGTTGGGCTTGCATGGAGCGTGGTTGTGGCACTCGTTGGTCGACCAAGGAATTGCTGAACCAACACCGAAGCGAAACGCACGCAAAACCCGAAATTGACACCGAGGCAGAGTTCCACAAACCTAGGCCTGGAGTAAGCAGGGAAGCAGGGAGCTCGTCTTCCTCGAAACGAGGGCCCGGCGAGGACAGCGATATGCAGGCGCTCTTTCGATCATCATATGGAAGAGTGACAGGAAAGAAAAAAGACATTGGTTAGCGGCGTGAGGCAGTAATAAGGGCCGGCCAGGGAGCTTGAAAGGAGCTACAGGCTGCGTGTGTTCAGTGTATGTGATATGAAATGGGGTGCTGTAGTTGCTGCTGGAGTTCATAAACTTGAGTACTCTTTACATTTTCTTCCACGTATAGTCTGCATCTATTCCAGGTTAGTGTTTGTATCTATAACCTCCTCCATATTTGTACTTACCAGGATGGATCGGAGGCTCCTCGATATCTTTCCTAATCGCCCTCTTTTCACGCCAACGACACCCCGGAAACCGCTTGTCCCTCTCGTCCATAGCTTTTTCTAACCCCGGAAGTTGATCCGCCTTGGTCAGACTCGTCATGAGTTGCGGCTCTCCCAGCGGCAGTTTATCACCGCGATCGACTTGCCATAGGTGGTACACCTTGCCATAAAGCTCAACCACCTGCTCCATCTCGGCGGTCTCGGCCTTGTCCCATAGCGCCTGGGGCACGAGCGCCGAGGGTTGCGGCATGACGAGCATGCCCGACTTGACCTCGAAGACGTGGCTGTGCCACAGGCGGCGCTCCTCCCGGTCCAGGGTCTCGTATAGGTGCGGCTTGATCATGTACTCGATGCCGATCAGGCGGGCCCCGGGCGAGGGGCTGTCGTAGAGCAGACACTGACGCACATCCTCGGTTAGGTGGCCACAGTAGTGGTTGGCCTCGACGACGCGGGTTGGGTCGGATGCGTAGACATGGAAGGCGTTGAGGTGGGCGCAGATGTTTTGGAGGGGCGAGAAGTCCTGGGGATATTAGCACCTACCTATCCTTGGTGCATTAGGGTAGGTGTATATCATTGAAACCTGCCTGTGTCATGGCGGCACCTGTTTCTAGGACTGTGCTTTTTGTGCTTCGTGGCTCGCCGGCCACTTTGGTCTCAGCATCTCGGTCTTTTGCCTGTACTGTGGACTCCATGGCGTTGTTGCAATGCTGGTTAATGACTCGATGGTCACAGGGTAGCTTCTATGAACCTGTACTCTGGCTGTATTAGAACACCGCGGGCAGGTTGTGAGATGCCAGCGTTTACACAGTAGTCTCAGTTGTCGTCCGTCATAAATGACGTCATCATCATCCACATTCCACTCGGCGGGTGTCATGATTGAGAAACGCAGCTTCTCCAGGCAATCGGTCTCAACCGCATCAGCACATCCACCACCCGATGATCTGACATCCGTAAAACACCGAGGGTGTGCATCATATTGCCGACCGAGAAGATGACCGCTGAGCGTTGCTCCAGCTCCTTAATCAAACGTGGGCGGCGACGACACTCTACCGTCCCGTTCCGGCCTTCGATTTCCGAATTGGGCGCTGATGGAGATGATCGTGTTGCACGACGACAAACCCCAGCTGCCACAAAACCAATCTGTTGATGTCAGTCCTGTTCATTTCGGGTCTTGCGGTTTTTTGCAGGCGGGCGGGCACGGCCCGTTCGGCGGCCAACCACAGCGAACGTCTGCGCGGGGCTCCTGAACTGAGCCTCTGAATCTGCAAGTCGAGACAAACCTCCTGGAAACGGGGTTCGTCTCCACATCGATACGAAACACCGAATTGTCCGCGAACCCCGCGCGCCAGATCGTCAAATAGGGTAAAACACCAGCTGATCAGGTCGGTTCAAGTCAACATGCATTCGCCATTTGCCATTAGGAAATCAAAACTCACAAGTTTGAGGGGGGTGGCCGGCAGGGTCGTCAACAGCTGAACTTGCGTTGCCCCCGCTCCGCGGAATCCAGAACGGGTCCATTGAGCTGCCGTGCGACCCTGGCCTCGACTTTGCTTGGCCACTTTCATGACCGGGGTCGGGGTCGAGATGCGCGTCAAGCCGCAACAGGCCCCATTGGTTGCCTTGTGCTTCCCCGGCGTCCAATTTTCTGCAACCTGCGATGCCCGAGAAACGAACCCGAGAAAGTTGCGGGCCAAAGCGGCCAAAGAGAGTGGACGCGTTGCCCGTTGTTGTCCTCATACAATGGGCTCTGATCCCCGGAGGAGGTTGAGTTGTCCTCTCTTCATCAAACAACGGACTGACACCCTTGGCCTCGAGTCCTGAGGGACGGTCGGATCACATCACCCTAACTCGCCCCCTTAAAGAGCCTTGCCGGCTGCCTCACCTGCCGTGGGAACACGTCCACCACGACAGCCCCTCCGAGGGACGACGCTACCCCTCCTCTACCAACATCGCCAATAGCCATGGGCAACAGCAACAGCTCGGAGAGCGGCGGCGACGATGAGAACGTCGTCAACTGGGTCGCCCTTGTCATCTCGCTAGTCGCGCTGCTGGGAACCTTCGCCCAGGTCTTCCAACAGTACATTGCCTCGGCCGCCGGGTATTCGAACTGCGGCGAAAGCGTCATGGGAAGGTGGCACATGAGCAAAAAACGAAAATTCCGGGCGACCGAGCTGCGTTTCGAGGTCGAGTTCGAGACCCCCGTCTTCTTCGTCTGCCCGACCACGAATGAAAGGGGCCCTATCAAAAATCAGCCCATCACCTTTGTGAGCGGCACACCGGACAGCTTGCGAGACACGAGGGCATTACTGCCCCAGGAGGAAGAGGCCCAGCGCCAATCGCTGCAAGAGAGCACAGTACACACTGCCGACAATGAGAGGGCCTCATGGGTCGTGCTGCTCTCGCAGTTGCAATCCATGGAGAAGGAAAGCCAGCAATGGCAGCTCGATCATTACAAGGCAAACCCGCCTCAGGCACTGCCCCCCGTCGACTTCTTGAAACACACGCTCGCCGTCGCCCTGCAGGCTAAGAGACGGAGTTGGGATACCATGCCCGCCAGCGTCAAGAAGCCCTACGCCACTACCACCATGTGCCACCTCCTCGAGATCGTCGCTATGATGGGGATATACTGGAAGGAGTTTGACCGGTCACGGGAGCGATACCGGGCCGAGGGGAACGGTTATATCCTGACGGGCACCAACGTCCCCGATCTCGGCATCATGTTCACCCTCCAGGTTACCGGTAAGAGCCGCTTCCGGGAAAATAGGGTGATCCCAGTCGACGAGGTCAAGGAGCTGTGTTGCGGCTATGTGTCAACCCTGTTTCAAGAGAGCAAAGATACGCGTAGGGTCGAAGTTCTTGACACGGAAAACAAGAATGACAAGGACACCAAGGACCTGAGTTTCCTCCAGCTCGGCAGTATGGACGAGATCGCTGAAACTATGGTCCTCATCGAGTGCAACACCGATACAGCCAAGTATTTCCGGTCTCCAGAGGCTAAGCACGGTCATCTCTTCCAAGGTACGCGTGCCTGGCCCTCTATATCCCTCCATTCCCCCACCGTTTCTCTAGGTATTAACCAGTCCAATCAGTCCCCTTTGAGCTTGTTGGTATGCTCGGCAAGACCCTCCATATCCGCAACAGCGGCTTTCGCATGCTTCCAAACCCCACACCATACCACTGGGATAAGAACTTTTTCAACATGCGGAGGCTGGTGAGGGAATACTGGAAAAAGATCACCGATACGGACACCGACGTGCCCTGGAATGAACAGATCCAACAGTTAATGGAAGATTCCGACATGTTGGTGCGCGCCCTAGATGTGGATAAGAAGTCCAAAACTCCCGGATATTCCATGCCGCTACTCAACACCCTTCACGATGTCTTGGACCAGTGTGACGATTTCCTCAAGAAAAGCGACCGGGATCTTGTGCGTATGGTTGTCCGCGAACACTTCCAGGAAGTCATGAAGATGATCAACGATAAAAGCGGCGCCGAATCGGATTTCGACACCAAGAGCGCGCGAAGCGGCGGCGGCAAGCAACTGACAGAACACTTTGACGAGCTCACGGCCGCCAGCCCGGAGCTGCGCCAGGAGGCCTTCATGGAGCTGTACTTCTTCAAGGTGCTCCGCCAGGTCCGGGCCCGCGCTGTCATGTCATATGGGCGCCGACAAACCACCCAATACGCGCCCTCGGTGCATTCCCCGGAGCCCTCCTTCGACAGTGAGGCCGAGGCCAAGCCGTCCGCCCCGTCACCCCCCGCCTCTGCCGCTCCGTCTCTGCCGATATCGCCGGCCGTGCCGCCGGCTCACCTCAGGCACGAGAGGACTCATTCGGCTCAGTCAGTCCCCATGCTGAACGTCCCGGACCACGGGCCACACCAGGACCCTGAGGACGAGACGACAAAACTTGAGTCAACAGCGTCGGCCATCTGGTGTACTCTCGTGCTGAGGATGTTGTGTTGGTTACTGCTACACGATTTCAACAAAAAAGACGTGCAGATTTCCAAAAGTGAGCTGCTCGGAAGTCGGCTGCCGGTTTATATCGCTTAGCTAGCGTATCAGGGCGGTGTGGGTGGCGTGCGTGGTGTTGGGACGCGGGAGAGAGCACACCCCCTTGGGTTGCCCTTATGTTGGATGCTGGAATGAAACACGGCATATTCAGGTAATCAACTCCGGCGGTCGTGTACTTTATTTACGTTTCATTTTCCCAGGCAGCGCGCCAGAATACCCTTCAGTTGTTTACATTCTGGCGTGCTTTTGAGCATTGCAAACCATGATCAATTTACCATCTTCCTTGGAGACCTCAACCTCCCACCTTTGCCAGTAGTAAAAAGGGAGTGCGAAAAATACTGGCACCCAAAAAAGCCACCTGCGCTTGGGCCCTTGACAGCTCAGGAACAAGCTGCGCCTGCCATTCGCCCTGCGGGAGTCGCAATGCTGCAGCTGCCGGCCACCCAGAAAGCTGGATGTGGGGCTCGCTAATGCTGAATGAACTGGCAACCATCTCCACCTCCCCCACTCGACTTTCAATGGCTCCTGAGCTCTTCCATCTCCAGACATGCCGACATACTTCGTACGAGAGGAAGCAACGGAGCAAATCGAAGCTTCTCGGTTGGAAACATTGGATGCCCCGTTTGGGAAGAGCGCCAACTCATCACTATGATGTCGTCCATTCCAACCGCCTGACCCTCCGTGGAGCGACCCCCAACCTCCGATGACTTCCGTCCCGGGTTCGGTGGTTGGCACCCCTCGACCGCCAATTGCAGCGGCATGAAAGACCTCGAAAATGCCACCGGATGCCCCGCAATTGACCCCGCCCGACCAGTGATCAGGGAATGATGCGGTGAGCGAAAATGGTGACCGCCTTGACCGCCAACCGCTTCGAACGTTCTGGGAACTTGGAAACAAGCCCGCGGTGGTTCGGATGCCTGCCGGGTGCCCGCCCCTCGTTTTTTGCCGATTCAAGCTGGCGGGGGGGGCAGGACGCAAATGGGTCGACGACGTGGTGGGGTGTTCCGTGCTTCATGCCCGACCCCAAACTATCCAATCATGCCACCAGCCCTGCATGCAGCAGCGTTTGCTTGCCAGCATGGCATCGGGAGGCCTGAAACATTCTCGATTTGGCGCCGCCATTTATCCCAAGAGGTGCCCGTTTGCCGGCGGTTTTAGGTTCCACAACACCAACTTAATCTCGACGCCTTTTGCGCTCCTCGATCTTCAGAGATACAAGACAAAGTCCCAAGGTTACCACACATAGGTTCCAGCAATCCAACACTCGAAGCCAAGGCGCGCGGTTACCGAGGCATGAGAAGCCTGCAGCTCATGGCTTGAACGCCCAACCACGAGAGTCGAATCACAGTCCCACTCGCTTAACACAACCACATCGCGCGAAATGCCGGCCACGGAATTCGTCACCATTATCAATAACTCGGGGAAGGTTATCAGTACGGTAAGAACACCCCTTGGCTGCTGCCCCAGGGAGTCTGGGGCTCATGGCACACGCCACTGACGCTGCGCAGGGCAAGCAGCTAGTCGGCCTCTTCAAGGAGGCGCAGGCAGCGTACCGAGACCGCCGAGAAGCTGGGAAGGCCGAACGCGCCGAACGCGCCGGGATTCGGCGGGCCCAGACTTTTGATGTGGCACCACGCGCGGATTCGTACTTCGACAACTACGACTACGGCGCCGGGGTTCCAGACGACGGGTCCGGTCGTCGGCTGTCCTACGATGACGATGCTCGCTCGCAAGCCTCGTCCCGCCATAGCCGCACATCCCGGCGATCGCGCCGCCCCCGTTCCCCAGACCGACCGCTTGCGCTCACCGAGGGCAACCTAAAAACGCACTCCGAAGTATCAGCTACAGCCCCATCCAAGGTTCATCGAGCACCATCCGTCGCGGGTGCGCCTCGGGACTTGGCCCTCGCCATCCGGGCGCCGCCCCCACCCGAGTCGGCCCCGCCGTCATCAGCAACCCCACCTGAGCGTCGCCAGATCATCCACCGCCCGCGCTCTGACCTCGGCGTGGTGAAAAAGAAGTCAATCGATATGAACCTCGCCTACGGTGACATTCCGCCCGACCTCGAGTCCCGCGTTGACCTCGACCCTGTTCACAGCGATGGGGGAAGGGAAACCGTTGCGTTCGAGTCGGACGATCCCCAGGCGGCTGAAGCAATAACCTTGATGGACCGTATCGAGGAATACCTCGAAGAAGCGCATTGCGTGCAGCACACTGCATCGTCCATGATCGAGAATCTGCAGCGCAACCCGGAGGCCGCGGCTGCTGTCGCCCTCTCTCTCGCGGAGCTGAGTACCCTAATCGGCAAGATGAGCCCCGGCTTTCTGGCTTTTCTCAAAGGCGGCAGCCCCGCCGTATTTGCCCTGCTCGCGAGCCCCCAGTTCCTTATCGGCGCCGGCGTAGCCGTGGGTGTCACGGTCGTCATGTTTGGCGGGTGGAAGATCGTGAAGCGCCTCGGAGCCACGGCCGGCCCAACCAGGACACTCGAGACGCCGTTCGAGATGCGCCCCATGTCTGTCCCTGCTGCCCCTGCCCCCGCCCCTGCAGCCATGCAGGAGAAGGCGCTGCCTCCAGTACCTGGCCCCGCCCCGAGTGCCGCCAGCTATGACGAGGCACTTGTGTTGCGCGAGGTTGAGGAGCTGAGCTCCATCGAATCGTGGCGCCGTGGCATCATGACCGGCCTCGAGGATGAGTCGGCCGAGGTCGAGCTCATGAGCCGCGAGGCCGAGCGCGCTCTGAAGGAGAGGCACAACCTGGATCTGCCCGACGAGGTCGAACCGTGCGACTCCGTCTCGCAGGTCAGCCGGGCCCCTCGCGAGCGGTTGAGTCGGTCTCATCGCAGCTCCCGCAGCAGCGCCGGCCGCAGCCACCGTGAAAGGGACGGAGAGACGCAGGTCTCGGAGCGGCGACGCAGCTCTGGCAAGAAGGACAGAGACGGCGGCGCGAGCGAGGCGGGCAGCGAGCGGAGCCACCGCAGCAGCCGCAGCAGCCGCAGTCACGAGGGATCCTCGGTATCGCGTTCATCGAAGCATTCCAGGATCACTCTTAAGGTTATCGAGGAGGGTGACGACGACTCGGCCAGCGCGGCTGGGAAGCCGAAGGAGAAGAAGCGAGACATGATCAAGCAGCTGTTCAAGATGAAGAAGGACAAGGATGACCGCGACCGCGCTGTTTCGGTGATGGTTTGAAGAGGATTTGCATTTGTGATGATTTCTTTGGTTTGTACTGGGCTTGCATGGGAACTGGCGTTGGGGGATTCAAGACTATTTCGAGCATGGCGGGCAACGTGTGTGCCCATGTTGAAGCCAGGATGTTAACTTGCCTTGATAAGATACTCTACAAAGCAAACACATGTCACACTTAACCCCACCCTCTCTGCAGGGCTTCGTCGAGTCGCGGCAGAGGGGGCCGATCTGTGCGTCCGTACCTTGTCATCATGTCAGCGACACGGGTGTAAGTTGGATCTAACCATAGTTATTAATTTACATGTTCGCCGACCTCGTACCTAAGCCAATTGCCCCTGCGCGGCAACAACTCCCTACAACCGCATTCTTCAACTTTGCCCATTCTGGTATGCGAGTTGTTCAAACAAGTCGGGGTGGGGTGAGTCGGTGTAACGTCGACCTTAACTTTCACAAGGATTAACTAACTGATCCTTCCCCGGCAGTTGAACCTCCTCGGTGCTGCATTTGCACCGTCCCGTCTGCTCGGGCTTGGACAGTGGTGGGAGGGCAACACAAGGACAGGATCGGAGACATCAAGTGGTCCCTGAGCGAGGACCGATCTCTTCAACCCCTTATCCCTGTCTACGGGATTCGGAGATAAATTGCTCGAGCGGACTCTTACTCGTGCATATTCGTCCCGTCAGCACGCAGCCGAATCCTTGCTGACCTACCGCAAAGCGAACCCCGGCAAAGTAGCATTCATAAAGGCGGTGGGGTTCAGGCACCATTAGCGGTTGGCCGTCGATAGCGAAGAATCTCACCGTTGGCGAGCCTTCTCCTGGATTTACCTGGGATGTGGGTGCGGGGGACCAAGAGCAGCCGCTTCCTTCCTGTGAATCTGACGGCTACTTGGTAGAAATGGCGCTCTAGATGGGTCCAACATGATTCAGCAACGCAGCTCTGCTTGGCCAGGTCGAAGCATTGGCTAAAAGAAATCCTGAATCTGACGCGCGTTGTCGGGGACCTGTTCCTCATTGTTGCATCCGGCAAATACGGAGCTAACGCCGGTGTTAACACCAGATGTTCGCAAGACCTAGACAGCTCCTCGAGACTGCCGGAGTCCTCGGACACCCGAAACCCCTTTTGTTGGGGCAGAGCAACGCTCAACCCTGGACGGAAAGAACAGTCTGGGGGCTCACTCGGTCGCGTGCCGCGTAACGCCTGCCCACGCGGACGAACTGGCGGGAAGGATCGCAACTTGGCAGACGTGAGCTATAAGTAACGACCATCCCGCTCTCTACCTCACTTCATGGGATTCATATCACTTACAACACCGCCATTTCAACCGCATCTTCAACTCCAATAATTTCTTCGACCACCAAACCACTTACCAAAAGCTTTATATCACCCCACCCAACTGCACGCCATGGGTTCTCTGTTCCCGACTATTGCTCCTGGAGCAGAGGAGGGCATGAAGGCATACGTGGGCCCGTCGCTGTTCCAGCCGCACCGTGCTCGCCAGGCCATCCGGGACGCCCACGAGAAGAAGATCCCGCCCCTCATCGGCTACTATGCTGGTCTCAGCTCCGTCCCCATCACGCGGTTCGTCGCCCCGATGGGCTACGATGTCATGTGGATCGACTGGGAGCACACCTCGTGCGGTGTCGAGACCATGACGACGGTATGCCTTTCCCTCTCGTGATTTTGAGAAGCGTGACTGACAGCTGCAGATGGTTCACGAAGCAATGTTCATGAGCGGTGGCCGCACGATTCCCTTCGTCAGGTAAACATCACATCGCAGAAACCCCTCTGCCTTCGCTGCCCCTCAGCTAACACATTTCCGCAGAGTCCCTGGTCACGACCACGCGGCCATCGGTTTCGCGCTTGATGCGGGCGCCAGTATTGTTGTCCCCCAGCTCGAGACAGTCGAGCAGGCCAAGCACGTGGTGTCGGCGGCCAAATTCGGCACGCGGCAGAACGGCACCCGCTCGGCGCCCCCTTTCCGCATGGTGCCCGGCCTGACGGACATGGCGGCGGACGGCAAGCGCGACGTGTGGCAGAACCTCAACGACCAAGCAGCCATCATGGTGCAGATTGAGTCGCTCGAGGGCATCAACAACCTGGACGCCATCCTGACTGAAGTGCCTGACATCGACGTGGTGTGGCTCGGTAGCCTCGACTGCCGCATCAGCATGAACCTGCCAGCCAACTTCGGCCAGGGTGACGAGCCCGAGTGGCTGGCCGCCGTGGAAAAGTTCAACAGCACCCTGAAGAAGCACAACAAGCCCCGCGCCGGCTTCTGCCTCGGGGGTGGCGAGGAGTTGGCCAAGATGGGCGAGGACAACGTGCTGCTTGTGCATGCCGCCGACGTCATGAAGTTGTATGAGCTGGGTCCCCAGCTGCTTGCCGCGAGGCAGGCCGTTGCCAAACAGTAATGGTTGGTCGGGAGGAACAGGGTTCTTGTATTACCGCAACTTGAATAAACCATAGACTTGGGTGTAATGATAGAATCATGGCTTTTTACTTTATTATTCTGCCACCCCTGCGTAGCCCCATTTGAGCAGCCTAGACAACGACAAAAAGTTCCGCAAACTTCATACTATTCCTGTGCCCTGTTTGCTTCGCTCGTAAGCCCCACAAATACCACCAAGACGGCCGCATATGCCGCGGTAGTTGACAAGACATGTATATGCTCGTCCAAGAAGCAAGCCACAAGGGCCCCGAAGATGGTGACGAATACAGTGGTGGATATCAATGCAACGTATAGCCCAGTTTCTAATATCATCAACGACATAGGGCCAATAAGAAAGCCAGCACCAACGGCCGAGACCAGGAGCCGGCTAAGGAGATTTCTGTACCGATTTTCGGTTCGGGAGGGGACGACGGCGCTCATATGGCTGTCCCACTTCCGTACATCTCGAGCATGCCTGCCCCTGAACTGACGTTGCGTGGCCTCTCCAATTGCCGCCTCGAGAATGATGCGATCTAGTTTTTTCCCGCCTGTCATGCGAAATGGGTCGCTGCTCGACTGTTGGTTTCTTTTATCCATGTCGTCGTAGTCTTGCAGGCCCTGGACTGCATCCGTGGAACCTGGGATTAGTCGCTTGTCGTGGATATGTATGTTTGGAGGGTAAAATTACCATATCTATGAATATCATCTTCCCAACAATCCTCAGCCCCTATCTGCTCATTGTCATCCGCACCCCCATTTTTATTCTTCTGATGCTGGCGATTCCAGCTTACGTGCAGCTCGCCAGTTTTCTCCCACTGCCCTATGTGACGAGCCAGTCGTATCCGCAGTTGTACCAAGTACATCCGCTGCACTTCGGCAAGGTTGACTTCGAAGCTTTCTTCGCCCTGCTTCGAGGACATGAATGGCCAGGGCTTAACTTTTGTAACAAGATGTTGCCCGTAGTGCGTCCAAATCCATTTCTCGGGCCTGTCAACATCAAGCTCATCATCGTTTGGCGGATCCTGGATAGAAGAGCGGGCGGACCCAGCTGCGCGTGCGGGACGTCGTTGAATCGGAATGTTGAGCTCATCCCGTGGTGGTGGAGTACCTTTGCGGTTGGATGGGCGGCTATTTGTTCTCTGGATCTGATAAGACAGTGCAGGGCCGATACCAGCCTCTTCATCGACTGGCTGATTCGCCATGTTACCGGATACGTTTGCTAGTCCCCTACAATGTCGGTCTAACCGTTCAAGAAAGGCTATCCCCGACAAGCCGCGGGACCTGCCTAATAGGGGAAGACGCTGCCGGTAGTATATTATCGCTCGATTGCCCCGGACGGTTTTCAGGCTTCCGAGCTTTCAGTTAGCTACACACACATCCATTTAATAGCTAAATCCTGCCAACTCAGTGGCATAAGCACCACAACCTCTCGTGTTTCGTTGCTGCGTAATATCCAATCAGTTGCGGCTGCAGAGCGTTGCATTGCAGGGGCTAAGCCACATGAAAATACCCATTTTCATAGGTATGCAGCTTGATTATTATGTGTCATAACCGAAAACGCTGGTGAGGCCTTAACATGCCTCGACATAAGAGGGATACTTTTTTTAAGTCTTCGGCTCGCCTCAGCAACTTCTTGTTCTCACTGGTATGAAATATCTTTCCACCAGACACCGGCCTGCTTTATTTGGACATTGAAGAAATCAAAAAAGCTATTTGGAATGACCCCCTCGGGAAGGCCCAGAACAAGAGCTTGCGGATCGTGGCGGGAGCCTTTAAGTCTACCCCCATCCGTAACCTCGAGACAGAGACATGGGTACCACCATTGGACTTGTACCTAAACAAACGGCTTGCAGATTTCGAAAACCGACTCCAACGACCCGATCTGGACGACGGTCGAGGCGGCAAGAAGACGGCGGCGAGCGTTGTCCTCACCGCCTGCCGCAAGATACAGCAGAGACTTAGCTCGAGGAGGGGCAACAGGGGCCGACCGCGAACCTTGGGACCTCAAGGGCCTACGGCGGTGGAGAGAGCCGCGGGCACGGTCATGCGCTGGACGGGGGGAATCGTTGATACGAACAGGGTAGTAGAAGAGGCTTGGAAAGCGAGGTGGTTAAAGGAATGGGACGGCAGGGCAATCACCAGGCCGGCGGACGACTTTGACCATCAGCAGGAGACGCTATTCCGGAACGAAACCCTAAGGAGGCACGACGGTCTCAGCAAGGCGAAGAGCTCACTGCTGATTCAAATCCGGACGGGAGCAATAGGCTTACGGGACTTCTTGTTTACACGGGGAGCCCCGGAGGTTCTGACTCCTGCCTGCGAGTGTGGCGAGGGACGAGAGACTGCCGAACACCTGGTAGTGTGGTGTTTGGCCCCACCGTTGACTAGAAGATGGGAGAGAACTGGAATTCGGACACGACGAGACTTTTACTCTGTTCTACACGGCATCAATCCCACGACTGCACGGCTCGCGAGGAGAGTCCTCGACTGGCTGATGGACTCGGGGAAGCTGCCGATGTACAACTTAGCTAGGAGGCTCGAGCTGGAAGCGGCGGCCTGAAGCGCCCCCGTTCGGAGGCCAGGAGGCCTCCTCTCTTTGTATACGCAGACTCAACAGAACGCATCGTTCCTTGATTGTTGGTATGGGTTTTTCACCCGGCCCGGGAGGGCACGGTTTTCCTGTACACTAAATAGCTGAGGGTCCAGCACGCCCTAGGACATAGCGGAGTATGAATAATAATATTTGGAATGACCTCGGCGGTTGCTCTCAACCTATCCATCAGCATAAATGATGAACCGCCACGTCTATGGTTGAGCTTCACGGTTGCTGGCGAGAAGTACCGAAAGCACAATCCCCCCAAGAGCATACAACTAGGGGTCTGGTCGTATTGCATCCGCCTCGACAGGGCTAATTACTTCGGTATTACGTTCGATAAGTCGACCGAGGCCGAAGAGTGGTATCAGAAGAGATCTTGGAATATGTTGTTTGAGTATGAAGGCAGGACGACAGTCTGGATCCGTCAATCGTTTACCGTCACGCAACTCGACAGCCTAAACCTACCGCCACCGCTTAACAGCAGTGGTGGTAAAAAGGCGCCAGGTGGGAGCATCATATCCGTGGCCACTTCCGAAGATCAGGAGAGGCGTGTAGTCAAATCGATCGATAGGTGGGGTGCGAAGGCTGTCCAAGAGATGGCGAATGTGAAAAGGAGAGCGGACAAAATAAGGAAAGGGGGAAGGGTGTAGATTTTCGGGATAGATGAGGACCAGGTGTTCAGGCTTGTCTACTTCATAACCGGCAGGTATTGTGGTTTGTAGGCTAGGATGAGTTGATACTTTCATTTTGGGTGTCTGTTCTGAAACTTTTCAGAGGGTTACCTCCCACGGTGGGTGCGACATTTTGCCTACATGTGGACGCCAGCGACAGTACAATATCAACTGCGATCTTAGTTTCTCTCCAGCCCATCGCTCCCCCGTCTGATTTCTTCATCAAATCTTCGCCTTTGCCGACTTCACCTTCCACACATCCCCAGCCCCCCCATTCCTCCCAAACATCTCCCTCAAATCCCCAACCAGCGCCTCGGGCTTTTCCCACGCCGCAAAGTGCCCGCCCTCCGTATGTAGCTTCTCAAACACAACCGGCCCTAGCGTGCGCCCCCAAAGCGCAGGCGGAACATCCAGATCGCGCGGAAAGATACTAAACCCCAACTTCACCCCACCAATCCACCGCCTTGTCCTCTCCCCCACCGGCCGACTCCCGTGATAGCCCTCATAGTAGATGCGCACGCTCGCCGCGGGCCCGGCGCGCGAGAAGAGATAGCAGCTCACCCACGTGAGCACCTCGTCGTCGGTCCACTGGTAGCTGTCGCCGTCCACCCACTCGTACAACTTCTCGTACACCCACGCCAGCAGCGCCACGGGCGAGTCGGCGAGCGCGAAGCCGAGCGTGTGCGGGCGCGTCCCCTGCAGCACATTGTACCCGATGCCTTCGCTCCAGAACTCGCGGCTGCGAGCTAGTCTGGCGCGTTCGGTCGGGGTGTGGCGGTGGAAGAGGGATTGGAGGTAGAGGAGTGGGTGGCGAGACGCGGTAGGTGGGAAGGCGCGCAGGAAGTTGATGTGGCTAGCTAGGAGGTGATTGGGATAGTCAAGGGCTAGGAGGCGTGTGATGGCAAAGCCCCAGTCGCCGCCTTGGGAGACTAGGATAGTAAAACACATGCGGGTTAGTCGGCGGGTTACGGAGGTATCGTTGGGACGGAGAGGGGGACGGTGAGTACATACCGTATTTGTCATAGTTCAGTTGTAGCATGAGTTTGTGGACCGTCTCGGCGTATTGGCGGAGTCCAAAGTCTGGTTTCTTAACCCCTTCAGAGAAACCAAAATTGGGCAAGGAGGGAACGACGACGTGGAAGGCCGGCTGCGAGGCATCTGTAGGTTCAGCGAGGAGAGGGAGCATCTTGATCGGCTCCCAAAAGCCGCCCGGCCCTGGTCCGGAGTCAGAATTAGTTAATGACCAGGCTGTATCAGCCTGTACGTAAGACGATGGCAACTCACAACCGTGGCAGAATAACAGCGGGATCGCATCCGGCCGGCTACTTTTGTGATGAAGGAAGTGAATTTCGAGTTCGTCAAAGCCATCAACTTCGACCGTGGTTGTAAAGTGTGGAAGCTGGTTGAGCTTCGCTTCGTGTTTCCGCCAGTCATAACCGTCTTTCCAGTAGGCTGCCAGCCTTCTGATGTCCTTGAGTGGTGTGCCGTATTTAGAGTCATCACTGAATGACACTGCGTCGGGAAAGCTGGCTAAGGAAAGCTTAGTCCTGAGCTTCTCCAGCTCCGTGTCCGGAATCTCGATTTGGAAAGGTCGTATGTTCGCCATCGTGTGTCAAGTTGTGGAACTGCAGTCGCAAGTTGCGACGTCAGAATGTAGGAGGAGGGCAGCAATATAATAGATTAGATCAATTGAGGGTGATTACAAATCTAGGAACGCCCTTTCTGCATGTGCAAAACAGGTCACATACATGTATTCGCCAGGGCGTTTAGCATTGACGTCAATGTTAATTTGAATACCACCTGTACCCCTCTCCCCCAACGCCGTATCGTTAGAACGCAACCTAGGTACCTAGGTACCCTTAACTCCCCTCCCACAGCCCCGTCATCACGACTTGAAGATGGCCCTTTTGCTATACAATGTTTTTTTACTATTGGAACGGCATTCCTTCTCCACTTTCCCCATCTGGGAGGGTTATGTGGCCGAGATCCAATCGCCGCGGGTGACATCTTGGCGTCATCGTCTTGGTCCCTAGATTTCGGACCCTTCAGTGGGCAGGAGCTGGAGTTAGTGGTCCGATGAATGGGCACTAGGTGTCGGGATACCGTGGAGTCTCTGTGGAATGACCCCGTGCACGATGTGGGAAACAAGACATGTGGTTCGGGCATGCAGCTGCAACCCCAGACATCAAAACGACACGCTGAGAACAACAGGTAGATAGTTCACACAAGGGAAGACCCGAAATGGGCCTTATATACGATACCGATATCCTCCAAGACAACTGAGAGGAAAGCCGTTCATGTACAGGCCAAGTCGAAATTGAGCCGAGAGTCGAACCCAATGTTGATGAGGAGAACATCAACTCACAGTCTCGAAGCACACACAAGGAAATTCGCACTATACACCACAATCGCACAACATGAGCACAGAGTCACCGCAGATCACAAACACTGGGAGTAATAGTCGTTTTGAAACCGGCAGGTTGAGCCCGCCTGGCAGCTCTGGCATCCGTTCCAGGTCTTGCCCGCGCATTGGCCGTACTTGGCCGAGGCGCACGCCGCGGGGCCGCCCTGTGGGCCTACCAAACAAATAAGAGGCAAACCGTCAGTACGGACAGGAAAGCCAGTCTAGGGACCGCTCTGGTACACCCACCTCCCGTCAACAGCACGGGCGTGCCAATCTTGGTGGTCTCGTCGATGCTGCACACGTTGCGGCAGCCGCCCTGCCGCCCGGCCCCCGGGTCGGTGCTGTTGTAGACCATGTCGATCCAGCGCACCTGCATGTAGGCCTCGCCGCCGACCGACATGTTGCCGGACCAGCTGCCGCCGTCGCTCCACGTGTTGAACATGACCTGGGCCGGGTCGCGCGGGGCCTGGAAGGTGATGCGGCTCGCCAGCTGGCCGTTGACGAACCATGTGCTGCTGCCCGGGGTCCAGTCCATGCGGTACTCGGCCCAGTCGGTCCAGCGGCGGCCGTTGGGGAGCGTCGTGTTGCGCGTGGCACCGGGGATGTCGCTCGTATCGTTCCACGCCGGCTGGTTCGTGTACTGCACGTACGAAGCCGGGTCACGTGTGAGGATCTCCAGGTCGGCCTCCTGCACGAGGCTGATTTCATCCGCCTCCGGCGGCGGCCGGTAGGTGAACATGGCCGTGACGGCTCCCGCGGCGCCTCTGGTCCGGGCTTGCATGCGCACTGAGAGGAAATGGTAGCCCTGGCTGACCGACTCGAATTCGGCCGAGGACTGAAAGTCGGCATGGCGGATTGTGCGGAGGGTCATGTGCGTCATTTGCGGTTGCTCCTGGTCGTGCTCGATGTAGATGTTGTTGGGGCTGTTGACCATCTTGACGGTGGCATCGTTGACCGTGCTGTCCCCCAGTCCAAGGAGTGCCGTGTTGTTCCAGTTCATGATGGCCCAAGAGTTGGTAAAGAGGTCCGGGTTCGCAAAGAAGTCGCTGGAGGGCTCCGCCTGGGCATTGGCCTCGAAGCTATCGATGGGATCCGGCACGCCGGAATATTGGTGGAGAGACCGGAAATCGAAGAACTGATGATGTGAGAAGAAGTTGGTCACTGTGGCGTTGGTGTTGTAGCAATGGCAGTTGGAGTCGGTTGTTAGGGGGTGAGTTCCTTGGACTGTCGTTACCATGGATGCCGCAGCAGCCACAAGGGCGAGACTTCGGGCCGAAGCCATCGCCAGCTACGATATGGTGTAATGATACTGGAGGAGCAGCTTTGCAGCAGTCCGACCCTGATTACAGTGGTGCTCCGTTGGCCTAAGTACGAAGTACTGCGGTCTATTACTCCAGTCTGTTGAGAAATTTTCTTGGCTGCAGGTGCCAAGGAGGCCTCTCGCGTTTGCCCGCCTCGGCAATCGAAAAGGGGCTTGATCACCGGGGTTTGTCGAGAATACAAAGCTTGCTGCAGGAAGATTCCGGCAGCTGAAATACCGGGCGCAATCTAGGCACCAAGTGCCGAATGGAGAGCACGTTGTTTGCATGTTTTATATTAATAAAAGGGCCGGCTTAGGCAGCGAGTAAACGATCTGGTCACCTGCAGCTGGTGGGGGCTGGCGTGGCTGTGCATCGATGCACGTACTTCAACAAGCTTTCCAAACCAAATTGGGTAAATTTAGTTCACTCGGGATCATCCGAGTGATCGCCGTTTGCTTGCGGCTACAGATTCAGGCATTTAACCGCCATATCCTTCAGAGAGTCGCTACCGGCAGGGGTATACTGGTAAACAACGCCAGCAACCCATCATTCCCGCCAGCAAGCCCCCAACCAGGGCGGGCACGCCATCCTGAGGGACAGGTTCCTCATATTGCAAGTTGTCTGCACTCCACACCGGCACGGCAGTGGGGATAAGCTAGCCTGTGCAGTTTATAGCTCCTTTCGCATGGTAGCACTCGGTTTTGAGTCCGAGCTCCAGGGAAGATGATTCGTTAGCCTGACGCTTTGCCCACCAGCGAGATGCACACGACGTCGAAAGCGACCGGCTCCTCCGCAACAACGAGATCTTTGCCACCGGTCGTGGAAGACGGGGACGTCCGGCGGACCCGATGAAAAAACCAGTTCATTATAGCGAGCGGACACCGCGGGACCAGCCGCGCATGCACCGTAAGGAAGTAGTAGTAGCGCTGCGGTTGTACCCTGCTCGGGTCACGGCCGCCGGGGGTGCTAATGTTGTCGCTTCCGTCTGGCGCATCTTCAAGCGCTCAAGACTGAGCAAGTAGGTTTGTGTAAGCTTCAAAATAGGTATTCGTCCCATCGATCTTCGTGATAGGCATAGAACAGTTCGTCTAAGCCATGCCCATGGTCATCACCCAGCTGCCGCAGGAAGTCGTTGAACGTGGGTGGCCGGCGAGCTTCCCTTTCTGGGTCTGACTCTTCGTCACCCGAAAAGTAGTACTCTGATGCCTCGTCCTCCTCCTCCAGCTCGAGGTCCTCCTCTGGCGCGAGATGGCCGGTTTCTCCATCCTCTGCGTCCTCGTACTCTTCTTCTGCTTCGAAATCCTGGTCGTCCTCGTTGGCCGGGGCCTCATCTTCATCTTGATAGGACGGAAGCAGATCAAAGGTCCTGAATAATATCCCTGCCTTCGCACAGCGTTGCCGGGCGGTTTCAACTTCTCGCCTAAAACGCCTGTGAAATTTGCTTTCCGCTGGCCACGAGTGAATGGCGAGTGAAATGCTGGACAACCGGTGAGCCTTGCTCGCGCATAGGCATTCGACGCCGTGGAGGATCATGTCCAAGTTGGCAAGGTAAGTCTGCTTCCAGTCCCTGTCGGTGCCCCATTCACAGACAAGCGTGAAATCGCGGACCGAACGGGGCAGTAGCTGGCATAACCGCTCCCCGTCATCTTCGTCGAGAATGCCCAGTGTCCCAAAGACGCCCCGATAATCGAGCATGACGGTTTCCAGCCGTGTGAGTTCGGGGATGCACCGCAGCCTGTGGTTCTCTGGTTTCCTCGGCCGTTCCATGCCGCGGGTTAAATAATGCCCTTCGGACATGGAAACCAGCTCAAGGGTCCGTAATGTGCCCGTCAAGCCGAGAAGCGCCTCGCTTAGTGTTGTGCCCTCCGGTAATAGATCCCGATCTTCGTCCGACGTAGTCGCTTCGAAGTGCACAACTAGGGTCTGCAGGTTGACGCAGGCGAGGCACAGTGCGACTAGCCTCGGCTCGTGAATGTGGCTGCCGTAGAGGCGGAGATGCTCGATGTGCGGTAACGGGGGAAGTACGGCACCGCGCCCGACGATGCTATCCGCAGAAGCGCAACAAAGCTCGAGCGTCTTGATATTCGGTAGCATCGGGAGAATCTCGACGGCATGGTCGGCTATCAAGCGCGAGAGGGTCAGCTGGCGGTCACCGTCCTCCCTCTGGCAGTAGATGCGGAGCGATGCGAGGTTCCGCAGGCGGCAAAATGGAAGGAATTCAAACAACCTCTCCGCGACGGGTGAGTAGCCTTCGGCCCGGTAACGAATGATGGCATCGCGGATAGCCGGGGTTGGCAGGTCGGGATGGTCTAGGTCGAACTGGGAATCTGGACAAGCCATCAGGTAATCCCGCAGGTTGGGTGCACCCAAAAGGATCATCTTGAGGAGTTCCAGGGCGATTGTACTGTGATAAATTCCCCCATGTTGACTGTCCCAGCTGACTGGTCGCAGTTAATACAAAGTCGTGGTTCGCGTGTCAGCAAAAACCGTACCTCCAACTTGTCTCTCCCATTCACGATGCACTTCTTCAATGGTTTTCGCGGCAACGACGTCTACAAGACAAGCGATACTGCGGATCCAGGGCCTGATTTCGACGTTGGTTTCCATGCGGCGCAAGAGCGTGACCAAGGCGCGTGGTGTGGGGATGACGAGGGTGTGGTACAGCAGTGGCTTGGCGATGGCGGCGAGGCGCCGTGATGTCCGCGCGAGACATAAGAGGTTGTCGTGGCAAGCGAGCCAGTCAGCCCACTGGTGGCCAGCATCCCGAAATTCCCACGTGCCCGAGTCGCGGAGGGCAAAACGGGTGGTCAACGGTGGCGCGGGGACCAAGGCCTCGGCGATGGGCCGCAGCAGCTCAGTCGGCAGGCGTTCCAGGGACTGGCAGAGTTGGCTCGGGGGCTCCGGCACGGGCGCCGCCGGGCCGCCGAGGGAAACCGGCGATGTCATCGGGGGCGGACAAGAGAGCTCGGCTCAGGGTTCGGATCGCCGGTTGAGCGCACCTGCCCTGGAATGCCGCACAGGCGCTGCCGCCGCGGCGTGCTCCCGGCCCTGGGTAGATGATAAGAAGGATATCCTGGGTGAGTCGTAGGGGCGGGTGCGCCCTCGGAGCCGCATCAGCGTTCCTCGCAGACGGTCGTGATTCACGCGATGGTACGGTTGGCGGGGATTTCGTCGAAAGGGCGCGCTCGCTTACGGCCAATCGGGGCAATTTTGCGGCGTTTAAGCAGCGCGGAGGCCATCGGCAACTTCCGATCTCGGCGCTGGGTCCTGCTGGTTTTCGTGAGCAGATTCGACACTTTCATCGCCATCATCGACTATTCGGGAAGCTGCTCGCTCAGACGCGTGTTAGTGGACAGGCACCGGGTTGGCCGTAACATGACCTAAGGACCCTGCCGCTGGCCACGTTGCAGGGCTGCCAGGAAGAGAAGCTGGAAATAGGCAGGGGTAAAACAGCGGCATGGGCACTGCAACCGGCCCTTTTTGGGGGACGATCCAAGCGCGTCAGGCTCTGGGCCCGGACGCCGTGCAGGCTAGCCGACATCGCTCCGGTGTGGTCATTTTTATTACACGCGCTCCCGCAAATTTTGCCGCAGTGCAGCATCGGCCACGGCAACCCGCGCCCGGATCTCGGTGCGGCGGTCGTCGTGCGATTTGGGCCTCTCAAGGTTGCACATAGTGGGTCGGGCATGGAGACTGGGCGGCTCCCCACCGCAGCCGAGCCGGGACGGACCCAGCGGTCACGGTCCAGATTTAGCAGGTGCTACAGCTTCATTTGGTTCGCCGGATGGCGGGTGGGACGCCAGCAACGGGGCGAATTGCCCAATCAGCACCAGTCAGAGAGGCGATCAAACCCCCCGAGTGAAGTTGTCGTCACCGCTCGGACAGACACTCGCGTTTTCGTCATGAGGAAGGGCCGCCACGCGGGGGGCCAGAAGGGCACCAAGCATCAGGCATCGCGGTGTCGGAGCAGGCGTCGTCAGTAAGGCCGGGATGACACAGGATTTTAAATCGTCAGGATTGGCGTTGACTGAAGGACAGACATGATGGGCGTTTTAACGCGATCCGGAAGGACGACCATTCCTGTGTAGGTGAGTCACAGGGAAACCCCCAAATCACCAGGCCGCCGTGCACCGATCTACCGTTGCGGTTGTCTCAATGGGTTGCTCTCGTTGCGCTGGTTTAAGGGACCGCTCAATCTGCCGATCATGCGACGACAGGCACGGCCCACATCTTGACTCGTTCTTCACTCTCCTTCGCAAGGGATCGATCAATCGGGGGAGTGGAGAACAACTTGAGCGTCCGTCTCTCGTCGGTCCACGATCATTGCGGAGGGCCGGAGATCCAAGGTCATGCTCCATCTCGCTGCCGCCTATGTTACTAGTCGCAGTTTCTACCGGCCAAATTGGTTGTCAATCGCCAGTCTTTGGCTTCCTTTAGGCTCGGTGGCAGCCGAACCTCCTGCCTTGCCAGCATCCCAAGAAGCAACAGACGTCGGGGCCATGCAACGGTCCGGACTGATCCGCACCATCCGACGCCAGCTCGAGCTGCCTAATCCAGCGATGCCGAGCCGGGTCGCTGGATTGACTTCATTGCCAACCGTGTGTCTTGATTGATGTGGCTGAGGATCCTTCCGAATCAGCTGGCATCGCTCCGCTGCGGAATGGCAACGTTATGTTTGTTGTTGGTCAACTCGTGTCGCCGGGATCGCATCGGTACTCGTCCGGGGCCGCATGCGGGAGTCGGTGACATCGCATTATGCGAGGGACAGTCGTAAGGGCTCGATAGAGCGCATGTTGGAGGTGACGGAATCCAAGGATTCAGTCACGGGTGCCAAAACGCAGTCGCATGCGTGTGGTTGACGACGTCGTGCTTCAATTGTGCGTCGCCGTTAGTTACACCGAGCTGCGCCCGTGCACAGGGGAGTTGCTGCGTTGGCCGCGCGGGAGCTATTTTGGCAAAAATACGACGAATGATGCATTGCCATGTCGAGGTAAAACCGCTGAAGACCGTTGGAGTTGATCCCAAGTTGTATTGTGGTTTTGGGAAAGACGGGAAGGAAGGGAAGCATGGAGCGAAGGCGGTGTTCAACGAACATGGATTCGGCAAGTGGGGCACTGCACCTTCTGGGACATCGAGTCCTCCCACCACGGGCACCGCCCAGGGCACCTCCATATGGATGGACCGCTGCAACCTGAACGGAAAAAAGTTCTACCAAACGCCACAACGGTACGCACAACCCGACACAACCGTGAACCCCTAATTGTAGGAGGGACTAGAATACCTAACTGCCTGGTATCGTGAATTGCATAATCCGGGGAATAAAAATAAGAACGGAAAGATTACACTGGTAATGTTGTCCCAGGATAAACGCCATGCCATCCATCCCCGCTAGACTGACGTTCCGAGTCTGCAGCTTCGGCACAGGGCTTAATATCACCACGACCCATGAATACCTGACAAATTAAAGACTGAATCCCGGGTCATGATCGAATGCCCGAGTTAGCTTGCCTGTCCATCGACCAAAGGTGAGCAGGCTGAGCTCTGGGAGCCGCCGGACTTATACCCATGGGTTCTGTCGACGGAATGGCGTTGCCGCTCGCCATTAGCAAGTCATCGACATCCCTCTCAACAGAGATACATAGGACCGTTTTCCCAACGTGTGCGCCGCCGGCAGCGACACGTGCCTGTCTAATGTGACCACCGACTCGGCCAGCGTCGCACTTCGTTGCGGGCTGGTAAGCAACACCCTCAGAGCAGGACCAGGGCGCAAGTCCTTAACCAAAGCCAGCAAGGTATCGACGATTGTCACAGTATCTTCCTGCCATCCATACAAGGTAGTCTCAAGCTCGGAGACACCATCGATTATGCAAAAGACGGGTCTGGAAGGGTCGATCCGGACAAAGAGCTCGGAAAAAAGACGACAAAGCCTAGGGATGCCACCATAATCGATACCGGCGAGGAGCTGCTCGTCGATAAATTCCAGATATGGCGCTGGCACTGCCAAATGACTTTGTACGTCGTGACTCTGCACCAGCAGCTGGTGGACTAGGTTGCGGATAAGCCCGTTTGGCCCATTCAGGGGGTTGGGTCGTCCGAGGTGCTGACCACAGAAGTGATGGATGACTATTGGAACAGGGCGGTCCCTGTTGTCATTACTTTCGAAGTTCATCACGGTTCTTGCGAGGGATGCACAGATTGCCGACATGGGCGTGACCTTGTCCGCCGCAACATTTCCGCAATGGCCATCAACCAGGATCAGGTCCGACGCCCACGCCGGGGCTTCGAGCCATTTTTTGAACCGCTTCATTTCCATAAGGCGGTTGCTTCGGGTACCAACATCCACTTTGAGATGGTAGCTTCGCCGCGTTACGCCAGCCAGGGCTTCGGCCGCGGCATCTTCCGGCACGTCGAGCGTCATCAGCAGTTCTTCAAGGCTCACCAGCGATGTCCCTGGCGGCGATACGGGTTGTTGATATAATGTGACCTCGGTTTGGTTTGAGGGCACAACGGGAAAACCCCGTGGAACTGTTGTGCCCGCTATTCGGAGCCATGGCAATGTAAGCTGCGCTGGGGCTGTTCGTACGAGTCGAGTTAGTCGATCCCTAGCCGGCACCCACACTACCATCTTCCCGGGGAGCAACCAGCACTTACCATAGACACTCAGATATGGTTGGTGGTACCAGTCACCATCGCCATTTCGAAGTCCTTTCAGCAACTCCGCCGCTTCGAGCATCTTCTCTGTCGCCGTCTCGAGGTTCTTTTCTCGGTCAGTCCCGGAAAGCCGCAATTCAAGCCGCGTCATTCCGTCAACTATCGCAGCCTGAATCCCGTCGACGCCTGACTTGACCGCTTTGACCTCGGCGTCGATAGCAACATTGCTTGCGAGGATGCTATGTTGCGCAACATGTATCTGACCGACCGTCCGTTCTGTTGCTGCCCTTGAGCACCGGTCGACACGCTCCGCTGCCCGTGTAACCTGCACAAGGCAGTTGTCCACCACCTCGGCTTCTTTTCCCGGGCGTTGTTTCCACAGCCGCACGACTGGATCAAGTATTAGGCCCAGGTCCACTAATCTCAAGGATGCATGGAACTTGCCTCTATTCTTGTGAGGGTGGCTGCGCAACAAGATGCCGATTAGTATCGCGACATTCTCTACCAAGGTATGATACAGCTGCCTGACCGCCTGCACCAGGTCTGTAGCACCGGGAAACCGCATTCCGGCTTCAACGGCGTCGAAGAATGTCTCAGGGATACCCTCAAACGCTCGGAGGATCTTTGCGCGGGTTTCTAGCCGCAAGGACATCATCTGTGAAGCGCCTTGGCTCAGCTCAAAACCTAGGGGGGAGACCTCGATCACGGGAAGAGGAGGCATACGGGGAATGGCACTCACCCTGCACAAAGTCGTCAAGCCGCCACGCAGGACGCAGAGGCCATCCTGGTCCGGTATCATGCCCGCTAAAGACTCGAGAACAGCAAGCTCTGGCCCTGACTTTCTCAACCTGGCCCGCACCGATGACCTTTCGGCCTTAGCGTTGTCCTGCGCCGTGGCGGACTCGATGGCGTCAATAACATCCTGCCAGCAAGAGGAGCGGTTAGGAAGGCTGTGGTCGACGAGTTCAACGTCGTGTAACACCTCAATAAGGGATCTAGACACGCGGCGTCAGTGCACGATCGCGATGGGGGCGAAATCGGCCATGTTATACCACGACCACAAGGCGAACCAGGGCAGGAACGTACTGGGGGTGGGGACCGAGCTCGGAATTGTTGGAAGATTCCTGCTTTGTGTCCATTTCCTGGTAAACAGTACTATCGTCGTTTGATGCGTCCTCACGCCGTTCGCTTCAAACGAGGGTAGAGCCGGTGGATTTCACGGGGAACGAGGACGATAACACCCCAGGGTCGCGGGCGGGGCTCACGATTTTGCAGCTGGGCGGATGGTTGGTGCTTCACGGATTTAACCTCAGATTGCCGGCGACATGGAGCAACCGATGGGCGGCTGCGTTGCAGAGTGTAGAACCCGGTTCTCACGCCACCATTGCTCCGCCTCTTGTCAAGCACCGCCCTCGCCTACGCCGCTGCGGCTTGCTGGGACGCCAAATCAACCCCGGCCGATTTCCCCAGCGGGGTGCGCAACGGGAACCGCTCGAAAAGGGATGTCCACCGCGTTGGGCACCAGTTGCCTCCCATCTTTGCTCTCTCGGGCCATTGACCGGGACGGAGCTGGGACTGCGGCCGCGATGTGGGGTTGCATGATTGGCAGAAGGATGCAGAACTCGCGGTTGTGCCAGACACCTGCAGCAGGACACCCCCTCCCCTGGCGCGACCCCGACACTGCCTTATTGGCTCGCAGCTGGACGCCTCGACTGGCCTTGAATCCTTCCTTGGAATGGCATGGAGAGGGGCCAAAGTCTCGTCTCGAAAAGAGGGGCAGAGGGGAGACGACCCAGACGGGGCGGTTTAAACGGTCACGATTCGGGCGAGGACATTCTTAGCAAGCCCGGACAAGGCATTTTAGCTAAAACCCGAAGTCGCGCCGCCTTGTACAAAGTACGCTACAGAACGATGGCCCCTGCTGTGTGAGCCCCAAGGGAAGCGCATTCGTGTTTGGCACCTCATGGGCATAAACAGCCGAAGTTGAAGTGCAGATATCAACCCAACCTTCGGCTATCAGAATTTCAAGAAACGAAAGACATCCGGAAGCCCAAAGAAACTGTGTTACATTCTCTTTTACTTTGTTTCTTGCGAATTTTTGCTTTCTTAACTTTGGTTCTTTCTGTTTTCTTCACTTCTTACTTTGTTTTCTTCCCATGTTAGGCTTCTTTGGCCAGAAGGTCTTAAGCTACGGGTCTCAATACCATATCGCCACAAACGTCTCTTAGCCCGCCATTTCTGAAAGAATCTCAACGACAATATGCTGCCACCCGCCGTGGAAGGAACCGCAGTAGACGAAGTAGCGCCACCCATGCTAGAGGTCTTTAACTACGAAGACAGGGAGGACAGCGAACCGTCAGATACCGATCATTCGGAGGGGGAAAGGCCACAGACACAACAAACCCCCCAGCCGCCAGCCCCCCTACCAACACAGAGGGAAGCAAGTGGCAGAGGGGGGCTAGATGCCACAGCAAGTTCACAACCACCCGGCCCCCTACCACCACAAGGGGAAGCAGGCCGCAGAGAGAGGCCAGATGCCGCAGCGGGTTTACAGCCGCCCCCAGATGTGCCAATAATCGCGCAGGCAAGGAGATGCACTTTCGAGCAGTTCGTCAATCGATTTTCGCCCGAAGAGGCCGGTTATGCGATCGAATACCTCGAAGCAGGAACGGAACTTGGCCTCGAAATGGCTAAGGAGGTGGGGAGGCGACGTCTAGCCAAGGTCAAGGGTTATGAAGGACAAAATGCCATGGAATACAAAAGCAGGCGGTTCGACGGCGGCCTCTCCAGCGGCACCTGGCTACAAGCTGTTCGAATTCAATCCCCTATGGTGCTTAAAACCCTCGCCGAGGTCACGGGGTACAATTGGGGGACTGAGCCGCATACCTTTATGCGGCCCTTTGGGCACCTCATTCACTTCCACCCACAGATCAAACAAAAGCTCGCGGCACTCAAGGCCGCCTTGCCAGGCGGGGAAGGAACCGATACTAGCGAGGAGGATTCCTTAGATCATCTCGAATGTTACGTCTCATTCGTTGACGAGCATCTCATGCCGCTTGTCGATCAGTTTGCCGACGCCAACCACTCCAACCCAAAGCGTATCCGATATGAGGACCTGTGGTATCTATTCAAACCTGGGGATCTTATCTACCTACCACGGAATACTCTGCAAAAGATGCTGAGGAACCGAGGTCACACGGAAGCATATCCGGAAAGCGCGATCTACCAAACGATATGGAGGCTCGAGATCTTTTGGCCACACGAAGGTGACCTTGAACTTCCTATGATCGGAAACGGGTCGTCCGACTGGGAGGCCAAGACAAGGCTGTACTTTGTCGACTACGACGGCACCGCATACAAACCTGTTTCGATCAGCGTGACAATGGACCACTTCGACGGCGAGAAAGACATCCGTACCTTGAACGTTTTCCCGATACGGTTTGTCGCGGACCACGAAGCCTTGATCGAGAAAAGCATGGAGTGGGGCGAAAGGTTCACGCAGTGTATCGAGCAGCGACATGTCTCGTATAAGGCGTGGACGCTTCAAAACGAACCGTTAGGGTGGAAGTACATGAACAACAACAAGGGCCGGCCCGTGACCTCTCCTGAGTTTATCGACGGAGATGTTATTATCGACTTTCAAGAAGCCTTCAACGCCCATCCGGCGTGGAAGTACAGTTACGGCCTGGCGCCAGAAACATGGTCAAGCGACGTCCTCACTACCCGCGATAAGTTCCCCATCCTGTTGTGGTCTGACGCCTCTCGGTCCAAGCTCCTGTCTGAGTGGATCAACATCACCGTGTCTGATGACGACATCGACTTCCTCGAGGGCAAAGACTTTGGCAAGAAACACCCTTATGGGCAGAACGGTGTTGACAAGCCGCCTAAAGACGATCTTGTTCTGCTTCCACGGCGCCTTCTCGGCTATGGGCTTCATGAGCGCCGCTTTCTGTTTTTGGATGTGGACAAGGTTAAGATCAAGCGTGAAGCGGACTTCGATCCTTTCGATTTTCTTGAGATTGATCCAGTCAACAAACACATTATTCACTGCCTCTTAACGGACCACTTCAACACTAAAGAAGCGCGTAAGAAGGGGGAGATTGCGAGTCAGGACCCGATCCCGGGAAAAGGCAATAACCTCGTGTTTCTTCTCCATGGGCCTCCGGGGGTTGGAAAGACGGCTACAGTTGAGGCAGTGGCCCAGAAGTACCGAAGGCCGTTGTTCGCCATCACATCCGGAGACCTGGGCTCGACGCCCGACGCAGTCGAATCTTCTCTGACTGAGATATTCCATCTCGCTAATGTTTGGGACTGCATCCTCCTCCTTGACGAAGCCGACGTATTTCTTGAAGAACGGGAGAAGAGTGATCTCAAAAGGAATGCCGTCGTGTCGGGTAAGTTGCCGGTGCCCTTCGTTGATATTCTGTGCAATTTCGAGCTGATATATCCATTCGAAGTCTTCCTCCGGGTCATGGAGTATTACAACGGCGTGCTCTTTCTCACTACGAATCGGCCCGGTCAGCTGGACGAGGCCATCAAATCTCGTGTCCATAGCGCGCTACTTTACCAGACCTTGAGCCAGGCACAGACCGAAAAGGTGTTCCGGATGAACATCAAGAGGCTCGAATACATTGAAATGCAACGAGAGAAAGTACAGCCTGACTCTTCTCAGCCGTATCTCCAGCCAGATAAAACTGGTATTCTGGAGTTTGCTGAGAAGCACTGGAAGGAGCACGAGTACGATGAGCTAGGGCGGTGGAATGGAAGGCAGATCCGCAACGCCTTCATCAGCGCGGCAGCATTGGCGCGCGGCGATGTTGATAACAATGCCAGTGACGGCAGGCCATCCGTCACGGTGTTGACGGAGCGGCATTTCCAGGGTGTTGCAAAAAGCATCACAGCCTTTGACAAATACATGGCCCGAGCCCGCGGGGCTCTCGACTCGGAGCGCGCGCGCACGCGGGAGGACCGGCCATCACCAGATGAGGATCCGGAGACGGGGCGGAACCGCCGGCCCTCGCGCAATCCCGGACTGTCCCGCCCGTCGCTTAGCCACCTCGGAGCCGCGCCCCAGACGCCAACGCCCTCCCGTCATTATGCCCAGCCTCCGGTGTCGCCGTCTCCCTCGTACTACGTCCAACCCGCACCGCAACCGGCTATGTCAGCTCCAGGACAGCAACCGTATGGCGGCGGTTACGCCTATCCAACACAGATGTACGGAACTAGCCCTGGCGCTTCGATGCCGGTCTGGCCACAGTCTGTGCAGCAAGCTGGGGTACAAGGGCCCCCGCCGGCGATGCATCCGCCCCCCCATGCCCAGCAATATCCAGCCATGGCTCACCAGGGCGGCAGTGATGCGGGTTTGGCCGTTAGACAAGGTCCGCCCCAACCACACCCCCCACGGACACCTGATAGTTCTAGCTCGCAACAAGGCCACCAGGGACATCATCATGGGGAGTAAATGCTGGTAGAGTGAAGGCCAATTCGTGTCGTCAATCTTGAGTGTAATTAGTGTTTACTGCTATTTGAAGGCCTTCAATTCAATCCGTCATTGTGTCTACCTAGGTAGTCTTACTCTTCACAGTAAGCGATGGTGGCCTTCCCCATTTCAAGTTGACCATGTCTGTACCAAAAGATCAAAGGCAATGACCCCTGAGTCGAAGAAAGAATGGAAGAAAAAAAAGTTTAAAGAATTGAAAAAAAAAAAAAAAAATAAAAAAAATGAAGGAAGGTACCTAGGAAGCAAAAAAAAAAAAAAAAAGGACTTGCCCCGGGGGAACGGTGTGACTCTACTTTATCCTGTCCGGAGACAATATTGCGCTCAAACTTTTGGAAATTACTATGCGAAATTGATAAGAGAAATTCGTATGCAAAACTGATAAGAGAAATTAGTATGCGAAATTGATAAGAAACTTTATCGCGATCACTGATTGGTTAACAAGCACGCTCCGGCTCGAAGTTCACTTCGTCCCCTGTCTTATGGGTTCTCCTTAAACTGCACCATTCATGCCCTCGCAATCCGTTCCATCCATCCATCCAGCCCTCGCAATCCGCTCGACCTTCGCGAACGTCGCCACTCCATCCGTTTGCACGTCTGCCGCTTTCAATTCCAGGCTGTTTCTATGGAAGACGTGATCGTCGTTCTAGACGGCGCTACTGAGGCGGCGGTGGAGACGGCTGTGGCACGCAAGACATGTACTAATTGCAACACCAAGCAAAACATTGAGCAGTTTCTGCCTTCCATCCGACGTACTCCTCTCGACGAGTTCAACCAAACGCATGCGCTGCTCTCACTAGCTTACCCGACCCTGTTTCCTCGAGGGGTTGCGGACTTCGTTGAACCTAGACAGCACAAGATCTCCTACCAGGATTACATCCAGCATGCCATGAAGTGGGAAGATAGCCGATTCGCTAAACATCACAGCTTCCGATTCATCGCGCTAAACAGTCTGATGAGGCAGCAGGCAAGGGGTCACAGTCGATTCTACGTCAGCAAGAATCACCGCACACCTCTTACGAAGGAAGCCCTTCAGGAGGCGCTTGCCGACCCAGACAGACCGGAAGCTCAGGCCATTCTGAATCGGATTTCTCGTTTTGCTGGTGTCATCAAAGGTACAAGTCCCTTTTGGTACCGTCGACGTCGCGAGTGCGAGTCTTTTGCGCACTACCTGGGTGTCCCCTCTACTTTCATCACACTGAGCCCAGCCGATCTGCATTGGCAAAGCCTCTACCAGCACATGCCCGAATACGAGGAGTGGAAGGTGTCAGAACAAGCCCACGGCGGCTTGCGCCTAGGACCTGGGTCACGTGACCCGTGGGGCCAACCAAATTACTGGTCGCCAGAAAATTAGACCCGTTAAAACAAGTTGAACAAGAACAACGAACAACAAGCACTGCAATTGACAGCCATCAACACCCTCTACTCCGTTCCTTTTGACCCAAGCCTTCAGTGATCTGCTCAATGCCTTGAAATACCGCTGGTTCCAACAGAAGGTCCTTGATGAGCAGAGACGCATGGCCAAGTCCGAGAGGTTGCCGAGGTCATCAAGAGGCCTGGAAAGGGCTGGTGGTCGTTCGAAGCCGAGCGCAACGATACCCACCTGAACCAGTACAATCCACTCGTGCCTCTCTGCTGGCTGGCCAATACAGACTGCTCGCCCTGCACGAGTGTGGAGGCTGTCATCAACTACGCTGCGAAATACTGCAGCAAGTCTGAGGCCCAGACCAGCACATATGCGCAGATTGCACAGAACATCCTGCCCCACATATCAGACAACAACCCGATGGTTTCGTTCGTGTCGAAATTGATGAACAAACTAATTGGGGAGAGGGACTACTCTGCGCAGGAGATCTGCCATATCCTCCTGGGACTCCCTCTCCAAGAGGATAGCCGAGTGGTCCAGAGTGTTGACTGTAGACCCCGCGAGAGGCATGCTCGCCTAATCGACATCACGGCTGATGGCGATATCCAGGAGTCTCAGACAGCATACGAGAAGTATCTTCGGCGGCCTGGCTCAATGGGTGACGTCTCCTACTTCGAGTTCCTGCAAGACTGGAACTTGAAGGCGCGGAATCCGGCGAGGTGGGCGATCTGGCAGCCTCCTGCAATGCCCAGGGTGTTGTATTATTACCCCCGATACAAGCCGGTCCGTTCCCATCAGCAGTACTCTGACTTCTGCCGCGTCAAGCCGCTCCTGAACCACCCCCATCGCCAGTCCGAACAGTTGCTCGAGGTTGATGATCTGCAGCTTGACAACTACACTTCCGCATATCAATACTGCCTCGAGCACCACGACCACCAGGACGACCACTACGGTACTGTCGACGAGCCCGATCTGTTGCCGGAAGAGGATGAATTCGAGCGAGGGGAGGATGCTGGGGACATCACCCGTGAGGATTGGCAGGAGGTGGCCCGGCTGGTCCCCGACCTCCAACTTCCCGAAGAACCAGCCGACTTGCTTGGACGCCGAGACATTGATGTCAATTGCGACTGGACACGACACATTGGTCGCTACTGGCACGATCAGTTTGGTACCGGAGGTTACTGGGTGCAACTCCGTGGAGACGCTCCAGGTAATTACGACGTGGAAAAGATGCCTCTCGCAGCCCGTGACACATTGAACATGCAGCAGCGGCAAGTATACGACACGGTCATGCGCCACTTCAGAGCCAAAAACGAGAACCATCAGCCTCCGCCCCTTCGTCTACAGATTGACGGAGGAGGTGGGACTAGAAAGTCGTACATGGTGAAGGTGCTCTCTTCTCATCTTCAGGTCGAGGCAGCTTCCTATGGCCGAGTTTCCCCATTGTCAGGGCGGCCCCGACGGGCGTGGCGAGCAACCAGACGGGGGACAGACTCTGCATTCCCTACTGCGGCTCCCCGTCGACGGAAATTACCGCTCGCTCTCCGAGACTCCGACGACCCTGAACGCCCTACAGCGGCGGTCCAGGGGCATCCACTACCTCGTGATCGACGAGAAGAGCATGCTGGGCCTCAAAACCCTCGCGTGGATCGATCAGCGCCTACGAGAGGTGTTTAAGCACGAGGGTGTGGGTGCGGAGAAGGTTGAGTCCTCAAATGCCGGCAACTTGGCCAAGCGCTTTCCCTTGTGTGTTGGTTGCAGGGTGATGCTAACGCGGAACTTGTGGGCCGACGTCGGGCTCGTCAACGGTGCGCAAGGCACAGTCTACGACATATCTTGGAAAGAAGGTGCTGACGTGCTGCGAGACCCGCCCGAGGTCATCATGGTGGCCTTCGACGACTACGACGGCCCCGCCTTCACGATGCCGAACGGGGAGCCGCTCCGCAGTGGAGAGAAGCTGGTTGTTCCCATCCTCCGAGTGCGGCAGGACTTCATGGTCGGCGCCAACTCATGTTCAAGAGAGCAGTTCCCGCTGTTGGTCAGCTATGCGATCACCGTCCACAAGTCACAGGGCATCACTCTCGACAAGGTTGTCTGCGATATCTCTGCGCCGGAGTTCGCTTCTGGTCTCTCCTACGTGGCCGTTTCCCGGGTGAAGACACTGGGTGGGCTAATGTTTGAGAAGCCCTTCGACCGCAACAGGATCTATCGCGAGACACCATCACGAGCTATGGGGTTGAAATTGTCCGATCACGCTATCAGGCAACTGCAGGCGTTAGATGCTGTGGCGGGGAAGGATCCCTCAGAGGAGTCAATAGGTATATAAGTAGCGACGACGAGAGTGTAGATGCATCAGCCCTTGGAACGATAATAGAAATGATTGATATAAGTGGGATAAGAAGCTCGAGTGAATGGAGTTGTTGGCCGACGGACAGATATTGGCGCTTCGTCTCTCCCGTATTCAACCCTAACCCGGATTGTCCTCCGGAGAGTAGCGAAGGGCCGTGCGACTGACGAAACGAAGCGACGCCAGCAATTTTAAGAGTTTGCCGAAACCGAATCCGTCTCGCCGGGCCACGCCAAATTAGCGTGGTGCTACACCAATTGATCCATAAGTACGCAGCTAATCAGTAATCACCATATCGCTTGTTCCATCCATCCACAGCGTTATCCTTCTCCTAACCAAGACGGCCTGGCCAACATCAAATCACGAACCCTAGGATAGTACCTAGTAGCAAGTCACCCCGTCTTCGATCTCCTCCTACCACAACAATGTCGTCTGTCGACCCCTCCCGCCCCGATATCGTTGTATTCATGGCACGCGCCTCAGCCACACTCGGCCGTGCACTCCCCCCACCCAAAGACATCTTCCACTTCGGGGGGTCGTCCCCCAGACTCGCCGACGAGCGGCTCCACCTCGCCATAGAGGGCAAGAAGTCGGCGACCACGTCCTGGCCGGTGCCGGAACCGCTACATTGGGGCGTCGGCGACCTGTCGGTCATCCTCGACGGCGCGGGGCGGCCACGGGCGCTGATGCGGACCACGTCGCTCGTGCAGTGCTCGTTTCGGGACGTCGAGGAAGACTTTGCGCTCGCCGAGGCCGAGGGTGACTATGAAGCGTACCGGACGGGCCATGTCGCATTCTATCGCGAGCAGGAAGGTGGCGAGGCCTTCGGCGAAGACAGCATCGTGCTGTGCGAGCGGTTTGAGGTGATTTATTCGGCGGAAGCGCGCGGAGAGGACGATGGACTGGTGGAGGATGTGGGCGCCGGTCAAAACCGTCAATGAGTCTCCAACATTGGGTAGTTGTCCTATGTATATGTAATTCGAGCAACACGAAAACAGAAATATTATGCTTAGTCCCAACCGCCAGCCAACAAATCCACCCTTGATGTGATTTAACTCTCCCCAGTCACTCAGGCTCGCCAGGTCATGCCACGTGCTTAGACGGCACGGGGGCAACGGGCCCGTGAACGATGATCGGGCCGCTCTCGGGCCGTGTGGCAACTTTGTTGTGGCATTTCGAGCAAAAGTAGTTGGTCTCCTCGAACCAGTGGGCCATGCAGGGGACGCAGGCCAGGCAGACACAGAGAAGGCAACAAAGGACGCCGGCAACACTGTGTCGAGGAGGATACGTCAGCGAATCCGTCAAAAGCAACCCAGAACCGTGACGAGGAACTTACATTTGCATCGATGTGCCCTCCGTGGCGACCCTGGTCATAGTCCGCTGCTGGCAAAAGGGGCAGTCGATCCACTGCGGCTGATCACCAAGCTGATTTATGGGAATCACCCCGAGGACTGGCTGTTGCGCCGCCATCGGTGCCGTTGATTGCGGTTGCTGTGCGTTTAGATCTGTCGGCATCTCCTTTACGGGCGCCGGTTGTTGGTTGGGGGCTTGGTTGGGGTTTGCGGGTTCTTCGGCCGTCCTTGGTGCGTATGCTGGGGGCGCGGCCTCGATGTCTTGGACAGTCGGGGCCGCTTGGGGTTGTGGTTCGTCCTTTTGCATGTTGAGGTTTGTTGGGATGCTAAGAAGTGCGATGTGTGGAGTCAGAGAGCCGGGTGGTCGTCCAAGCAAGTGTTTGTGTTCACAATAAATAGGAGGCAATAGCGATGGCCCAATATAGACCTGCGGCCGATCACTTATTTAGGGACATCTCAGGGAAACAGCCTCACGGCTTACATTATTTATTACAGGGGATCTGGCTTCCTTTGTTCCCTCGACCTGTGCCGTGATTGCCGTTTGCATGTCATTCGAAAATCCAGCGCAACCCCGAATCGACCACTTGGTCCTTGTGTTTCCCTTGGCAGGCGTAGTGTGTGTCTACCATTGGCGAAAGACGGACTGGCATTCAACCGAGGGAGCGAACGCGGTTCACAGCCCACTCCCTCGATCCACCTTTGGGGGCCACGGGGAGTATTTATCGTGGCACAGTAGCTGGTCCACTTGGAACTCGTTAGTGGTCTGATTATACGAGGCACACATTCAGGCGGATTCGGAGATGTGCTGGTAGGGCAAAACCCCCCTTTCATGCACACGAGGCCTCTTTGACCTTCCGGGCACGTGAAAGGTGTGTGACATCACCTGCCCTCGCCGACTTCCCTTGGCATTCTCTCTCGGCGTGTTGAGGACTCGGGGAAGTGGGGAAGGGGGTTGATCAAGGGGACTAGGGCCACTCTAAGCGGCCATGACATCACAACGCCGCATGTGTTCCAACTTCCAACCTGACGTCTTGCAGGCGATAAACCACCAAGAATGTAGTCGCCTCCTCGCGGGAAAAGGTAACACGCAAAACATAACATCATACCCCTAGCAAACCAAACCAATCACCTCAAATCACCATGTCGGATATTCTTGAAGCCATCAAAGATGCCATCATCCCCAAACGGCGCGAACAAGCAACTGTCGAGACATACGACCCCCATACGAGGGGACCTTACCCCGACCGTGCCTCGGCCGAAAACAACCAGCCGCAAATTTCACCCCCACGAGCCCCAGCAGAAGCTCAGGATTCCAGCCGCGCAGAACGGAACGACCTCGGCAGCGCTTCCGATACGCACAGGTCTCGCGCCGGCTCAGGAGACGAGCCGGTTGACTACGGGGAGGCCATGGCCAAGCCGGTACATAAGGAGGGCGGGAAGTACGGGCTTTCGTGATTGTAAGCGGCCAAGAAATTAGGTGGCTGCTCAGTGAGATTTTAAGCGAGACGGTTTTCAGGGTACGGGGGGGGGGGGGGTTCGGTCTCGGTTCTTTTGTCGTTGATACTTCCCAGCAACACGATGGTCTTCGCGAATATTGGAGCAATCATACTTAGTTATTTGTATACGTATCAGATGAACACCAGACGAACGGACCCAGTTGTGCATTTACAATGGGACACGCCGACTTGTCATTCCCGACACGGCCCGCTGTGGAGAATCGCGTGTTCTGGGATCTCGTTGCCTTCGAAAGGGATTTGGATAAGGACCGTGGGCTCATTACCCGGGAACTCGGTGAAATGACCCGCGATAGTGCTGGCTGACTTGAGGTCCGCTGCAATGAGCAGCGACGATCGCAAGGTTCCGGGCGTCACGTATGCCATTTCCGTCTCCGGGCGCCCCTCTCCCGCTAGGCCATCTGAAACGTCTCTCCAATGATTGTCGGGATGGTCAGGGGTGAGACGGCAGGGTGCCGTGATCCTTATCAAGCCGTTCAGGATAATCGAAAGCCTAGTCCAAGTCAGCTCAGCCTTGACGTTGATTTCTACGCAGAAGCTCACTGGACATGCGGCGCCCAAGCTTCGCCGGCGGTTGTACGCGGTTCTATTCTTGACCACGTAGCCGCGGTAGTTTTGCCGATGGCATAATTGGCTGCCGACATGTAATCGACCGCCACAGTGGACAGCTGCCAGCACTCGAGCACTGAATATCCGTCGCGGGAAGAGAGCGCCGTGATGTTGAGCGGCGGGGCCACGTCCGCCACGGTGGCATGGCCCAACAAGATGGGCTGTAGAGCGCGACGTAGCCGCATTGTGCATCAATGATAGTGGATGGGTTTGTGTGGGTTAACGAGAGACGGACGGGGCGGTGAATCCAAACGAAAAAAGCATACATGCCAAGGTTGGATGTCTCACATTCTTCCGCGGACTCGATCTAGCGGAGGTCCGGTTCGGGACTTAGCGGTGCAAGGCGGGTATCCACGAGCCGGGACATATTCGCTCACAGCAGCGAGTGCTCTCTCTTCGGCTTACGACCTTAAGCGGCTTATTTGTTGACACCGTTCCTTCCTCTAAGCCGTAGAGTGACTGCTCTCGAAGGCAAGAGCAGTTGGGTACTAGCTCGAGGGAAGGAGCGGGCTGTGGATCGAACCGGTTAGGTGCTCTAAGCCGGCAACGTACCGTCAACCTCCTGCTCACTCGCCTGGAGCTGCTCTTTTTGCTCAAGCCGGGATAAATTCGCTCAAAGCGTAAGCCGTCAAAGGCTTTTCAGTCTCGGCATGGGGCGGTAATGGACTCAACATTGGGACTTTGGGTGGGAGCCATTACCTTTTGTTCCTATTAGAAAAACCCAAAAGGACAAAAAAGGCCGGAAACAAAATGGGGAGAAAACCACACTTAAAAGGTCTAAACCGAGATATAAATTGCTGACATGATGGTTGGACTGGAATGACAGTCAACAAGAGTCATGTTAAGCTAATAAAGGACCAAGGGCGAATAACTAAGCAATCTGAAGTGCTTAACGAATAACTAAACCGTGATCATGAAAACTACACACCCAACGGCATAGAGGGACTTTTCTAATCCCTCCTGCTTAGCTACTCGTTTGGGTTGTTGTCGGTCGGGTCCGGCGCTTCGGTGTATGAGTGCGTTGGCTACTCGCTGTACGGCAGCGACGTACCCAGGCCAATACCTCAAAATAAAACTCGGCCACCTCGTCGTCGAGTTCGACTTCTAGGCTCCTTACCCTGCATTGGGCCGGATCCTTCAACTCTTTCTCTGAGTACATGTAGGTGCAAACAGTACTAATGCATCTTGACCGCCGAGTCTCGGGTGATGAACTGGTACAGATCCATATTCTGTACTACGCAAACAACTCATCCGGCCATCTTAGCGGATTGAACATCACGAAAGAGGGAGGAGTGGTATGTCTCGTTTCAAACTGGTTGCAAAATGCTTGTTTCAGTGCTCACAATTCACGCACTGGTGTGAGGCAACATAACAACGGCGATGGTAACGGGTCTCCCTGTCTTGACAGAGACTCGCGGTTTCCAGCTTCATCCGTCATGATCGGTGCCGGTGGCTTGGCATGGAAGCTGCGTCCCATCTTTTCTGCCTTTCGCCCCTCCAACAGAGCACAGCGCGGGGCCGGTTGGTTGACCAACACTTAAACCGCGTCTCAGCGAGCAAACATCAACCGCAGCTTGCCCTTCGAGTTTTATAGAAGATCCGCTTCTAATCGTTAACAATGACGCCTCCGTCAAACATCGCCGGTGAATGGAAGAAGCGGTCCGTTGTTTCCTGTTTCATTCTGAAGCTCGACGACGGCCAGCCCCGAGTTGCATTTTTTCGACGCAGCGACAAAGTGTCAACCTACCGGTAAGCCGATGGACCGCTATGGAAGCCAGGTCTCGTTTATCGCCTCACTCAGCAAACTAGCATCAACACGCGATATGCGCTCGCACTAACGCAGACACAGCCATCATCTCGCCCCAATATCCGGCAGCGTCGACGTGGCCGACGGGTCCCCCCTTGCTGCAGCTTGGCGGGAGCTCGCCGAGGAGACTACCCTCACAACTGACTCACTGTCGCTCCTTCGCCAGGGCAAGGAGTACACATTTCAAGACCCCTCGGTCAGTCGCGAGTGGACCATCTTCCCGTTCCTGTTCCGTCTCAAGACGCCCGCGGACGAACAGCGCATTCGCACCGACTGGGAGCACGAGGGGTGGGCTTGGCACGACCCTGGGGCCGTCATCAGGGGCGATGGGCTAGGGGGCCTGAACCGGGTGCCCCGGCTGGACGAGAGCCTGCGGCGAGTGTGGTTCGAAACGGATCTCGGACCGGAGGCGGGCGAGGTCCTTTCCCGTGGGCTGGACGCGCTGGCTCATGACCATGAGAGCGGGGCTCGGCAACTAGCGGACGCGGCACTTCAGACGCTCAGAGGAGTAATCGCGGGGATGAATACAAGGGATCGTGAACCGGATGTATGGTGGGTGACGGTGCGGTTTGCGGCCTGGCATCTGTGGAAGAACGGCAGGGAGAGCATGGGCGCGCCCATCATGAGCGCCTTGTTGGCTGTGCTGTCGGGAATCGAGCGGGTGCTGGAAAAGGGTCAACAAACAGACCAACTACGGGGGGCCGCTCTTCGCGAACTAGACGCCCATGTTGCAGCAAGGAAGGAGTCGGTGGACCTGATCTCACGAGCCGTCGCTGCATACGTTGAAGACACCTTCCGGTCGAGGCGGGGCTCACATAAACCAATTTGCATCCTGACGCTCTCCGAAAGCTCGACAATTCGGCAAGCCCTACGACGCGTGGCTCTCGAGTCTAGCTTTCACCTCGATCTCCGCATTCTCGAGTCCCGCCCATTGTATGAGGGCGTGTCGTTGGCTGGAAAACTGGCCGAGGACTTGTTCGCGGCGGCCCCTCCGGCGACTGGAACACATAGCATAACACTTTACACAGATGCCTCCGCTGCCCTCGCGGCCTCCGACGTCGACTTGGTTATAATTGGAGGCGACCGGGTTGCCGCGTCTGGGGATGTTAGCAATAAGACGGGCTCTCTACCGGCCGTGCTGAGTGCAAAATACGTCGCTCCGACAGCCCGCGTCGTCGTGGTAGCCGAGTCTGGAAAGACCGCGCTCCCTGGACGGTCGGACGATCACGTCGTCGAAGACAACGGCCCGTCCGAGGTGTGCCAGGCCTGGCAATCACAGTACAACAGTTCGGGTGTTCACAACGCGCTTAAATATGCAGAGTCGCCTGACCCCAGCCGCACGATCAAAATGGAAATCCGCAATATCTTTTTCGAGTGGGTGCCGGCACGCCTGGTCGACACGTACGTCACTGAACATGGCGAGTGGACGGTACAACAGATCGCAGAATACTCGGCAAGGCTCGAGGCCGAAGAGAGGCGCTTTTTTGGGAGCTTGTAGGACGCTTCTGGGCTTAAACAGCGATTCTGGCCGAGGGTGCCGTGGTCTCGCACGCAAGCAAGTAACCTGGTTAAACTCGTGATACGAGAGATCTATCCAGTCACCAGTAGGGAGGGAAGTGAGATTCTTAAGGCACAAATAAATAAGCTCAGTGCTCCGTTTCCGCCGCTAAGAGTTCGGCACAGCAAAGAAAGCATCATGGTATCTAGCTTGCGCAACTGAACGAGACCGCCCCAATACCGTCGTCCTAAGCCAGACCAAACTAGGAAAGAAAGGTATTGTAAAACTGCATATAATCCGCGTTCCACCAACACGACAGCGTCTGGTAGATGTCGGCCACTCCTTGGTACAGCCCGCCGCGGTTTGCTTGGTTTCGCGGCGAGTCCCTGCCCCCATTAGGGGCTGCTGCATTCTCGGTACCCTCGTCCATCATGTCCGCCACTGCCACATCCTCGGGCAGCAAGTCGCGAAGCGCGCCCTCGCCAGACATGAGGACATGTTTCGTGTCTGGGTCGTGGATCGGATTCCGCAGCTGCTGGGCGAGGTATTTGAGGTCCTGCAAGACGCGTGCACAGTCCTTGGCATACTCGTTGCCTGTCTTGGCTTCCGTCTCAAACACCTCACTGGCCCACCCAACATCGTCCAGATCCTGGGTTCGGAGGTTCACAAAGACCATCTGATGCATGGTGAGCACGATGGCAGCGTTGAAGATATTGTGAAGATCTCCCAACAAGAGCTTCTGTCGCGGACTCTGTAGACACATGAGCCGACCGAGCCGGAGATTTCGTCGGGCAGCGTCGCTACAGGCGCGAATCGGTTCGATTTGCGACTGCATGATCTCAATGTCAAAGGGCTGGTCGATGCAGAGAATGCTAGCAACAGCCTTCCACACAGCCATCAGCATTGCCGGACGCACCGCAAGGATGACCAGCTGCAAATAGTTAGCAAGCATTCCCGCCATCTCGGACATGTTGTCAGCCTCACTTGATTGTAGCTCATGTGCAACGCCCAGCACGCTCGGTCCTGTCCAAAGTTGGCTGCGCCGGTCAACAGACTGGCGGGGCCTTGCCCAAACGAAGCCGCCTGCGTGAACAGGTCGGCAGGTATGAGCGTCAGGGGATCCAATGGGAGCTGGAGTACTTCGGGCAGATTATCCCGCCACTTCCAGAGCATGTCCAGTGCCTTGCCGACGCGGACGGTCGCTTCGGTTAGAAGATCCGGCAACCCAGCTTCGCGGTAACTACTGTAAACGATGTAATCCGAAATCTTGCACAACTCCACGTGCGCGCGCAGTCCGACGGGGGAAGGAAGGCCGCTTCGCGTGGTTAGCGAGGCGTGAAATGGATGCATGAGGGGAGGGAGCCTTACGGGCTTTGGGCCGGGAGTGGAAGCGTGATGGCGTCGTCCGGAATCGTGGGCGGACGGCCCATAACACAGCCCAGCCACCTAAATAGAGTCAGGATAACGTACGCTCCAACACAAACACTCTACCACGTGTTCTACAACGCAGACTTACCTGTCCAGAACGTAGACAGTCCAGAAGGTCCGAACGCCAACCTCGTTGCCTGACCCTCCCTTGTGGAGGCCGTGCATCACGCTGATAGTCATGGCATTACTAAGAGCCATGTAGGCGGCATCTCGACGGTTATTTTCGATCAGATACAAGGCCATGAGGGCCAGCACGGCAATGTCGGCTATGGTGTATGTGGTGCGGTCTAAGATGTTGCCCTGGAGCGAGCGGGCCTTCGCAAAGTAGTCCTCGCCCAGCTGACCATCGACGGCGGAGCCGGGGTCTCGTAGGTTCAGCAGGCGGGCTATGGCAAAAGTCGTGTGGTACAGGGCCAAGGGGCGATGGTGGGGGCCGGGACGCCTCAGGCCATCGGGGCCTTGGATAGCGGGGAGAGAAGCGAGCGTGACGATGCTCTGGATATCCTCGAACGGCCAAAACATAATACCGCCGCTGGGAAAAGCACCGTTGCCATCCTGGATAAAGTAGCGGGCTTGCCTCAGGGCGACAATCATGTCGTCCTCGGGTGGGAGCGCGAGCGGGTCGACATTAGCGGGCAACACCATCGGGCGTGAGTCGTGTGTCTGATACTGGCCGACGGAGCCGAGGAATGCGGTACCGGCGAGGGTCTCCCCAGGGTCGCCGTCGAGTACCTGCGCCAGGGGCGTGGCCGTGGCGATCAGTTCCTTGAGCGTGTCGAGAAAGGTCGCCCCAGACGTCTCACCGAGATAGCGCGAGGTGCCTGCAGGGTCGGCCAGCATTCGGCCATCAATGCCGCTGGGCCGAATGGTGTGCTGCGTGTCGCCATTGAGGGACGGCGAGTCGGCCGTGTCCGTGCGGGACGAGACCGAGGGCGAGTCGACCTGATGCGGGGCTTCCCGGCGGCGGTCATCGCGTTCCGTCGTGGCCAAATGGCGCTCGAGCGACGCGCACCTGCGCCGGAGCGACTCCAGTTCGGCCCGGGGGATAGTTACCCTCTCGACGGGCTCCGGGTACAAGCAGTCACGCTGGGCACTCGTGCACTGGCGGCACGGGCGCTCGCCGCTGCACTTGATGCGGCGCACATTGCAGCTATTGCAGCTGGAGAGCGGGGAAAGTAGGACAATGTTAGTCGGGGAGGCGGCAATACAGGGACAAATTGCTCACTCACGCCGTGGCCACGCGCTTCCTCTCGTCGGGCGCGACCTTCTTCCTGCGGGGATTGACGGGCAGGCGATGCAACGGCGACGCCGCGGAGGCCGATGAGAGGTCCAGGTTTGCTGATGGATTCGGCGGCCTCGGCATGTTCTGGCATCGGGTTCGCGGGGGGAAGGGAAAATCGAGCGGATCGATCAACTTCACAATGTCGCGGCAGATGAAGTTTAAGCTTTCGGTGTCAGTACCCGTGGTGGAGGAGGGAACGGGGCGAGGTCGGGTGTCTGGCGGGGGGGGAAATGAGGTTAGGCGGTGGGGCCGCCTGGACAACACTGCCCGGCACCTCATCCTGAACCCTGCATCCATGCCACCCGGCTCGAGCCCGGGGCCCCAACCGCCACAGTTCATGGCTGCTGATTGGGTGGGGTGCCCTGACCAATCGAGCCAAAGCTGCCACCACCACACCGAGCGAACAGCCTGTTATCAAACCAGTCGCAGGGTTTTGGGGCCACCAAAAGGCAGCAGAGTGGGGGTCCATCTGCATGCACGCCGCTCGATTGTCAGCGACTTTCCTCACCGAGCTTTCGAGCGATCATGCACGCGTCACCAACTTGGTGTTATTATTGATCCTCTTTTCGATGGCAGAATGCAATTGTCTCTCGTCGTTCGCTCGTTCGTCCGTCCGTCACAAGCCATACACGAATGTCCACTTTCTGTCCGCATACCTCACACCGCCGCTCCTCTCCCTCTCGATTTCCTCGGCCGATTTCGACGCCAGAATGCCCGCCCTTTGCCGATTGACCGCCTGCAGGGTGGTCCGGTACGCCAAGAACCCCGCCAACGCCGCCGCCACAAAGCCCAGGGTCACAAAGAACGGCACGCGATACCCGGGCGCGTACTCGGGCCGGTACAATTGCGACCCGATGACCCCCGCCAAGTTTCCCCAGCCGTTGACGCCCACGACGAGGGCGCGCTTCCCCGGGGCGGGCGTGTTGCCGCTGAGCCACGCCACGGTGAGCGGGGGCGGCACATAGCTGCCGAACAGGAACACGCAGAGTCCCACATACTTCGCAGCATGGGTGGAGTGCCGTGACCATGCCGATGAGCCCGGCCAGGGTGATGACGATGGCAGCCGTGATGTGGTAGCCCCGCTCCCTGTGCCGATCCGAACTCGATGCGAAGAGGTACAGGCCGATTGCGCCGCACACGGCTGGGGGGACCGACATCTGTTGGCTGTGCTTAGTTGATCGCCCATCCACCACCACACCGCGGGCAACGGGACGAACTCCGGACCAGCTTCGAGGTGACTTACCAAGTTGGCATCGACGGCCTGGTACCCCATCCCCTGCACCACCAAGGGAAGGAACACGGAGAAAGCACTCGCAGGGACGCTGACGCAGATGTTAAAGGCTAAAGCAAACCACAGCTTCCAGTCCCTCGCTGTCTCCACGATGTCTCTCTTGGTGAGCGTACCCGATTCGCCCGGACCCGGGTCTACGAACCTCATTCGATCTGTCGCAAAGATCCGTTCCTTCCGCGTCAAGAACCACGCCGTGTCGGGCCCTGCCGGGAGCCAGAACCACGCGGACAGAGCCAGGCAGCAAGTGGCAATGCCCTCGCAGATGAAGAGGAGCTGCCAACTTCTCAATGTGGAATGCGGAATTAGGAAGATACCGTAGGCTACTCCCGTTAGTCCGGCTAAAAATGGCAAGGATAGGACTTACATAGTGCTCCCGAAAACGCGTTGGCAATCGCATACTGACCGAAGAACAACCCGATCCGGACGGCAAGGTCGAAGGGCGCATAGAATGAAGCCAAGTACATGATCGCTGTCGGGTAGAAACCGGCTTCAAACAGTCCCATGAGCAGACGCGTGGTAACCAAGGCCGCTACAGAGAGTTAGCGGTGCCATCTTCTCCCGGCCAGGTTCCACATACTCCGTCCGCAGATGAAGGCCTGGGCAACGGTGACGGCGCCCCAGCACATCTAGTTTCGGCTCGTCAGAAAAGGACTATGCGCCAAGTCTTCACTGGCTCAGCTCTGACAACAGTCCCGATGTGAACACACCATCATGATGGAGATCCAGTGCCGCGGGCCCAGCCACCACCCAACTGCCGCCGACAGCGGCTGAAAAAGAACAAAGGTAACGAAGAAGCACGAAACAGCAAGATTAAAATCCTCGGGGAGCGCACCGATGTCGTCAGTGAAGCCTGGCCTTGTCAACATGAAATCCGCCGCGTGCCACTGCCGTGCCAAGGGCATCACCCACCTTGTGTCTGGGCATTTCCGATGTTGCCCCTGTCTAGCCCGTTGAACAGGTAGAGCAGCGATAGCAACGGTAGGATGGCCCAATCCAGCTTACGGTTGACGCGCCGGGCCAGCTCCGCATTGCCATTCCGGGGCTCCAGCTCGAGCAACGGTGTGGTTGACGACGGCTTGTCGAAGCTGTGCCGTTTCGGCGAGTAGGCGACTGGCGACTTATCCATGGCAGCTGCGGGTAGAATTAGCATAACAATGATGAGGTAAAGCGGAGCAATGCACCCACTCGTTTTAGTCGAGCGAGGCCGTCAGGCGTCAGCATGAGATGGGGAATCCTGTTGGCGGCTGTGCCGCAATATCAGGTGATCGAACATTGTTAAAGCTTAGCGATGCTCCATTATTCGGTCTCTTGGGGCTTCGACCTAAGAGAAAAGATGTTTATCGACAGCATAAAAGCAGCAATGCCGATGAGGTCCTGGGTATGCATTGTCAATATCTTGGGTTTTACAAAGGCAAAATGGATATGCGCCTGTGAATGAGGGATTCCACACCACCTCAAGTATCCGCGCGAGACACGGCTGCATGCAGTTGATGCAGCCTTAGGTGGTCACCACCCACTCTTGTGCATGTTCGGGCATGCGCGCCCTCCGGCGCCAAAAATCGAAGACTGCATATGCCTTATCTAGACAAGGTGCGCTGCCACTGACGACCCGATTCCAGCCTTGCATGGAGTGTCGTGAAGTCATACCCAGCTCGACAAACCCGGGCCCTTTCTTGGTCAATCATCCTATCGCCCATCATCGACTCAAATCTCAAATTCCATCAAAGCTCCGTGGAATCATATCGGTAGAGTTTCCTAGCAGTGAATCCGTTAAACTTCATGGCGCAATCCGTGCAGCGCGAGTCCCGCGGCAAGCCAAGTTTTGGTGCAACTTTGACAACCACACTTGAACAGTTCGGCCGTAGGACGACGCCCAGCAATTCTGCCAGTAACTCAATCAGTCTCTGGTCCGTGAAACGGTCCGGGATCACAGCCGCGCAAGCTGCTGGCTCTTCCCTGCAATATTGCAAGTCGCCTTCCTGATGTCGAAGTAGTGTGTGTCATCGTAGGGTTTTGGTGGGCAACAGCAGAGCGCTTTGGTGCCGGGTGGCTGGCCAGCACTAGCTCCATGATCAGAACTTGGGATGGAAATCTACATCGGATGAATTACCCATAGTAGGCTTGATCGTTTTTTTTTATTTTTATTTTTATTTTTATTTTTATTTTTTTAATTTCGTTCTGTTTCTGCTGTGGGCCACAGTATGTGGCACCTCGACGACCCGAGACTCCAGACAAGGTGACAGTTCCCCGTGTGGTCGCTCGTTCTTTCCACACACCTACTATCCGAAACTCTGGCAGTGCCACTGCAGTATCGCCGGTGTACTTTAATTATTTCCAGATTGAGAAGTCATTTTGACTTCAACTATCGCAATTCATTCCGACTCTTCAAAATTCGATTTCTTTTGGTCGCGTGGTTTCTTCCCGCAACCTCGCGCCAGCGAATTCCGCGATCCCCGCAACCGCTTTAAGCTTTCTGAGGTTGCACCGCCCAGACCACGCCGCATTCGCGCCAGCGCTGGTCGTCCTCCTGTTGGCTCGCTTTACCGGGGAACATTCCGACCCTTGGCCGTTCGCATGATGCCCCTCCAGAATCTCCCGCAGGCCTGGCGCCGGCTCGTCTTTTTCGCGCCAGCGTTTGTCGTCACCTTGGTTCTCGCGGCTGGAATTTACAATGGCTCAATTCCGAAGCCGTCACTGTAAGGATGAAAACGGCGCAGTTTTTGATATCAACAATCTTCGTTTGCTCACAATGGGTCCAGGCCTACAGTAGTATTCGACGATCCTTCAGCGGGTCCTTTCCATCAAAAGTGTGGGGACGAGCCGCCGACCCTGGACAACCTCCCCGACGTGATCCGCGCGTTGTGGGCGCCCCTTGTCGTGCCGATCACGGCTCCGGTCTTCACGACAATCGACGGCGAGAAGAAGCGGCTGCCGCCGTCTGCCGAGCTGATCCACACTGAACCGCTCGGGAAACGTGTTTGCATCCTCGATCTCGACAACCGAGAGTTTGCCGATCATGGCGACGTCTTTTCTTACCGGCTCCCCGCCTGGGACAATCTAAGGGGCCCGGCCGCCGGTTTCCTGAGCCACTACCTGTATGCCATGATTCACGGTTACTCGTATAAATTCGTCCGCGCTCCTAAATACCCCGACCGCGCCCCTCACTGGTCCAAGGTCGTCTTCACCAAAGAGATGCTCAAGCAGTACGATGTGGTCGTCATGATGGACGCGGATGCCATGTTTTCGACACCCCAAGTGCCGCTGGAGTGGTTGCTGAACTACTGGAAGATCGGGCCTGAAGCCCTGGTCGCCATGCCCGAGGACCCTCTAGACCACCCGAATTACGATGTCCGACAGAGGGTCAACGTCAACTCTGGTTTCATTATTGCGCAGGCCGGTGAAAAGACGCAACGTCTGTTCAAAGACTGGGCCGAATGCCCGTCTGAGACACGGTACCCGGGCTGCGCCGTCTGGAAGAAACGCCCGTTTCACGAGCAGTCGGCCTTCAGCTCGCACGTTCGCTACGACTTCCTCGACGGCTACAGTATCGATTCCCACCCTCAGTACATCCGCACCATCCCATGCACCGAGGCCAACGGCTACCCTAAAGTTGCCGGAAGCGGCTGTGTCGGCCAGTTTGTCCGCCACTACTGGGCCGACAAAAACCTGACAAACCTCGAGTTTAACCACAATGTCATGGCCGCCTTGACGCCGCTCCTCGTGCAGGCTGCTTACAAGAAACCCGGCATCGTTGAGGACTACCGGGGGAAAGTACTGGACGGCGCGCAGATTCTCGACAAGCCGCATCGCTGAGTGAGTCCCTCAACGAAGTCGTATTTCCACTATTGTCATTTATGGCGGTTGTTTCGTTTATGGAGTATTCGGGGACATTTGTCTGGGCATTCTGGGGATTCGGGTTATTTGTCGGCGTCTGGTTAAGGGATTTGGGACGAATTTACCATACTTCCATGCCTTTTCCATGCCTTATGATCTTCGGACTCTCCCGTCAAACGGTTTCGGAATCAACATACGCACCCAAGGAACGGCCTACATCCACTTTTCTCAGATCATACCACGGTTGTTGACTGGCTGGTGGGCGGCGTATCTGCATCGGGATTCTTGTAGTAGCATAAAGGATTTCGGGTAATATCACTGGCTGACTCCAGCCTAACTGGAACCATTCCCCTGAAACCTGTTCATATTCGTCACAGCATCACGGTTACAAACAACCGGTATGGAGAAGTTTCCTTGTGTCCAATTTTGTTGTCCACTTTTCAAGCTCTGAACGCCAACTCAAAACATTCCAAGTTCTTCCCCGTTACCTTTCATGACCCCAGTGCCGCCTCCCAACTTCATGATCCAGCTTGCCCACGGCACCGGCAAAGTCCCTCAGGAACCGCCAACGCACGCGCTTCACCCAATGTTTCTGCGCGAACTCGTTCATCTTGCCGTCCGGGAAGAAGACGACATGATCCAGCAACGCCTCGTCGTGCGCGGCGGCCACAAATACATTATCATGCGCGTCCGCCTCCTGTAACTTGGCCACCGTCTCCAGCGCCTCGTCCGTATTGTGGTTGAATGCTTCGTCCGGTCTTTCCGGCCGCGCCGGTTCGTACACGGGCCCGCAGGCCGGCCGACCGCGCCCTTGGAAGAGCGACTCGAACGTGGCGCCGGGGCAGCCGTAGTGCGACTCGAGTGGGTGCGGGTCCGGCGCGAACGGGTCTGGGATGATGCTAGCCGGCAGCGGGAGGTACTTGCTCGGGCGGATCTCGCCCGGGTGGTGGATGGCGTCGCCCGTGAGGAGGATAAAGGAGCCTTCCGGCCCGGGCGTCACGCGGGCGAGCCCGCTGATGTGCCCGACGGCGTGGCCGGGGGTGTCGAGCAGGTAGAAGGAGCCGTCGCCAAAGTAGTCGAGTGCGCGAAAGCGGCCGATTGTCAGGGGCTTGAAGGTGTGGTTGTCGGACGTGCCGGAACTGAAGTCTAGCTCGATTAGTTGCCGGCTAGTCAGGTCGCTTTCGAGGATGGTGGAGTCGGGGTTTGTTGGGTAGCCCGGGAGCATGCTCCTGAATCCCGGTCCTACGATGAGGGAGGTGCTTGGAGGGAAAGTGTTAGGGTTGCCAGTGTGGTCGAAGTGATGGTGGCTCCAGATGACCGCCTCGATGTGTGGTGACGTCACACGCCGGCATCGTTGAGACATCTCGTCGTCACGTTCTTTTTCCCACGTGGCAGAGCCCCCAGCCCAAACGTTCTATTTGGGACAGCGATGGTGGGCTAAGGTTTTTCCAATCTTTGCGAATACCCAAGTCGAAGATGATTGAACGTCGCAGGGCGGGATGCTGGATGAGAAACGAAAACACGGGAGCTGCCAACAAGTCGTAGCCTTCGACAGGAGGGGATAAAAACAGACTCGCAGGAATCCCACGGATCGTGGCGGTTGTGTCAAGGATAGAAACGTCAACGGTGTGAGGCGAAGAGGGAATGCCTAATTCAGGAGCAGGTTCTATAACCAGATTCAGCCATGCTCCCAACAGGTAGTCGATGTATCAATGCAGCCGGGGAATTTCTGGGTGTGTACGCCGTGTGGAATGGCTAAGCACCTCGCCTAGACAAACCGGATGGTTTCGTTTCATTCGATCAGATCGGATGGATACAGACGTCACTTACACACACACACACACACACACAAATTTATTCCGCCCGGCGGGCCTAACCCGAAAGGGCAACTATCATGCAATCTACTAATACATATCCTAAAATGGATCCTGATCTCATGAAGCCCGTACATCCTCCTTTTCTGGCTTATCTCCTTACAATTTTGCCCTCTCTGCTGCGGATGCTCGTGGGTTAGTTGTACGAATAGTAAGCTGGCTTGAAGGCTAGTCTCCAAGTGTCCAACGTCCTATCTTCGGCGGCTGAAGCGCGCTTACTCCGTGTGACACGAGATGAAGGGGGTTGTTAGTCGGGGTTTAGGATGGTGAGGTTAGTTTGCTTCATTCTGTTGTTGTTCAGTCCTCAGACGACCTGTGGCAATGGCAAAACGTATCGTCGCCCGCACCGCCCGCATGTTGGGGGACCAGTCCTTGTCATCCGAGGGCGACTTTCCTTCCCAGGTAGAAGGAGAGGTTCCCCCTGTGGACATCCGTACATTGCAGCATCTCCCTACGGTGTTGATCCCATTGCTTGCATCGGAAGAGGAAGTGGTCCACTGTCTCTCTGGCTTGTCCACACGTACACTGGTCTGACGGTGCTGCTTTGATGCGATGCAGGTATGTGTTGAGCTTGGCCATGCCTGTTCTAAGCTGAGCAAGCACGCCGGCCTCGCTTCGGGACAGGTGGTCGTATAATAGTTGGGTGTGCTTCCCTGGTAACGCTATATCGACTCTCTTGGAATGTCTGCCCACTTTGTCAGGTAAGGACGTGGGCGGTGCCCGCTTTGCCCATGCGATACGGAGGGCTGTTGACCGCATGGCAGGATCCTGCGTTTGTGGCGTAGCGTCCTGCCGTGTTGCTTCCTTTGCTTTCGCTTTGGCTGTGTTCAGGAGCTCGTTTTTGGTACCCGCTTGGATCCAGACGACCGAGATCGTGTTTCCCGCCTTGCGTAAGGCACTTATCGCATCGTACGCCTGACAGAGATATTGTTGTCCTGATTGCTGGTGTGGTCGCTCCAAGGCCATCACGGCTGCCTTGTTGCTGGTGGCAAGGATGATCTTTCGGTACCTGATATTTCGAATCAACCTCAACGCGTACCCAATAGCCGCAAGCTCGCCTGAGAACGGGTTTTGCTCCGACCTGGAGCCCAGCGTCACACTAAAGGCTTCGTTCCTTGAGCCATCTCGCATCGGCAGCGGGAGACGGACGACTCCTCCGATCCCGACCATGTTGTTTCGTGCGGAGCTGCTTACGGCGATCCGGACCGCCCACTCTGTCTCTTTTTGCTGGATGCCCGTTCTGTCAACCGTAGTGCGGACTCGCCTCTCCCATGGCGCTAATACGACGGGAGCGATGGTTTCGAGGCTGTCCAATGGGACGTCCTTGAGAGAGATCTGCTACTTGAAAGAAAGGGGAGCGGTAGGATCTCCGGAACTTGCGCATCCGGGAAGTGGTGTTGCGGAGTGGATTCGTCTCTGGTAGGGTGTGGATGTCCGTCCACATCTTGATCGCCCTCTTCCAGAATCGATCTTGAGCCGTGGGGATGTGAGCTTCTGCTTCTGCTACGCGTGTTGCTACCGTGCTGAACGTTCCTATGATCCCTTGCGCCGCGACCCTCTGCACCCTGTGTATGGCCGGCGCGGTCTTCCAATTACATTGGTGCATCCAGACGCTGGATGCGTAGTCCACCACTGGCGCGACCATGGCGGTGAACAGCTGCCGCGCCGTAGCCGGGGATAGACCACTGAGCCGTTTCAGCTCCATCGCCGCGCTGAGCCCTTTGGAGGCCGCTCTTGCGATATGCTCCTTATACCTGAGCTTGGCATCCATGACCACTCCAAGGATCTTAACGTGGTCTTTCGGCTGAACATCTTGACCCTTGATCGTAAAGGGCTCCGAGTTGGCTTTATAGGCCTTGCGGGTAAAGTGGATGACGGCTGTCTTGTCTGCTTTCAAATGTCGCTCCGCTTCTCTTTTCCCAGTCTAGTGCTTGGTCGATGATTGCTTCGATGCCCTTGCGTGTGCTTTGTGCCGTCGGTCCTGTGACCCAGGCGGTAAAGTCATCGACAAAGGCTATTGCACCACCGTTGCTATCGATCTTTCGCTGGACCAGATCCGCGTTGAAAAAGAGGAACAAGATAGGGGAGAGGGGCGAGCCTTGGGGCAGGCCAGCCTGTGGGAGGTCCCGTCGTTCTGCAGCATGCCCGTTGACCTGGATAGAGGCCGTACGGTCAGAACAGAAAGCTTCTGTCCATCGGCACAGCTCTTCCGGGATACCACGTGCCCTCATCCTCTGGACCAGCCGTTCCTTGCAGACTCCGTTATAGGCTCCCTTGACATCGAGAGCTAATGAGGCTGACAATCTTCCGTCCTCTCCAGGCCGTGTAGATCTGCTCCTGTAGAAATACCAGCGCCTGCTCTGCTGATCGCTGCTTCCGCGCGCCGAAGTGGTTGGTGGGCAGGAGGCCGTAGGTCTCCACGGCGTGGGACAGCCGTTCCGCGATCACCGACTCCAGCACTTTGCCCAGCGTTGCTAGGAGGGAGATTGGTCTCCACGCCTTTGCGATGGTGTAGTCCTTTTTGCCCGGTTTCTTGAGCGGGATGATATTAGCATGTCGCCACTGGCTGGGAAGGGCCCCGTCCTCCAGTGAGGCACGGAAGAGCGCCAGTACATGGTGCTTGACCACCTGCCAGACTTCCTTCCACACCACTGCCGGCAAACCGTCCTCCCCTGGTGCCTTCCAGGACTTCGTTGCGAACAGCTGTCGTTCGACTTCCTCCATCGTAAGGATAGGCGTCATGATGGGTGCCCTCTGTGGTCTTGGACCTTCATCGTCGATCGTATCGGGCAAGGCCGGGAAGAATCTTGTTAGGAGCTCTTCGGCCTGTTCTCTATGATCGGCCGTGGATGTACCATCTGCTCTAACAAGTTGCGGGATCCTTCCAAACGTGGTATCATCTCCGGATTTTAGATACTTTGCAGCCTTCCAAATGTTGTCGTTGTCCGCAAGGAACTCGGCCCAGTGCTTCTTCTTCTGCTGCCGGATGGCATCGTGGTACTGTTTTGCTGCACCCTTTGCCAATTCCTCAATCTCGGCTGTGGTCCAACCTGCCCGGCGTTCCGAGCGAGCGCGGTTCCTCCAGTGCGTGTAGATGTGACGTAGCTGCGTCAGGTCCGTAGTCCACCATCGCTTTGCGTATGGCGATGGCCGGGCTTTGGGAGTGAGGGAATGAACCGCGCCTGAGACAGTGGACATCAGGCGGTCCGTTCTCTGCTGGACTGTCCCCTCCGCTGGGGTGTCCCCTAGTGTATTTGCAATTTTGGCTCTGATGTCTTTCCATGGCGCGTTCTTGAGAAGCAGTCGGTCGTGGTGCGTCGGGCACAGGTACCTCAAATATCGAAGACTGTTTCAATCGCGCGGTGATCTGAACCGTGTTCCGTTCTATGGACTCCACATCTGATCACGGCTTCTGCCAGTTCCTCCGAGGCCAGGACCAGGTCGATAGTCGAACCGTATCCACCTGCTTGCCATGTTATTGTGTCCCCTTGGGAGTAGAGTGCTCAGAGTCAGCTCGTTCATGAGGTCGATGATGGGGTCGGCTTCCCCTTGTCTCACGGATGAGACGTCGTCTCCTCCCCACAATTGGTCGTGGCAGTTGAAATCACCTGCAACCACTATATCGACAGTCGTTCCTACGCCCCGTTTCGCCTTTGCTACCACCCTGCGGAGGTTCTCGCAGGTGTCTTTTAGTGCCTCGCCGTCCCCACACGGTACGTAGACGGACGCGACCAGGACTACGCGCTCGCGAGGAAGCCGTATGACTGCTGCCGTGATGTCCGGGGAGTCCACTGCCACCTGCTCGGCTTCCACGATTTTGTTCACCCAGAGCATGCTCCGGATAGCCCATCTACCTTCCTTCAACGTGCACGGGATCATCTTGGTCCATTTGTGATGCTCCATAGGGGTCGTCAGAAGCCGTCCTTGGATCCTCCGCGCCTGGGGTTCCTGAATGGCTATGACGGCAGCGTCCTGGAATTGCCACGTCGTTCATCAAACTATCATGCACCTTCCCCTTGCTTTCTGACGTTCAATTGGATGACCTGAAACGTCCTATTCATGACGAGATGGATAGAGCTTCCGGGCAATTCTTGCTGAACGATTCATGTGGTCCTCCGCACAGAACGCACTTCGGTATAGCTGCTGAGCACTCGCTGTGACGGTGGGCCCTCACTAGCGCACATTCCACACACTTGAGGGTTCCTGCACTGGAAAGCTTTGTGGCCAATCTGCTGGCAGTTGTAGCATTGGTTCGGCCGCGCCCGACGTTCGAAGATTCCCGTGTATCCCGATTCGCCTCTCGCGTGGAAGAAACCCTCATTGATGAGCCTCTTAGCATCGCCGGCTTTGGTGATATATACCACCATCGATCCATACGCTTTCGCAGTGTCCTTCCGGCTCAACCAAGCCAACTTGGCGATCTGCACGTCGTTCTCTCGGCCCAGGGTTTCCGCCGCTCCGGGGAGTACTTTGCCTTCAGGGTCGAGAACGGCCGTACGGTTGACGTTGTCAACTTTGACTGGGTACAGCTGGTCACGTAGGACGTGTGCACCCGGCGCCTTCTTCGCTTCGATGATGTCCTTGATTCTCTTTACTTCCGCTTCGTTCCTGCCAACGATCCTAAGGCGGTTGATGTTTCCTCTGTCTCTGGTAACGGCAAGACAACGCCATTTGGGTTGGTCTCCCGGCGCTCGCATCTCGTTCTCGATGAGTTTGCGAAGAGCCACTGGTGTAGCCTCTTCGATGTGTTCCTCCGGTACCCTGGTCATGTCTACCGTGCAGAACGCTGGCTCTGGCGTAGCCGTCCGGCTTTGCGGAGGATGCTCAGACTAGGACCGCTGGTAGGAGGTGTACATCGGGCGACATTCCGCATACGCACGGCCGAGCAAGAGGGGCTTCCTGAGCCTGGTTCATGGTGTGGAGCTGCAGTCTGGTGTCCTCGAGCTCGCGGCGGGCTTGGGTGAGTTGCTCTCGCGCTTGCGACAGTTCTTCGGTCAACCGGGCCGTCATTTTGGCCATCTCTTCTACCATGTGATCCCTGAGCTTTTCGAATTGAAGCTGAAATTCCATTTTGATAGTGTTCAATTTGTTTTCGAAGTTGCAGTCCGCAGTTTGCTCTTGGCCCTGGATTCCCTCCCTTGCTCTCTCGGCCGCTGCGGCCCGAATTGAGCGATTTTTGTGGTTTCTCAGCATTCTCTCACTGCTGTTTTCCTCCTCCCAGTCCATATCGTTTTCTTCTTGCATTGATTCCATCGCCCTCGCCGTTTTCACCCTTTTGCGCTGGGGCCGGCGATATCCCACTCCTGGGGACCCCGAATCGCCTCTCATGACGTCAATGACGTCTGAGAGCGCCGCGCGCCGCACCTGGCATCTGGAAAGACGGAATCTTCAACCAGCTGCCTCAAAAGACGTGAAGAAGATTAATATAGTAAGTAAAAGGTGAATTGGGTGTCCGCTAGCCACTGCCATAATCAGCTCTCAAACATGGCATCAGTCAGCTACATTGCCGTTAGTCTACTTTGGCTCCCAGCTTGGTACCTACTCAGACTGGCCGTATATATCCAGCTGGCACCCCCAACTCGCTCGCTTAGATGTGGCTTTACCCATGCATTTGGTTGGTTCAAAGTTTTATTCGCGTTCTGGTTCCTACTTTCTTTAGTCCGTTGCGACATGTCGACGACCGTCTCGATCGAGCACTCTGCTACCGCACTCAACACTACCTGTTACTTTAGAACTCATACCGTTTATCGTTTAGCACACTGTTAAGTGCGGCATTTGGATTGTTCTCAATCCATGCAATCTGGTTGCACACCCAATGGTACATGGCGTCTGCTAAGGGGTAGTCCTCAACCCAGATTCTCATCACAGGGTACTGCTTGAGTAGGGGTTGTAAGCCGACCGCCTTGTTGTCAAGAAGATGACGCAACCGTTCAAATCGGCGACGGAAATCGGGAAGTTCCGAAGGAAAATTGATAAGAACTTGAATGGGCGGCTGGGTTCTGGAGCTTTCAAATTCCACCCCAGTCAAAATCTCGCCGCGCAAAGCTATAGACTACAATCTTTGAGGAGGGGAGTCTCCTGTTATCTGTGATCTAAAATAATCATTTACGATGTTCCATCCAGTCCGGATCATTGATTCAAGGCGTCTGCGGATGTCCTGAAGTCTATCGAGAACCTTCGTCGAGAACTTTTGGGTGAGCAAACTACGGCCTTGACAGCTCTCGAAGCGACAATCGTGGCAAAGAAGAGGGTCTTCAGGCTTTTCTGGGTAATATAACCCCTTGAAATTAAATAGGTCCGGCTCAGCAAAGGCGTGGAGCTCCGGCCATTTCTTGCATGAGGGACAATGTATGATGTATAAGTGGAGCTGCTGATTACTGGGCCGCCGTACGAACCTTGGAACTTGGTCGGGCGGTAACCATTGTATCAGACCTGGGAAATCGTGCTCCAAATATGAGCAGTCAAGTGTGATATTTCGACTCACAACAGCCGTGAACTCACGGGGATGCACTGGAGGAAAGCCGGAGGGACGAAGCTGGTCCCGGGCCAACAAGCCGCTTTGGCGCTGGCATTCGATGCACCGTCGTTTTTGCCTACCGGTGCCGACTATATATTTCTGCGCCTTTTTATCAATGTCGTCATGTGCTTGATATCCCAATGAAGTTGGGCTGGTCTCCGAGCTCAGTCCCTCACGGCTGCTTTGAATGATCCGGACCCAACTCTTCCGCTCAGCTTCCGAGACCCTGGCACTCCCTTGGATCCTCCTCCATCTGGCGCTCGGCTCCAAGGGTTCCCAGTCTGTAACTGTAGCCCTGTTAGCCTCGACACTACCCGGAGGCGGCTTGCGGTAGGGCCGTCGAAGGAGGGCGTGGTTGTCAAACATCATCCTGTCCGGAGGACAATATTGCGCTCAAACTTTTGGAAATTACTATGCGAAATTGATAAGAGAAATTTGTATGCAAAACTGATGAGAAACTTCACCGCGATCACTGATTGGTTAACAAGCACGCTCCGGCTCGAAGTTCACTTCGTCACCTATCTTATGGGTTCTCCCTAAACTGCACCATTCATGCCCTCGCAATCCGTTCCATCCATCTATCCAGCCCTCGCAATCCGCTCGACCTTCGCGAACGTCGCCACTCCATCCGTTTGCACGTCTGCCGCTTTCAATTCCAGGCTGTTTCTATGGAAGACGTGATAGTCGTTCTAGGCGGCGCTACTGAGGCGGCGGTGGAGACGGCTGTGGCACGCAAGACATGTACTAAGCGTATTGGCGCAGCTCCGAACCGGAATGGCGAAACTGAACGGCTTTTTGAGCAGGATTGGGGCGGCCGAGTCAGACCTTTGTGCCTGTGGACAAGCGAGGGAATCAGTGGAACACTTTCTTTTCCGATGCGTGAGATGGACAGCTCTGAGGGAAGACATGCTGCAATGCACAGTGGCAAGACGAGGAAGCCTCTCGTTCTATCTTGGAGGGAAAGCGCCATCAGATACAAGGCATTGGTCACCAGATATGAAGGCAGTCCGGGCGACGATCAAATACGCAATGGCAACAGGAAGGCTGGAGCTGAATGAGGAGGAGAGTCTAGACCAGTCACAGTAGAAGAAGCCGACACTCAACACCACGAGCCTCAATCACGAGCCTTAACCAGCAGGTCCCGCTTTAGCTGCTGAAGATAGGACGCTGAACACTTGGAGAAAGTAGCCTCCAAGCTGATCTGCTAACAACAACCAAGGCAAGAGGTAAATGGTGCAGCGAGAAAGAGGGAAGAAGTAGGGGGCTTGTACGAGTTAAAGGCAAAACGATTTGATCCGGATGTAGTTAGCGTGCTAAGGCCCTCTAGGCCCAGTGCCTCCGGGCGAAATAAATTCCATCCATCCATCCGACATGTACTGCAACACCGAGCAAAACATTGAGCAGTTTCTCCATGCACGCGGGAACGGAAGGATTGTTGTCAACTGTCTAAGTTGCCGGCACAAGAACAGGCTTCATGTGATATCCCTAGTTACGATTTTTTTTTCTTCGGCTAACCTATCGCAGGTTCAAGCGTCACGAGCGAGTATTGAGATTTCTCGCGCAATCGCCCGCGGAGAAAATCTTCCCCTTTTCTTTCGCACCGGCGCTTGCACCTGGAGTTCGACGAAACGTTACACACGGCGTCCTTGCCACGATGTATCACGAAAGGGGTCGCGTTCCTACAGATACCCCAGAAATGGCAGCCGCACGGGATCAACGATTGACAATCCAGAGACGCCACCGCGTGGAGCGACGCCATGGCGTGCAGCCTTCACAAACCCCGACGTTAAGCGGCTTGATTCGACAACAGCAGCTCAATGCTCAGAACGAGGTGCCTACGACCAGCCGAGCCTGATTTGCTACCCGTGCAAGCAGCTGAGGGAGATGGTTTGGGTGGTGACGCGGATGACTTGCGACACACACCGCCACAGTACCGCGGCGGCGGACGCCCTCCTAAACGCTATTCTCCTCCGTCTATATCTTCAGCTCAGTCTCGCGGACGCCCTCGCGGACGCCCTCGGCTGGCACGCAATCCTGTTGGCCGCCCACCTACGCAACGTCTTCAAGAAAACCCTCCACGAGATTTGAACGAACCTGCGGCTGGGTCTCGCGGACGCCCTCGCGGACGCCCTCGGCTGGCACGCAATCCTGTTGGCCGCCTACCTACGCAAAATCTTCCTCAAGAAAACCCTCCGCGAGAATTGACGAACCCGCGGTTGGGTCTCGCGGACGTCCTCGGCTAGCACACAATCCCATCGGCCGCCCACGCATGCAAACCCTCCACGAAGGAAACCTTCCGCGCTAATTTAACGAATCCGGTCCGCGGTTTGCAGGCGACGACCAGGAGACGCCGCTTTTGGCCGAAGACATTGCAATCAAGAGGGATTTCGACGAAGCGCTTGCCGCAGAGGAGATGCAACGATGCCTGCGTTGCAAGGAGCGCTGGTTTGACATCAAGCTCATGGCGGATGGCGTTTGTAAGCGCTGCCACGACAAGGATGACAAGAAACGGCAGGAGGAACCTTTTTTTTTCTCCGCAGAGAACAAGCTTGATTTTGGCCCGGTCCCACCACAGTTGCCCCAACTAGAGCCGTTGGAGGAGCTTTTCATTGCGCCTCAGCGTCATCCTGATTGGAGACTTCTTCCAGCCCCCCCCTGTTCTCAACAAGCCGCTATACTCAACGCGCGACGACCTGAAGGACATCGAGATTGTCGGGCGTAATGCGTACCTCTCATTCGACAAGTCGGTGTTTCTGACCACAATACAGCGGCAGCAGGGCGAAGACCAGGCCCCGTTTCGGCGGGCCTTGGAAGAACTGCGAAAGGCTAATGTGTCAGTGCCCTCCTGGGAACTCCTTGCTTCGAGGTGTTCTGTCAAGCTTTCTCTCGAGGAGGCTGACAGCTTTGCTGATGCGCTTCGCATCTATCCCACCAAGGCCCAGGTCGTCGAGTACAATCACCAACACATGCTTGGCCTGGACAGCCCCGCCATTCAGGTCGAGGCAAAGCACGAGGGTGTGGGTGCGGAGAAGGTTGAGTCCTCAAATGCCGGCAACTTGGCCAAGCGCTTGCCCCTGTGTGTTGGTTGCAGGGTGATGCTGACGCGGAACTTGTGGGCCGACGTTGGGCTCGTCAACGGCGCACAGGGCACAGTCCACGATATATTCTGGAAGGAGGGTGCTAACGTACTGCAAGACCCGCCCGAGATTGTTATGGTGGCCTTCGACGACTACACAGGCCCAGCCTTCGCGATGCCGTGTGGGGAGGAGCTCCGCAGAGGAGAGAAGTTGGTGGTCCCCATTCTTCGCGTACGGCAGGATTTCATAGTTGGTGCCAGATCCTGTCACAGAGAGCAGTTCCCTTTACTGGTGAGCTACGCAATCACCGTCCACAAGTCACAAGATATCACTCTTGACAAGGTTGTCTGCGATATCTCCGCCCCAGAGTTCTCTTCTGGCCTCTCCTACGTGGCCGTTTCGCGGGTGAATACACTCGGCGGGCTGATGCTTGAGAAGGCCTTCGACCGCAGCAGGGTCTATCGCGAGACACCATCGCGAGCTATGGGGTTGAAGTTGTTGGATCACGCCACCAGGCAACTGCAGGTGTTAGATGCAGTGGTGGCGAAGGATCGCTCAGAGGAGTCTGGTTGGGATACAGGCAGCGAGAATGGGAGTGTAGAGGTATAACCGGTTAGAACAATGATAGAGCTAATTAGTACAAGTTTAATAAGAAGGCTCAAGTGGATGGAGTTGGCCGACGGACAGATATTGGCGCTTCGTCTCTCCCGTAACTCAACCCTAACCCGGATTGTCCTCCGGAGAGGGACAGGAGAGAGAGGAAGGAAGCGCCCCGTAGCGCAGCGAAGGACCGCGCGGCTGACGAACGAAGCGACGCCAGCAATTTTATTTATGAGCCGGCACCTGATTATCCTGGCTATTTACTCCATTGGTCCTCTTCTCAAAGTTTGACCCATGGCCTTTGCATAGTGTGCCAAAGGACAAGGAATCCAATCAGGACTCGGACTTAGGGGTACGGGTCTCGGGCGGGCGAGACACAAGCACCGCACTGGAAGCAAGCGAAGAAAAACAAGTACAAGTAACCGAGACACAGCAAGCTGTATACAAAGAAAACGAAAATCATGAATTGGAAAAGGCTCAATGCGGCTCCCGACACCAGCCATACCTAACATGCCGACTGCGGCACCGGTTTGATGTCGGTGTGTTTTTGTGGCGCTGTGCCTGGCCTCGACCGACCCGTCCCGTCCCAGGTATGTGTGCATGGGGGGCAGGCCGTGCTGTGCCGCAGCCGTCCGACGAGACTCGACAGGCCAGCCAATCGAACCCGCTGAATCGTCAACCTGGACTGTGGGATTACTCAGGCCCATGTGGAATTTCCAGTCGATTCCCCTGTCGCCGATATGGCGTTCGGACTCGACGAATCTGGTCGCGATGGCGGAGATAAATGAGCACGCGTGCCACCATCGCACACCTGCTGTGTTTCCAGGTGGACGGCGCTCTCCTGCAACGTCGATAAGGTTGAGGGCTGACGTGAGACCTGAAATATTTAGCTCGGCGTCTAGCCCTAGGTATCCAACCTGAATTAAAGCGGCCACTGTCTCCTGGGGAGGTGACTTTCTTCTGTTCGGTCACTTTGTCATCGAACCAGGCAAGACTCGAGAGTGAACCTGTGGGGACTGTACCCTATCGCGCTCCACGATGGATCAACACCAAGCCGCCCAGCAGCCCGCGCAGTATTACGCGCTTCCAGACGCGCAGCAGGAAAAAACCGGGCAGTTCCAGTACCAGCAAGCATATGAGCTACAACAACACCACAACACCAATTCACCGGCTTCTGGCCCTACTATGCTCAGTGTCACACGAGGCGTTGCGCTGAGCGTGGTGGGCGTGATTGTGTTCTTGCTGGTCACCGTGATTGGGCTCAGCGCCGGCCTCGGGGTCAGTCAGCGAGATTTGCAACAGGTGAAGGGTGATTTGGAAGCAGCGCAGGCTGTGCTCTCCGTGACGAGGTATGAGTGTCTCCGGGCGGCCCAAATACGTCGATATCCGGTGTTAACCAGGTCTCCAGTGCGCCGACGACCGCTGTTGTGTTGCCGACCTCCACCACGGCATCCATACCTGCGGTAGCGTCCCCCACGGCAAAGGCTGACGTGCAGTGCCCTCGGGTCAACGGCACTATCTACACGGCTAGCTCTGGTGGCAAGCGGTTCCGGCGGCTCTGCGGTGTCGACTACGGAGGCGAGGGCGAGGCGGTCGACATTGGCAACGTTAAAACCATCAACCTGGATGCTTGCATCGACGCGTGCGCGTCGGAGACAAATTGCACAGGGGCGGGCTGGGGCGTTATTGAGGGTGACAAGGGCCCAACGCATAGTTGCTGGATGAAGACGAACCTGACCAAGTCACACAAGGCGAATGCCTGAAAAGTGGGGGTTTGCCGTGCTGGATGCCCGGCAGGAAACCGGGGAAGTAAGTGTAAACCGCAGTTAAAGTTGGATTGTGGACTGCCGGGGACCATCATCCGAGCGAGCTTTATAGGAGGCACAACATACCTTTGGTGAATGCATTGGCAGCGACGATAGTGAACATGCCATGACGCCTCTTCATCTCCTGATTCTCCGGCGAGTGGCCCCGAAAGCCAAGCCGCTCTTGAACAACCACCGTGTTGTCTCAGTGATGTGCGATGAGCACCCAAGGGTTCTGTTCTCTTTTCAATCCGCTGTCCACTCGCCGATCATTAACTAACCATTGGTCTGGGTGTCTGGGCATCGCGTCCTGGACGCCCTGATGCCAGAAGTCCGAGCCCAGCCCAGAAATCCAGTGGCGTGGTCGAGCCGTTTGTGAGGGGCCACGATCCGTGCGTTTCCGGGTTCTGGCCTCTTGCTTCCCGTGCCGCCCAAATGCAGAGCACTGACACCCGCTGGCCGGCGAAGTTGTGTAACACGGCGAGGGATCGCAAGCCAAACCTGGTTTTGAAGGCGCCCTCGGCAAACCAGTCCGGCCGTCGTTGGCTTCATGAATTTGGTGCCGAGGGGCGTTGTGAGCACTGGCAGTCCCAGATTTCCAGAAATGTCATCCCTTGCTTTCCAGAACCTTGCTCAGGACTTTGATGTGGCGTCTGAGCGAGGGACCTCCACACTCGGGACCCGAGTCATCTGCAAGCGTCTGAAATCTCTCGCGCGAGGGAGTTGATTGGGGCAAGGCCAGCAGGAGCGCCCTCACAAACCCCACAGCAGCATCCGAGCGCCAGAAATTCCTGGGGAAAAGGCACTTCTTGGCTGCATCCATGCTGTGTTCCAGAAAAGGAGCGCCTGATGGCACAGCGGCCGGGGACCCCACGTCATGATTTCATGCAGAGGCGGCGAGCAGCCGTCAATGGGCTGCGACAGCGAGGTTTCCAAGAGGCACGCATTTCAGAGTTCGTTTTCCCAACGATCGAGCTCCCTTTGCATGCTCTTCGTTTCGTACCCCGTACTGTTTCCGGTCTCCCTTCACCTTGGAGTCAATAATGATTATGTACATAGGTAGCTAACTAGCAAGGAAAATGCCTCGACAACTTCTCTCAAAAGAAACGAAAGTTCATTTTTGTCGCCGAGGCTTGGGAAATTGAGTCTGTGCACGCATGAGCTCCGGCAGCGCCAAGTGGGGTCTTCTTACTCCAACCCCGGATCAGCGTCCCTGCTTCCCGACCTCGAGCTCTGGGCCGTGTTCGGGATGCCGAGGCCTTTGCGGAAGGAGCGATACAAATCATCTCGCGAAGCAGCCAACCCCGCATTTCAGCTCGAGCTCAAAACCAACAGAGGCAGGAGAGGGTAACCCAAAAAAGACAGGCAGCCGGCCAAGCGAGAGTCTTGCCGCAGTTTCCATCTCCCTTTCCCCTGCAGAAATTACCTTGTGGTTGTTGTCGCCGCGCGCTGACTGCATGGGGCACAGCATGCCTCGTGCGCATTGGCCAATCCATGAAGACACTCCTTGTCAGGACCCATGGCGCTGACAGGCAACGCTTGCCGATTTTTGGTTGTCGTTGACGAAAATTGTCCCTTTTTCGTCTCCCTCGTGTCTCAGAGCGCCAGTCGCGCTGCAAGACCACTCCTCGAAGCACACCGACGAGTCCGTGAAGAATCCTTTTCGATCGCCACTTGGCCAAATGACGGCGCAATTTCGACACCCATCCTCCTCCTCCATGTTTCCAAATTCCCCCAAAGGATGTCCGTCAGGTGGCCCGGTTTCCCCGCTGAGCCGTTGCAGCGCCTGAAACAGGGTTCCTGTGAATTGGCTGCCTTGAATGAGCGAGGTTCTTTGCATTTTGCCGTTTTAACCACCCGGACTTCAGGTTGCGATCGATCTGCGCGTCAGACTTGCTCCTCGCTTCACAAGCGAAAATGATCTCTAACGGGAGCATGCTGGACAGGGTGGCACGGATAACTATCAGCGGGACGGGACGTTCTTTGAGATCTTCAAGGTTCGACATTTACCAAAATGCAATCAGTCAGAAGACGAACCGGTCAGAGAGCTCAGACGGGTCGCCTCCGAGGTTGGTTTGGAGGGGCTGGTTGCGGTCGCGTGCCAGCTGTCAATGGGAATTGATCAAGCATTGCGGGGATGAAGCCCCTGGCACCACTTCCGCTGCTGCTTCTCCGCCAAGCGGTGCTTCTCCCGCCTTCCAGACAAGCCCAGTCCCCACGCCACTGCCGGCCGGGTCTCCGCCGACAGCCGTGGTGCAGAAGCCATCCGCGTCCGATGTTCGATGGTGGCTGGCGACGAACCGTGGAAAGCTCGCGAGTGATCATGTATCCAGGCACGAAGCACATATTATTCTCAATTCACTCTCAATGCCCCAGCTTGATGTCAGGCCCCAAATCTTCACACCACCTACACGACGAGACACGTCTCAGCCAACAAGTGATTGGTACTTCTGCTCGGGACCGTTTGTCCGTATCGCCGTTTCGGCCATCTGCCAAGCCCTTCCGTCGTCCGACTACTTTGGATACTACTGGGCTGCCAGAACGCATCGAGTCTGGTTCCATCAACTGGCCCCTCATACCCTGCAGTGTCACCCTCCTTCCAGTTCGGTCCACTGCCTGTCAACCTTGGCTGTTCCCATGTTCCTTCTCACCCATCCCCCCTTGTCGTTCGAGGCCCAAGGGGGCAAGGATCACGGAACGCTAACGCAGACCCAACAGACAAACCATGCCGCCAGGGTGCAGGCACCAGAGCGTTGCTGGGACGGGTGGGTTTCCGGGGCAGACCTCGCCGGCTCGATATGAATGCCCCTCACGCCGCCCAAGGGCCGGGGGGCTCTCTTCTGCCGCTTTTCGACTTCGCCCCCGATTTCATCGAACCCGAACGGAATCCGAACCGACATCACAGGAGCTTCACACCGAGGAGGGCAACGGGTCCAGGCTACGATGTCGTCAAAAATCAGGCCGGACTCGGCCTCGGCCGAGTTCGAGGTGGTTCAGGAAACGCCCCGGTTTCAGAGGGTGTATTGGACGAAGGAACCGCATCTTCGGAAGCTTTACGGCATGGCCATCATCCTTATGGTGGCCTCTGCGACGACCGGGTACGACGGCATGCTCGTCAACACGTCGCAACAGATAGACGCCTGGAACTGGTTCTTCTTCCCGGAGCTCAGGGACAACCCGGACCTCAAGGACCCCATTCTCGACAGCAAGCTCGCTATCCTCGTCAACATGTTCAATATCGGTTCCATCGTGTCCTTCTTCATCACACCCTACGTCGCCGACAACTATGGCCGCCGGCCAGCTATCATCGGCGGTTGTCTCTTCATGGTTGCCGGCGGGTTCTTGACGGCCTTCTGCAACGGCTATGGGAGTGAGTTCGGCGGCTCTGCATTCCGGCGCCGGGGCCGGGTCGGCTAACTGCTGCAGTGTACATGGGCGGCCGTTTCGTGCTTGGTTTCGGTAACTCGCTTGCCCAAATGGCCTCGCCACTTTTGTTGACCGAGATCTGCCACCCGCAGCACCGCGGTCCCGTAACCGCCATTTATAACTGCTTGTGGAACGCCGGCGCGTTGTTGGTATCCTGCATCGCCTGGGGCACGGCCAATGTCAAGACTGAGTGGTCATGGCGATCCATCACGCTCATTCAGGTCGTGCCCTCCCTCATCCAGCTCGCTGGCATCTGGTGGATCCCCGAATCGCCTCGCTACCTCGTCAACAAGGAGCGCCACCAGGAGGCGCTACACATCCTGACCAAGTGGCACGCCGGCGGCGACCCGCACAACGCGACGGTGCAGTTCGAATTCCGCGAGATCCGCGAGACTATCCGCATCCAGAAGGAGACGGAGCGCTCCACTAGATACCGCGACTTCTTGCGCACTCGCGGCAACCGCTGGCGACTGGCCATCATCGTGTCGCTCGGCGTCATCTCGCAGTACAGCGGCAATGCGCTGTTCTCCAACTATATGAACGCCATCTACCTCGGCGCTGGCATCAACAACCAGAACCAGAAGCTGGCCATGTCGACAGGCAAGACTCTCCTCGACCTGATTGTCACGGTTGCTGCCGCGCTCAACGTCGACCGCTTCGGCCGCCGCCCCTTGTTTCTCTCCGAGTCGCCATGGTCGGTATGGTGCTGTCCTTTGTTGCCTGGACTATCACAGGCGCCATCTACGAGAACTCGATGGAGCAAGACGTCCAGGCAGGCTACGCCCAGCTCGTCTTCATCTGGATCTTTGGGGTATTTTACGACATCGGTTTCTCGGGTCTGTTAGTGGCCTACGCCCTCGAGATCCTGCCCTTCCACCTACGCGCCAAAGGGATGATGATCATGAACATTACTGTCCAAGCTATGTTGGCCATCTCCAAGTATGTTGTCCGCGTCCCGTCTCTCAATCCCCTATGTGTGCTGACCTCCCTTAGCCAAACCAACAAGATCGCCTGGGAGCGTATGCCGAAAGCATTGGCATTTTATGCTTTTCTATACGATTTGGGACCTTTGCGAGCTCGTTTTCGTATGGTTCTTCTACGTTGAAACCAAAGGGCCCGACCCTAGAAGACATTGCGCGCATCTTTGATGGCGATGGTGCCGTCGCCCACATTGATATGAACGAAGTCCAAAAGGACATCTACGATATGGAGGACCGCGACCGTCACGAATTGCCGGGGCGCGCTTTCTGAGTAGTCTTTTGTGGGTTCAGGTTGGAGTCTGGCGCAGGGTTGTCACGGGGCGTTGTCATGATTGCTAGTTTCTATGATACCATCTATGTTGATTACCTTAGTCTATCCTACATCCTTCCTCTATCTTGCTCGTATCTTTCTGTCTTGGGCCACCCTCGGTGTCTGTTTCTACCCCGGCTCAGTTCTCGGCCTCCCCGCGTTTCACCTCCCTACCCATCCGTGAGTGTTGGCTCCGCCACACCGGGCCCGACGCATCAACGACAGTTCGTACCCATTCCTCTGTCCCGGATGCCTGGTTCGCGACGTCTGCACTACCCGCCGCTAGCAGCGTGGGCTGCATGTTGACGTAAATGGTCTCGTAAGCGCCCGCCGGTGCGCAGAAAGCCTCGTGGAAGATGCCGATATGCGAATACCCCTTCTTGACGCACTCTTTGTTGTACCAGTCCCACACCTCGCGGTGAATACGATCGTGCGCGAAGCGGTTTAGCCCCTCCAAGTCCCGGAAATAGTACACAGTCATGAGCGTGTTGTTGGACGCCGTCTCGTCGCCCCGGTACGACGTTCCACCGAGGCAGCCAAACTCCTTCGCGCGGTTTAGGACCTCCCTATGGCAAGCCATAAACTTTTCGCCAACCTCCTTGCTGCCCGGTGCCAAAGCGCCGAGCGGGTGATTAAAACGGGCACCTAGGTGGAGCACTACGACGCTACTCTCCGCTGGGGCTGAACCGAAGAGAGAGGCCTTTTCGGACCGAAGAGGGTCGTAGCTTAAGTTCGGAAGTTGGGCCGAGGTGCGTCCATTGATTACTCCCCGGTTGGCGATGAACCGTTCAAGAGAGGTAACATCGCGGACGGTACATACCACAGCGCGTAGGAGTAAGAAGACTAGCGGGAGGAGGGCGTAACGGGATGGAAGGAAGAGTGAGAGAATACCCTGGCCAAGGCCGCCTAAAACGAGGAGGGTCGGAAGGGAAAAGGAGTTCTTCAACAGACTCTATCGAGTCGTCAGACCAGTTGCGCATACCAAAGTCTCCAGTCGGCCACTTACAACGAATCCCGATTCCTTCTCCCAAATGCGCTTCTCGGTGGGAGAGAAGATCCCCTTGAAATTGGCCGGCGCCATTTTAATAGATTGACGGCGGCAGAAAAAAGCAAGCCACTTGAACCCGAGGGAGAGCTGAGTGGATGAAACTTCGATGGTTCCCGATTCCTATTGTGTTGGAACTTGGAAGGATAACTTATAAGTGGAGATGTTGAGAATCAGGGTTTCAGTCACGTTTCTTTGGCTTGAGTGAGTATGGGAGAAGCCATCAAAAAGACCGACTGTCGTTGGCCTTAAATAAATCCAGTCTCCGATCCCTAGTGGTTTGCCGCTTCGTCTCAGGAATATCTGAAGTTGTCGTATGTCGCGAGGGGAGGTAATTATGGGCCGCTAACCAATCGCATTGCTTCTCCGGCCTTGATGCGAGTGCGAGGATGCGAAGCGGGCCGCTCGACTAATCCAAACATGATCCATATTATCCCGGTGCCGTCATTCCGCTGTGGCGCACTCGGCCACTAACAGCTCTCCACGCTCCCATTTCGGGTCGCGCGCCCACCCGAGAGTTCCCAGACTGGAAATCAGGCCATAGGACCTTGGCATAACGTACGTTGCTTCGCCGTGGAACTCGGAAGGAAGGGACTTGACGCGGAGGAATCCGCACATGCAGTCAACTCGGCCTCATGAGTCATGGACTCATGGTACTGTTTAACCTCGATCCCGGTCCGCCATGGGAGAACTTCGACACGTAGCTGTGGCGCGGCGGTGACGGATTTGAGCGACTTCATCACCGCGGCATCGTTCTCCAGCTGACGAATCGCGGCCTTGCTTGGACCGACAGCAAGAGGATTCTGAGGTTGGGGATGGCCCGGCATATGGTGTCGACCTCCCGCAACTCCTGCTCCCGAAACAAATTTATTGCTTCCATCTTGCGTTGCCGCCCTAAATTTGTATTATCGTCGCAGTACAGTTTTTACTGCGCGTACAGCATCATCTGGACGTGGTGTACGGGCAAATCGCCCGCCATCGGCGCAAAAGCCCTCAGCGTGCGGTATTCGTCAAAGCAGAACGTCCACAGACCGCAGGTCTCAAGGCATCTGGTTTTGTTAGTGAATAAACTCAACATACATCTTGATTTTCGTCACTTACGCCAATACAAGATCAAAAAAGGTATTGTACGTCCCCTTGCAGATGCGAAATCGCGCCGAGGGCATCCTGTTGGAAGGCAGACCAGGAGGTCTGAGCACAGGAGGGTCAATGGGTCAAGGCCCAGAACGTGGTGGCAAGAGATCGGTCGGCTTAGGCCGGAGAGATCACTCGGCTTAGGCCAGGTGCGGTTGCATGCGGTGCCACCATCGCTGCTCAGAGAGAGATATCAAGGGTTTGGAACCCCCCTTACAGAAGGAAGGGGGGGACAAGGACAAATTGATTTTCGCAGAGTCTCATCAGCGCTGCCGTCAAATCAATCAAGTCAGATATCGGGGTATGATTTGACTGTTTGACTGAGAATTCCAGGTATATCTGATTGTTTGAAGATATCTGTCAGATATCTGCTATATCTGGATCGCGTCAGACTTGAAGCTATTCCTAAGATCGAGAACAACATGCTTGCCCTTACATTACGCCAGCTCGGTGTTTCAACTCCCCACCGACAGCATTAGTAAGCCTCTAGGCTTCCTTATACCGCCTCGCTGGTGAATTGGAACCCTCCAAGGCTTACTGAACCCCTCTCTATCCAGTTCTTGAGACACTGGGTGTGCTCAAGCGTTCTGGGGGCCATGGAAAGTCGTTGGGTTGTCAACGTTAGTTTGGAGAGGCTAAAGGTCCTCTCACAATCGGCTGACATCGCCGGGATGGCTAGGATATCCAGGGCCAGCTGGCTAAGGGTCGGAAAAGCCGAACGCTGCGAAACCCACCATTGTAGGGGATCCTGGACTCCTTGAAGGTGCGCTGGGTCTAGTTGGAGATAGCGATCAAGCTCTGTATTGCCTGGATCGAGCATCTGGAATCTCGAATTGACCCAATCATCAAACTGCGTTGCCTCAGGCGCCGGCGGGCGCGCACGCAGGACCTGGGTCTCACCTCGAGGGGTACTAGGCCTGGAGTTCAAGGGCAAGGCGTTGTGACGATACCATCGGTCCCAGTACTCGGATAACCCATCTTTTGCGTTGCGAAGCCAGACTAGCTGCTCTGGGGAGCTCCACTGCGCCTCCAGCCAGCGAAGGCCCATCCCTGGGTGAAGGATTACCGCAGCGGCGTAGAGAGGCGAGTCCCCAAGCTTGGTGTACTATTCGTTCAGCTTCTTCCATCCATTTAGAACGGAGAGGCGAAAGTAGACTCTTTATCACGGTTAGAATCACCGTGGTAGGGGTAAGCTGGTATATTGTGTGGTTGCACGAGGAACCGAATATGGGGAGGCGAGGCGCCCTGTGGCTGCGCACAGACCAACACAGGGCCAGGTGCGGCCCGTAAAGCCCTACCACCAGAACCCCACCTCGGGGTTCAGCCGTGCAACCCTAACTCTACGAGGAACGGGCTGTGCCCGTGACACTCTTGAATCATCATCGAGGCTTTCGTAGCGTTGCTGGGGTGGTTGATATGTGTATTCGGCTCGTGCGTGGTCTGGTAGAAACGAAGCGGCGCCCTCTCCACGTCGCGACTGTGATACTGTTGGGTGGATCGATTGGGGAGCCGATCGGGGTCAGCTGGGCGATGACCGAAGATGGAACGGGCGCACCAAAAATCGTAGAGGCCATCTCAAGGAAAGTATCAGGTAGGTATGACTAAGGGTGCCAAAGAGCAATGGGTTGGTACTAGGCGATAGAGCAGGCGATCTCGAAGTCGCAGGAGGGCTGGTGATGGTGCCTCTAACATTTAATTCCAGTAGATCCACGCGTCAAAAACACGGCGAGCGTGACGCCCTTAAGCCCAATCTTATTGGTTAATTTATTGGATTATGTAATATTTTGGACCCACCTTCTTAACTAGTTAACGTAATCTATCACCTTCTGGGACACACCACCTTGTGGGACACTTTTCTGCCCCACACCCCACCACGTCGACTTCGGACGCACCTCACAACACAAAAGAGAGTCTATTCGGAATGCATTCTACATAATTCGAGTCCTTATTTACAAGGGCATTTTCTGGCGTTGTGCTCGATTGAGCCACAAACACTGCACTTCGGCTGGGCACGCTTTCGTGCCTTTGGCGCAGTCGTGTCCGATGGCCCCACCTCTCCTTCTTCGACCTCTCGACGAGCTTCCTGGCTTCCTTGACCCTTCTGACGAGCATTCTGGGAGGCCTCGATGTGTGTCATCCCTTCTCCAATCGTCATAGTCCCTCCTGTTTGAATGAAAGCTCGGCGTGCCCGCTTTCTCTTTTGTCGACCATTTTCAGCTCGAAGTCGCGAGTTCTCTTCCTGCAAAAGAGTAGCATTGTGCATCGCCATCTGGCAGCCCTTGATGATTTTCTGAAGCGCCTGATCTGTTGGGCTTATCTCTCTCTGGTGTTTCCTTTGGAGAGAGTCAAGTTCGACGATGTTTCCTGGCGTTTTGAGAGGCAGACTTGGCGGTTGGATAGGGGTAGGAGGGGGACTCAGTGTCCGTATCCTGGTTTGTAGCCGACAAAGAACCTGAGTTGGATCGAAAGGCAAGAGCCCTGCAGCTCTAAAGCCGCTTGCGATGTTCTTTGTATTGAATGTCTTTTTCCGAGCTTCGAGAAACAGTTCGAGGAATCGCGGTTTGTCAATGTGATGAACCCCGAGTGCTATCTTCGCTTTGACAAGGTCGCCGTACGTCCGCTTAAGCACAGCGAAACAGCTAACGTCAAGGGGCTGGAGGTAGTGCGACGAGTGCGAAGGCATACACTCTGTAAGGATCCGATGCTCAGTACAGAATTTGTCGAATGCAGGCGTCGAATGGCTTCCATGACCATCGAGAATGAGAAGCCGATATCGACCAACAGTCCGGTTTCGCGTCTGTGGCTCGAAGACTTCTCGAAGCCACGCAAAGGTAAGCTCATCGGTTGTCCAGCCGTTATCGCTGACTCCAATCCGCCACGTCTTTGGCAGTGCTGAGCTGTCGTACCATGACGAGATGTGGACTTTTCCTTCGAAGATGATCATTGGATCAACACTCCAACCTGTCGCGTTGATGCACTCAATGACAGTTGTCCACTCTCGATTTCCCGGCTGGATAACAACAGGTCGATTCCGTCGGTCAGATCGAGTGACCACTTTAGACGTGCTTGCAACACCCATCTGGAAACCAATTTCGTCAAAGTTGTAGATGTCGCTGTCAAGAACACCGTATTCGTTGATGGTCCTTTGCACTCGTGCAAACCACGCTGAAATCTTCTCTGGATCCTCGCCTAAGGCCCGTTGATAGTCGTACTTTCTAGAATACTTCGTCTCCAGATGGGGATGCCGATGAAGAAGCCGCTGGACCCAGTTCTCACCAACAGTCATTGCCGGGACCGGGGTGGATGTAAGAGACGCGTCGAGTAGAGTGAAGCCTCCACGCTCGCGGAGAAGAAGGTCAGCCATCTGTCGGATATAACCGATCGTCGGCGACATCCCACGGTCGTCCAATGACTCGATCCATTGAATCAAGGCTGCTTCTTCAGTTGTCACACGGATCACCACGTGGACGCAACCATCATCAATCGTTTTTTAGAGATCAATGGCCACTCATCGGAAGATGGGAATTCACACGGCCGAGCCTAGGAGGCTATGAGACTCTGCCAATTGTCCTTGTCCTCCTCTTCCCTCTGTAAGTAGGGTTCCAACCCCGTGATATCTCTCTCTGAGCAGCGAGGGTGGCGCCGCATGCAACCGCACCTGGCCTAAGCCGAGTGATCTCTCCGGCCTAGACCAACCGATATCTTGCCACGTTCTGGGCCTTGACCCTCATGTGCTCGGACCTCTTGGTCTACCTTCCAACACGTCATCTTCTCATCGAGACCCTTCATGTATGAAAGACTCAGAATGTCAGATAGCTCCAGAACTTCTCTTTCTCTCTTTATGGACTTCTCGAGGCCATTGAAGATTATTCTTATTAATACATTTGGTTTTGCCGGTTCCCCCGGCAGCTGATTGTTCAAGCCCTGGAATACCAGCCCTTGTAACATCAGTTGGGCGTAGCTTTCGGTTCTTGACTTGAGCTTCTTGACGCGTACCGCCCCCCTTGACGCGTCTGTGGAGAGTGGACTTCGGTACACCAAACGCATCCGCAGCGTTGCGAATGATTTTGATTTGGCCTGAACGTAAGGCCTCGAGTGCTAATTGGATTCTATCTTCGTGCTGTAGAGGCTTTGGCATTTTGCCGGGCACAATGGCGTAGTGGAGTGCGTCCGAAGTCGACGTGGTGGGGTGTGGGGCAGAAAGCTGTCCCACAAGGTGGTGTGTCCCAGAAGGTGATGGATTACGTTACTGGATATCTGCCAGATAACGTTCAAACAGGGAGCTTAAGTATCTGATTGTTTGAATCCTGAAACCTGGAATATCTGACTGTTTGTATCTGACTTGCTTGGTAGATTATCTGATTTGACGGCAGCGCTGAGTCTCATAGCCTCCTAGGCTCAGCCGTGTGAATTCCCATCTTCCTGTGTGTGTGACACCTTGGATCAGTGGCCGTTGGTCTTCCAACAAATAGATTAAAAAGAAAATGACTACCTGGTAATCTACAGTACGAGACTGGGAGGCCTCGGGTACCAACTTTCTGATTCCAACGTTTTCCACAACCGAAAATAGGTTACAATAGCCTGAAAGTGAGCTCCCATAACCTTTTTAGCTTGATACACGCGATGGACAGTGTGGCGGTGCCGGGTTTTCCACACCGCGCACACCGTATTTCTCTTCTGCACTTGTTGTCTTTCTCTTCTTGGGGCCAATTTTGGGCGTTGATATACACCTATAAGCCCGTGACTAAACAGGTGCTTGCGCTACACGATCCCCATTTGTAGGTCCGGTGGTCGTATTACCCGTGGTAGTGGTTAAAGGGCGGTCCTTCTCGGGATCTGCAACACCAGCCCGCTGGCTTCGGCGATGGCTAGCCCACATCAGAGCCTCTAGAATCGTATTGAACAGGAGGAAGGCGCTGCCATAGGTTAGATGAATCTCAGTTAAGCCGGTTACCGAAGGGCAATACAAACAATCCAATGATGTGGAACGCTTGAACCGTGTGCTTCAGCCCACAACGGCTGACTGCTACAGAAGAGAAGAACCGGCACCGGTTCCCACTATAGTCCTGGGAGGAAAAGATAAGCGAGGTGAGCCACAAATATGTGAGGGCCAGATTGAGCGGTAGCAGGTATCCGCGGTACGACTTGAGTGCCGGCAGTACCATGGCGATCAGATAAGTGAACAAAGTGAGCACAGCCTGCTCAGATTAGCTGAAGTCGGTAGAACTTGACGGACTGGACACTCACGATGACCAAGCTGTACACTAGATGTGTTCCTCGGTAACCCCAGTGGCGGAAATACGAGAGAATGCCGGTGATAATGGCTGAAGAGGCCAAAATGATGAAACTGTTGAGACCGAGTAGGGCCCGCGCGATCCGACCACTGAAGAAGCCTCCTCGAGTATCCATTGCTAACTATGTATGATACTAAACTTTGTTGTTGAAAATTGGGAGCCGGGCGACAGAGAAGAGAAGGATGTGGAAGCTGGTGTTATAGTTTGGTATGGTGCGTTATATGCCAGTTTCCGGCCCTGGGGGCCTGGTTATGACATATCGTCCTGGCCTCCCTTTCGCGGCCTGAGCGTTTATCGTGTCGTCATTATGCACTGGGCGAGTAATGTGAAATCAGGGTGGATGACGTTGTTGAGCTAGGATGACCCCAGCTGAAAAGCAGCATGGGCTCTGAAATTGGATTAGATGATGGCGATTTTGTCTTGCACCTGGAGGGATCCTTGCTTACCTGATCTGGCGCCGATGTGTTGTTGATGATAACCACTTGTTCTTGCCGGTTGGAATAGCCGAGGAGAGGACCAAGGAATGCTCTCAGGGTAGGCAACAATGGTTAGGACTGAAGAGGCTCAACATATCTCGGCCACCCACGTGTAGTTAGATACCAATCGACATTAGGGATTAGGGGAAGGGGTTGGAGTACAGTCCAGAACGCAAGCTCCGTAGCAGTGGGTCTCTAGGTGCATTCGACGAGGTGCTAGCCGAAATCGGGGACCCGGGGGAGGCAACGCGTCTATCAACTCATCTAGTTATAGGCGATGACAGTGCGCTGGAAGAGACCAATATTATCGCCTGGGAAAGAACGAATTACCTTTCGCTACTCTCCTGGAAGATACCAGGGGCTAAATGTTACCGCCGCAAGGCCATAACAACCTTGGGATTTAATATATCCTGGAGCCCTCCACCCCTTCGAGGATTCAAGGTTCTGACTGAACAGATCTATGGCCCGATTGAGGAATGATTCTGGCACTTGGCCGAGCCATCTTCTTGTTCGACCGTTTCCCGCCGTTCAAACTAATTAACCGATGTCAAAGAGCTCAATCGAATCACGGCGAGATATGCCCATTTTCGAAACGACTGGTCCCTAGGCGGCCGCCGACCGTTCTTCTGAACGACAACCCTGCTACATTATAAGACTTTGTGAAGGCCCATTCTTCGGATGCTGAGGTTTGGGTACAGGTGCTAATTCGTGACCCGGCGCTCGGGGGCTTCATGGCTGGCGATTTGCGGCTTCTTCATCTTGCTATCTTTAACCTAATTCGACAGGACACTCGTCCGCCTCCTACGGGCTCCGCTTCATACAGCGTAGCATGGTAGTTAGAGGTTGGCTAAAGAGGACAGCGCGCTAGATTCATAACGGCGAAAAAGTTACGAGCTGAAGACCGGCAGGCAACCTCAAGACTCTCCAAAGAATGCCGAGGGCGGCCAGCAAGCATCTACCTCTAATTCCCCCACAACCCCCCTCAGTACCACTAAATGAACGCGAAGTTGCACTCTCGGGAGTTTAGGCAGCACATTCGTTGTCATATTTCACTACTTGAGGCACACACACTGGGGCAGAGCCTCATTTTAGCATAAAGAGTGGTGTATTTGGTAACCACAGCCTCCACCCAACGTTTTCTTGCTATCTACATTTTTCCACAGTCGCTTGGCTCCCACACGTGGCTAAAAAGAAATCGTAAATGGCGGTATTTCCTTGTACTACTATCGAGACACCCAACCCCCTACACGACGAATCAGACGAGGTACTTGCAGGGACAATAGTTCACTTGGCCAAGGAACCAAACGAGGCGGTCTCCCAAGTAGTGGCGGACGAGATCATGACACGGCTGCGGAGGCTGCGTAGCCTGGAAAGCGGAAAGGCACCAGAGACGGGAAGCGTAGGAATCGACGTTACGAGGATTCAAGAAAGCATCGTGGACGCCGTGGTGGACGGTGTCGGACAAGGGGCAGGGAGGGCCATGGAGGAAGTGAGAAAACAGATGCAGGAAGTCCGGAAGGAGATGCAGGAGGTCCAGAAGGAGTTGCAAGAGGCCCGGAGGGAACTGCAGGATCAGAGAAAGAAGCAAGCTCCTGCACCAGCAACAACGGTAGCCCGGTCGTGGGCTGCAGTGGTGGCTGGGGAAGGGGAGCTCCCGAAGAAGATCATACCGGGGCGGCTCAACAAGGAAATACTGGTGAGGGGATCTATAGAGCCGTCGCTGACCCGGAGGTCTCCACAAGAGATCGTCCAGGCGGTCAACGGGGCTTCCGAGAGGAAGGGAGCAGTGGCAGCACGCAAGCTCCCTAGCGGGGATGTCATCGTCACTTTTCAAGATGCTGAAACGAAAGAATGGCACGCGAAGAACTGAGGATGGATCGGAACGGCGTTTGGAGAGGTGGCGAAAGAGGCAAAGCGGACATTTGCGGTTTTGGTGAAAGGGATGCTGAAGAGAGACTTGAGGGACGTCACAGAAGCGGCATTCGGCAAGCAGCTGGGGCTGCAGTCGGTGGGACGAGTCAAGTTCCGAATTCCAACGATCGAGGGAGTCACGAGAGCGACGGCACTGGTTACTATGACCAGTCAGGAAGAATCGAAGAGGGCCTGCGAGAAGGGGGTGGTTTGGCGGGCCCAAATGCTCAACTGCGAGCCGTACTGGTCTGCGCTGCAGGCTACCCAGTGCTATAAGTGCTGGAAATGGGGTCACACCCAACGATTCTGCAAGAAGTCTGCGCTGTGCCCGCGCTGCGGCACAGCGGCCCATGGCGGAGGCGGGAGGGCGGGGGAAGCCCAATGCCCAACCCACGGCAACGAGATTCCATACTTTTGTCCGTGCTGCTCAGGGAAGCACCCGGCCTGGGTACGGTGGTGCCCGGAAGCAGTGAAGGCCCGGGGTGCGGCGAGGGAGGCATACCATTTCCGGCCTCGAACCTTTGAGCTTGCTTTGCAGCAACAAACACAACAGCAGCAAGAGAGACTACTACCGAGGATGCGGAGCGTCACATTCCGGGGTGCGTCCACCCTGGAGGAGGCCGACGATGGCTTCCAAGAAGCGGGAAAAAGGAAGAGACCACGGGGCCGACCCCCCGTCTTTCTCATAGCCCAGGAGGAGGCTGCAAGGAGTTCGAGGCAAGGAAAGCTGACCTTTGCGAGGAAGGTTGATACGGATCTGACCGGATACCGAGGAGACGGTGTTGGGGGCCTAGGGGTTACGACTCCAGAGGCCGCGGATACCTTGGAGGCGGACGGTCAGGATGTCGGAATGCAGGGAGCTGGGTAGGCTCCCTTCAACCGTAGCACGACGAATTCTGAAGAGACGGGCCAAGGTAACATCGGTACAGGTTTTTAGTCCGACTGGGAAACCAGTACGGTTTTCCTGTACAACTAGCTAGATAGTTGGACCAGCGAGCCCAAGGGCATAGCGGTGTAGGAATAATAATAATAATACTATCGACACATGTCTTCCCCACCCCCGAATTCTTTCCGCCATTCTTCAGCACGAGGTGGATCAATCCAGAAGAACATGTTCTCCGATGCTGCAACCCGATGGCCCATTTTGATAGAGTCGGCACACCAACATTTCGGAAGTGGCAGCGGCGCAGCCTGGAGCTGGGTGTTGATAGCTGCCGCCGTATCGGGCATGTAAGGAGCCAAAAGAGAGGCAAGCAGGTGTACGAGGTTAACCGTTAAACCCACAACGGATGCGCGTTCTTGTGTATGCAAGTCGCCGCTCAAAAGGGTGTCCCCACATCGCGAGATCTCAAGGGCCGTGAGTAGCCCTGCACGCAGCTCGACGCCGTCCATTTCCTTGATGTACCGGTTTAGGAGATCGTTGGTGACTTTCACGAAGCCGTAATCCTCGCTCCACCTTGGCACAACACTGGAATACTCATCAACCACCAACCGGAGGACGCGGCTCACAAACCCACCGACGCCATTGAAGAGTAGGTTGTTGTTAACCTCTATGAGGCCTTCCCAGCGAAATTCCGTGTCGCCAGTTTCCGGTCGGCAAGACAGCAGATAAAACCGCCAGACATCCGGAGGAACGTCGGTTTGCTGCACAGAATCCCCAAACACACCAACCCCACGGCTCTTGGAGAACTTTCCGCCCTCGTAGGTGAGGAAATCCGTCGTTGACAGATGATGCACCTTGGTCCACACGTCCCCAGTGCCAATCTGGGTGGCTGGGAAGACAACGGAATGAAACACGACATTGTCCTTCCCGATGAATTGGTAAAGCTGGACATCAGGGTTGCGCCACCACCTCTCCCACTGGTCCGTGTAGCAAGCCGTAATGGAGACGTAGCCGATGCAGGCGTCAAACCAAGAATAGAAGACTTTGTCGTACCCCGGGACTGGAACGCCCCATCGAATGTCCCGCGTAATGGTGAACGGTTTCAGCCCCTGCTTGAGCCAAGTCGCGGTAGCGGACCTGGCGTTGGTCGGCCATCTTTTTTCTACATTGTGCAGCATCGACTCAACCTGGGGCTGCAACTTATCGAGCTTGAAAAAAACGTGACGTGTCTCGTGGGTGACGGGCATGGTTCCATCCAGCTTGCAACGTGGGCCAACAAGGTTGATGGGCTCGAGGAGCTGACTGCAGCCGTCACATTGGTCGCCGCGGGCATCCGGAAATTTGCAAAGAGGGCACTGGCCTTCGATCAGGCGATCCGCAAGGAAGGAGCCATGTGTATTGCAGTATGGCTGGGGCGTCGGGCGCTCCTCAAGGAACCCATGTTTCTCCAGCTTGTGGAAAATATGATGTGTGATGTCAGTGTGTTGTTGGGTTGTTGTGCGCCCGAAGACGTCGAAGCTGATGTTGAACCACTTGTACACTTGGGCGTGTACGGCGTGGAACTTGTCACACAGCTCCCGGGGCGAGCATTTCTCCTTTTGCGCCCGAGTTTCGGTCGAGGTTCCGTATTCGTCAGTCCCTGAAAGATCAGCACGGACTTGCCGAAACGAAGGACGTTGCTCACCTCCAACATAGAGCGTGTTGATTCCTCGCCCCCTGCAGTATCTGGCAAAGACGTCCGCTGATAACACCGAACCGATGATGTTTCCTAGGTGTGGCACATTGTTGACATACGGCAAAGCACTGGTCACCAGCACATTGCGCACGCCAGATTGGGGAAGGATGATCGGGGCGTCGGGGGCCATGATGGAAGATTGGTATTTGGGAATGAAGAGAGAGTGTTTGGTTCGGTGTCATGTTTACCATCGATCAAGGCAAAGTTGGGTGGTAAAATAGATATCGCGGGACCCATGGCCAGCGGCCCCCTGCATTGGCGTAGGGAACTGACATATGTTTGACCATGTTTAGCCGTCGGGGACCGAATGACAGCGACAAGAGCACAACAAACGTCTGGACTTGTCCGCAGACTAGACAAAATTACAGGACCATCACAACCATCAGGGATGGGTAGCAAAGCCTATTGAAGAGTGGCCTGTTTCTCACCTATTTGGATTCGATGACTGCAGGTCAATACTGCGAACAGGACGCGATGGGGGTTAAGCGTTGGCTGGCATGGTGGGCCTCAGAGTGACATCTTGTCAATTTTTTGCGGTCCTATATATGGATGCCCGGAGCGGGATCTTGCAGTTTCCGCGTCTCAGTTGATCAAACCATATCGGTGAGCTTACGCGGACATTGCGTTGACAGTCGTGCAACGCACCATTGGTATTGCGATGTGGTTGGTCAACCACGTTGGAGGATTGATTCCACGGCATTGACTCCGCCTCTTCCGGCCACGACAGCGACCAGTGGGGGCCGAACCTGAATCCATCGGCTTCACGGCGTTTCAAATCAACGATAAATACAAAATAGTTAGTTAGAATCTTAGTTTTGTATCCAACCGTCGTCCATATTCACCACTGCACTGTCACTTGACACGATCGCGCCGATGTCTCTAAACCAGTTAACAACAGCCACCCGGCTGTTTCGTCGTGAGGGTGAATGGGACGGAGAAGAAAACTGTCTACATGTCACGCCGGGTCCGAATGGGAACGTGCCCCCAACAGCATGTAATGCCAATTACAATTTCGATCCTCAGTTTGCCCCCGCGGTCGCCGTGGCGGTACTATTCGGCACCCTAACCGCCATGCACATACTCGAGGCTATCGTCTTCAAAAAGGTAGGTCACTGCCCTACTTCGTAGTCCTTTAACATTTCAGCTAACATCCACAGCGCTATGCCTGGGTCCTCATCATGGGGGGGTTATGGGAGACTCTAGCCTTTACACTGCACTCACTTGGCTCCCGAGATCAGCAAAACACAGGCTATGCGACGGCCTGGCAACTCCTGTTTTTGCTCGCGCCCCTGTGGATCAACGCGTTTGTGTATATGACCTTTGCACGGATGGTCTTGTACTGGCACCCAGAGGGCAAGATTACGGGTCTAAAGGCGACTGTAATAGCCCGGTGGTTTGTGCTCGCCGACGTGCTGAGTTTCATCGTTCAGGGCGCTGGCGGCCTCATGGCAACACCCAGCGCAAGTGCCGACGTCATCCGGATTGGGTTAAACATCTACCTGGGCGGCTTGGGTCTCCAGGAATTCTTCGTCCTTTTATTTTGCGGCCTCATGGTTTGTTTCCAAAGACAATGCGGTCGGGGGAGGGAGTTCGACGGAAAGCCAAGCTGGAAGCCGCTGTTGTTGGGACTCTATGCTGTTTTGGTTTGCATTACCGTAAGTCCCCTGGAAATAACGTAGGGCTTTGAGCGTCACTAATAACCTAGATCCGCATCATATTTAGGATCGTCGAGTTCTCGGGGGGCCTTGGTGACAACAACCCAATCCCCTTTCACGAGGAGTACGCTTACGTGCTCGACTGTTTCCCAATGATGCTCGCTCTTCTCGTCCTTGCTGTTATCCACCCAGGCCGCTACCTCCGCGGTCCCCAGAGCGAGTTCATCCGACTGTCGCGAAAGGAGAAGAAGGCTTTGAAGTTGCAGAAGAAGGCTGAACGGCGGGAAGAAAAAGAAGCCAAGAAACGAGCCAAGAAGCATAAAATGGCAGACATGAGTAGAAGCGACGATACCAGCTACGAAGCTTGACAGCATCGCCGGCATCGTGGGTGTGGCGTAGGGTAAAACTTTACTATTTCCATCGAGACACGGCGTTTAAGAAGGCGTCGACATGGTAGAGTGTGTTATAGAGAGCTGGGCTAGTATGCAAAAAACAATTTGACTAGGTACCTATCCATCCCGATTGTCCTTTAGGCAGTGAAAAGGCCCGTTCCTTGTTAGTGCTCCGGATAATTACTGCGAAAATTGCCCGTCATCTCCGTGCAGGCGATCAGAATCCTGAACATCTAGTACCATGTCGTGGTGGCCGAGTTGAGGCCTGGCGGAACCAAACACAAATGCGGAGCACGCTTTCAGCTAGAGATGGCGGCCCCATTACCTCTTGCACTCTCCAGCAGGTGACCTAGACACAACTTAGGACCAATCTAGTCAACACAGTAAACAAAGCCAACTCACTCCACCCAGACGACCGCGCTCAAGCCATCCTCCTCCCCAGCTCGCCCTTTCTGGCCAACCTGCAGGGTAGCTACCAGGGCCCCGAGCTTGCCCGTCTCAGTGTCACGCGCAATGATTGCTACGTTGGAAGACGTCTGGCCGCCAACCGCGACGAGAGTGCCGTCTTTGTTGAACTCGAAGGTGCGCGGGTAGTACGAGTACGAGTTGGCGGCCTCGAGCCAAGCGATTTCGCCCGTGGAAGCGTCAATGGTGTAAGTGGCGATCGAATCCTTCTGAGACCCGAACGTCTCGTCGGCGCGGTTGGACGCGTACAGGAAGTTACCAACCACGCGGAGCTCGGCGGCCTTGGTGGTGGGCCCGCCCTGCTTCCCGGGGGCAAACGTCGACAGCGTCTGCGTCTTTTCGAGACTGAGGCAGCCAGCGTCATCGCTCGGGTACGCGACATCCCAAGCGGACACTGAGTTGCCGAGCTCATTCACGGTGTAAGCCTTTTGCAAGCCGTCGGCCGACTTCCAGAACTTGATGTGACGGGGACCGTCGCCCGGGTCGGCCTTGCCCTCAGAGCACGCCGTGAGCTTGCCGCTGGAGGCGTCAATCTTGAAGATGCGGATGAGGTCGGCACCGAGGTCCGGCACAATGATGAATTTTCCGGTGGGGTCAAGGTGCACCTCGTGGGGGTGGGCGACGTCCTGCCTTGGGTTGGGGCCCTTTTGCTCCAAAACAAACTTCTCGAGCTGCACCTGCTGGCCACCTCCGAATGGCATTTTGTACGTCGTGATGGTTGACGGGGAACTGACCCATCAGTATTCGTTATTTCACTCGGGCTGCTGAACTTACTACTCGGCCGTGGCCACAAAGCCCCTACCATCGCTTCCGCCGTACAGAAGACCGTGGACGCTGTTGCCGGTGGTCTTCAGTTGGCCGGTCGAAGTCAGGCGACCGTCGTTGGCTACGGTATACTCAGCACTGTTGCCAGAGCCGAACCAAGACTCGTCGAAACAGTAGAGCTTGCGAGAATCAGCATATAGCTGAAGCCAGCCTGGCGTGGTCCCGCAACCGGTGGTCTGGGACGTGATCGACAGTGTGCCGCTCGAATTTGAGGTCGCCAGGGACAGCGAGTAGATGCCGCCAGCAAAATGAGAGGCAATTAGGGTGGCGCCCAATGTGCCGGGCGCCAGTGCCATAGCGGCAAACAGCTGAACAAATCGTGACATGGTGAAGTGAGCGTGGGCGTTGACCTGAAGCTCGCTTTCTTGGCGGCGGATACCACGAGCTTTTTATGACAAGAGCTGATGTCCCTGGGAAATCGTCAGGGGCATCACGGATCCGCCCCTTTTAGCCGGAAGAAACGCTCTATACCCCTGAAGGGAATCCTGTGGAGCTCAACAATCAGTCTCAAACGGGAATCAAAAGGGAACGCACCCCGCGTTCCTTGGATCGAGAGTGGTATTAGCCGGATCGGCAACGGCTGCAGTGCTGGGGCTTCCCCACGGACCGGCATAAATGTCACCTCGAGGAGCTAGAAGGGGAAAGACGGAGTTCCATGGAAGAATCGAAGGCATCCGCACCACTCGCATTCCCGCGCCCAATCCGCCGGATAACACCCAGCCGGGCTGGCGGACCCTGCCACGCGGACAGGCACGGCTGACCCGATCCAGGTTCGCCTTAAATAGCCAAGCGGGCACGCAAATCCTCCGGGCGCGGCATCTCCAAAAAGCGAGGAAGCCTGACGGTGGCCCCTGCTAGCCGACCAGGCCGGTTATTAACCAGGATGGCTGTGATGAGCACGTCACTTCACATTCCCAGGTACAATTACGTTGGATAGAAAGTTTTCAAGCATGTTTCGAAACCAATGGATCACTAATATCACCACTATTCTGGCGGCGGGGAGGAGGAGAGATATTTCCAAGCTCTCGAGAGGTCACCATGTGCCCGCCCAAACCTCAGCTTTTTCCTTGTCTCGTCAATGTGGTATCCAGCCAAGTGTTCCCGGCTAAAGATCTACCTATCTCCCCATGTCTGTCCCTCCGCCAAGACGGTGAGAACTGTGCCGGTGGACGAGGGATTCTGAGGTTGAGAACCGGTTCAGGGGCCCCTTGGATGCGGATGGTAAAGCGGGTTGGAATCTTGAGGATGCATTTGATCTCAAGGGTGAGGAAAGACTTTGAGGTTGTAAGTAGGGTCTTGGGCCCCGATAATGATAGGTATATTAGGCGCTGGACGCGCGGTAACCTGTAATTCTCCACGGTGGGTAAGATCGCGGCTCTCTTCATAGTAGCAATAACCTACTCCGTCCAGGCATCAGCGACATTTCGTGTGAGCGGCTGAATGCGTAGAGTTTTGTTGTAGTCGATTGACCGATTCTACCTTATCGACACACATGGTTTGGACGTATTAATTTATCTAACCACATTCACCAAAGAAGGATGGATGGATGGATGGAATTTATTTCGCCCGGAGGCACTAGGCCTATAGGGCTTTAGCACGCTAACTACATCCGGATCAAATCGTTTTGCCTTTAACTCGTACAAGCCCCCTACTTCACCAAAGAAGCTAGACGGCCAACACGCTTTATAGCGCAGGTATCCTCATAGCAGCCTTTCATTTACTAGCAGGTCATGGTTTGTCCCGGGCGCACGGTGCCCCTCACACTTAGCAATCGCCAATAGCATCCTCGTTTTCGAAAAACATGCCACGATGCTGTTACTTGGTGCCGTAGGAATGTCTCTTAACCCTGGGCCTTTATGTAACTGTGGCCGTAGCCGACTGGAACCGCGCCGTATTTGCGCTTGGGAGCCATATAGGTGGTTATGTTCCGGTGATCGCGATGATGTCTACTAGTGGTGACCACCACTCGGGCCTGATCCGGGGTTCTCGGGATGTGCAGCCCATGGTCTGGCTGGTGTGCTGCGGAGCCTGTCAACCAGAATGCGGGGTTGGGACAGGAGTGCCAAGCCTGCCGCTTGATCATTGATGATTCATGGGGGTTGAGGAATGGAATGGTGCGAAACCAGTATGGAGGCAACTTTGTATTAATTACGGGCAACATGGTAACTTGATATACAATTCATTGGTGGTGTCAATTTCAATTCTGTTGGTAATTGCAAAAAACAAAGCTCCTTTTAGCCCTGTCGTTAAGATTAGTATCAATACCATCATGACCATGTCGCTCACACCTCTGCTCCTTGCTGGTGGCCGGTCGACGCGCATGGGGACACCCAAGCATCTTCTCCCAATGCTCGACGGTCGCCCCCTTTACCAGCACCAAGTCGATCTCCTTGCGCAAACTTGCCCCGATGCCCCGACAATCTACATCTCCCTTGCTCAAGACTCCCAGCTCGATGACTATCTCAAGACCTTGTCCACGAGCAGCTCCAGCAACAACCCTCAAACAAGCAGCAACTCAAACTTGGAACAAAGACGGCCAACTATCATTATAATCCCTGACCTCCACACCAACACTGTATTACGACGCTCCGCCGGCCCCGCCGCTGGCCTCTTTGCCGCCCATCGCTCGGACCCGTCCAAGACCTGGCTTGTCATCGCCTGCGACCACCCACTCCTCACAGTTTCTACATTGCAGCACCTCTGTCGTTCGTACAAACCGCCCGTGACTTGTTTCCGTAACGAGGACGGGTTTTGCGAGCCGCTTTTGGGGACCTGGGGGCCGGCAGCGTTGAGGGAGTTGGGCCTTAGGTTGGAGCAGGATGGGAAGGGCGTTGGTCCTTCTGCGGTTGTTAAGGCACTCCGTGGGGAAGAGGTGCGACCAGTTGGCGATATGAGGGTTTTGATGGGAACCAATACGCCCGCCGAGTGGAAGGTTGTATTAGACTTGTTGGGAAAAGTAGGCCGGGGAGAGATGCCCTCAGTTGAGGAGTGTGGTTGAGAGGTGGATGGAGCCGGTTGGGGAGACGGGATAACACTCGACGAGGCTTGTACCAATGGAACTCGGCTCGGCATTCAATTCATTGGGGTGTAAATGGATCCAACAGTTCGTCGTAGCGAAGGGGCCGACTTTGGCTGGGCTTTGGTCGACGCTTGATCTGACGATCAGTTGGCCGGTAGCAGAGGTTGATAACAGACCGTGGCGGAAACAATCTGTGTTTGGTATAGCGGAACAACCGTGCTTGGGTTCTGACGTCAATGGTTGCCGTACTTAGTCTTGCCATGATGGGCTGTTCTTTGGCTCGCCCTTGTAAGGTCCGGAGATATGGGGCGACCAGGAACCTGAAGCATGCTGCCGCAGCTCCGGGATTCCCAGGCAAACCGAAGAAGGGTGTTCTGCCGTTAGGTCCCGGGATGACGGCGAACAATACGGGGTGGCCCGGTCGCACTCTTAGGCCGTGAAACACAATCGTTGACCCGATCTGTTCCAGAACGGCTCTAATATGATCGAATTTTCCCCTGGACACGGCCCCACTGGTAATGATCACATCGAAGCTCCCAGCGGCGGCTACACTTTGGATATGCTTTTGCAAACTGTGCTTGTCATCGTCCAAAACACCAAGAAACTCCGGCTGGAGTCCCATCTCCTTGAGCGCCGCTGTGAGGTAGGGCCCATTGGTGTCCCCCGTAGCCCCTGTCCCAATCACTATCTCCTTTCCAGTTGACCAGATTGCGGCCCTTGGACTTGCTGTCAACGGAATGGACTTAATTCCAACCGATGCTAGCGGCAAAATATGCGAGGGTTGAAGGATATCACCGCGGTGAATGATGATATCTCCTTTAGCAATATCACTTCCAGCAAGCCTCCTGTGCGCATTGAGCGGGACGGGCCGTGTTACCAAAATGGATTTGACCTCTGTACCATCCACCGGGACTGTGTCCTCCACTTTAACGCACGCATCGTAACCGGGCGGGAAAATAGCGCCCGTCATAATCTCGAAGCATTGGTTGTTGGTAGTTTGGCTGCGTTCAACCACCGTAAACGCCTCTGCTGGGTCATCCCCGGCAGCTAATGTACCTTGGACGGCCAGCATGATAGGCGTTCCTGGGGTGGCATCGGTGGTGGCTCTGGAGCAGATGGCATAGCCATCCATAGCTGAGGTGTCGTACTCGGGCGAGGACTTTGGGCTGGCCACATCCTCCGCCACGGTCCCTCCCACTGCATCGTGGAGCAGGGTATCATTTCTCCGGCTCTGACGGAACTTTCGTTGTCCACGGGCAATGTCCAACACCATGTCAAGACCGGCGCCGTACGAAGGCGTCATGACTGTGTAAAACTTAACGCTGGGTTGTTCGTTTGTTTGTAGTTGTTGATTCCTTCCGAGGTCCGCGGCGTGCCCTGTCCTTTCGTTCATTCAAAACTAACTTGCTAAAGCTTTTGGTGCTGATGGTGTGTATCTACAACCTGGTCCGCCTGTTTCGGATTACGTGACATCGCACAGTTTCCTTGGCATTGGGTATATCTTGTTTGTTTTGAGGTCAGCACGTCATCATGACGCAACACAATGACAGCTTGCGTATATTGTATCGGCTCAATTGGTGAATGGCTGACCTCTGCCGCAGGGATGAGACCTGGGATACCAGGAACTTACACTCGCAAAAAAAGGGACGTTCCCGTCAAGTCGACCTACAATAATCTCGATATTGAAAGGATGATAACTAACTATATGGGCAATAGAATAAATACATTTTCCCCCCACTATTGAATACACTACCCATGCAAACTTGCTTTCGAACACAAGATCGTAGCAACAGCAATGGACACCTGCAATCCTCTAATCCAAACGCGAGATTCCATTACCGACATTTGGGGACCCCGAACTCCATATAAGGATGAATGGCCTGCCAGAGTGGACATGGCATACGATGAAGAACCTGAACGATGGGTTCAGAGCGCATGTGTATTATGCAGGTAATTCGAGGATTGCATCCAGGTTCTCAACTCGCTAATCTAAACTAACATATAAAAGCAATGGCTGCGGCATCGACATTGGCGTCAAGCACAACAAGGTTGTTGGAGTCAGAGGGCGAATCTTGGACCGTGTAAATAAGGGGCGTCTCGGGCCAAAAGGACTGACAGGGTTGGTACTTTTCCGAACATGCTTGATAGCGTCGCTAATATCCGATGCTTTAGCTGGAAAGCCTTGCATAGCAAGGATCGCCTCACCCATCCCCTGGTGCGAAAGAATGGACGTCTCGAGGAGGTCTCTTGGGATGAAGCGATGAACTTGATCGTCGCAAAGTCGAAGGAGTTGCAGAAACATCTTACCAACCACAGCATTGCTTTCTACACGAGCGGCCAACTTTTTCTAGAAGAGTATTATGCGCTGGCTTTAGTCGGTAAAGCTGGCCTGCATACTCTGCACATGTGAGAAAACAGCTCGTAAACGTGACCGGATTGGCATGCATTAACGTGTATCCAGGGATGGCAACACTCGTCTCTGCACGGCGACGGCCGCCGCGTCGATGCGAGAGACTTTTGGGTCCGATGGGCAGCCGGGCTCATATAGCGATATCGACTACACCGACTGCCTGTTCATGGTTGGGCATAACACAGCAGCGACCCAAACGGTACTGTGGTCGAGGATCTTAGACCGTCTAGAGGGCCCCCTTCCGCCCAAAATAATCGTCGTGGATCCCAGATTATCGGAGACGGCACGCAGGGCTACGCTTCACCTCAAGCCAAAAGTTGGCACAAACCTTGCCCTACTGAATGGCATCCAGCATTTGCTCTTCAAAAACGGATGGATCGACGACGAGTATATCTCCAAACACGCCATTGGCAGGGACGAGCTGGAAAGGGTTGTTGCCGGTTATGACCCCAAGTCTGTTGAGAGCATCACAGGGGTGCCAGCGGAGCAGTTAAAAGAGGCAGCACGTATAATTGGTACCACCAAGAGTTTGGTCTCTACGGCTCTCCAGGGAGTGTACCAATCCAACCAAGCAACCGCCAGTGCTTGTCAAATCAACAACATCAATCTCCTCCGGGGGTTAATTGGGAAAGCTGGGAGTGGTATTCTCCAAATGAACGGCCAGCCCACCGCCCAAAACAACCGCGAAGCAGGGTGTGACGGCGAGTTTCCCGGATTCCGCAACCACCAGAACCCCAACCACATGCAGGAATTAGCAAAGCTGTGGAACATCGATCCCATTCAAGTTCCGCATTGGAACGTGCCGACACATGTGCAAAACCTTCTGAATTACATCGAGAGCGGTTCCGTCAGGATGTTCTGGATTAGTGGCACTAACCCGCTTGTTAGCCTACCAGACTTGCCGCGTGTTAGGCGACTCCTCACACAGCCGGGGCTTTTCCTTGTTTGCCAGGACATCTATCCAAACGAAACCACATCCATCGCTGATGTGGTCCTCCCAGCTGCTCAATGGGGTGAAAAGACAGGATGTTTTACGAATGCCGACCGCACTGTCCACATCTCTCATAAGGCAGTGGATCCGCCAGGCGAGTGCAAGTCTGATTTAGAAATCTTCTTGGACTATGCTAGGAGAATGGGTTTTAAGGACAAGGATGGCAACGATCTGCTCCCCTGGAAGGGCCCCGAGGAGGTGTTTGAGGCGTGGAAGAAAGCGTCTGCTGGGCGCCCCTGCGATTACACCGGGTTGACTTACGAGCCCCTAACAGGCGGATCGGGCATCCAATGGCCGTGCAATGCAAAGAATCCGCGCGGGACGGAGAGGCTATACTCGGACGGCAAGTTTCCCACTAACCTGGAGCATTGCGAAAGCTTCGGCCATGACCTCGAGACCGGTGCCCCTTACACCAAGGGCGAGTATGAAAGCATCAACCCAGCAGGAAGGGCAATCCTCAAGGCATGCCATTATTCTCCACCGATAGAAGAGCCGGACGAGGAATACCCTCTTAGATTGTCAACGGGCCGAAAGGTCCACCACTTTCACACAAGAACCAAAACGGGCCGCACAGCATTGCAACAAGCCTGTCCAGAACCAGAAGTCAGAGTGTCCAAAAAGGACGCCGCCAATATCGGGGTGTGTGAAGGCGACATGGTAGTTGTCAGATCAAAGAATGGAGCTGTAGAGCTAAGATGCGGCGTGGGGGACATCGCGGATGGGCATGTCTTTATCCCCTTCCACTTCGGATATTGGGACTCCAAAGACGGGCGGGCCAGGGCAGCAAACGAACTCACTTCTGGTAAGCTCATTCATGATATATCGACCGAATTACGTTAGCTGACCTCGCTAGACCGCTGGGATCCTATCTCGAAACAGCCCATGTTCAAATCCGGCGCGGTCCGCATTGAGAAGCTTCGCGCATTTGCCACCGGCCCTCACATCCGCGAACAGCACTCGGCAGCCATTGGCCAAGCCGAAACGAAATCCGCCGTCGATACCACCACAGCCGCAGAGCTCACCCACCGCGAGCGGCATCTAGATCTCTGGCTCGGTGAGACGTACGAAACCACGGTCCAACTCCTCTCCATCTACGAAACCCTCATCCCGACACTCATCAAAGACCTCGAAGTCGAGGCTGGCGTTCGCGTGATGCACCGCATAGCATCACAAATGCACGATGCCCTCGCACCACACGTACGGCGGTACGGTGAAAACAAGCAGCGCGGAGATCACCGCGCCCACATACTGCGGCGTGCACTGTTCCCCGAACCCAAAGACTCACCAGACGATGCGTATGAAGTGCTGGAGACGCTGCAGGGGCTTGCAGTGTACCTAGCACATATCCGCGTATCGATTACGGCCTTATTGCCGGCTGCCCAAGCACTATGGGACCAAGGGTTTGTCGAGGCTGTGAATACAACGCAGAAATGTCTAGGGAGGATGGAGAGTTGGGTTAACCACCAGGTGAAAGTTAGGAGTCCGCAGACACTCTTAGTGCCGGTTAGGGAAAGTTAGCACTTGGGCTCTTGTCTGTTGGAATGGCAACGGTTATACTAGAAGCATTGCGCCCTGGATTCGGGGTAGAATTCCCAGGTTTTGACCCACATAACCAGCCTCAACACTCCCTCCCTACCATTGGGCTATACCCATGTAGCCTTCGGCCAGCGTCTGCCGCCTCCAACCCTGAGAAACTAGCCCTCCCTGTGCGCGCTTTTCCCAAACAGGAATAATGACAGGGGGTAGAGTTCCGAGTTCCCCGCAGGGGGGGAGAGTGCGCCCAAGGAGTAGAGTTCCATGGCCATCTCGCACGCGGCAGACGAGGCGAGCTGCTGCTCATCACGACGACGTAAGCGCATTCAATGACGATGATGAGGGCGACGACGACACGACCAGCCAGGACGACTCTACCGTAGACGACGGAGAGAGCGAGGATACCGAGTCTAGCTCAGAAGATGGGGATGACGCTGGGTCCGATCCGTACCACCAGGACGCCCTGCTACAGCTCGCTAGGCTTCTGCTGACCGAGCATTCCGTGGCGGCCAAGCACGCTCTACCCTCCTCGTCTACTTCAGCGGCGTCGCGGGCCTCGGCGCAGACGGGTCTTCGTTCAAGAGACCCTCGCGGTACACATCCAAGCTTTCCGCCCTGATCTATTGCGCGCGCCTCCTCCTTTTAGAGACCGTTCTCCCGCGCTTTCCCCACCACCACATCCGGATAGCAGCCCGGCCGCACCGGAATCAGGTCGAGCGCCTGAATAAAGTCCGGGTGCCAGCATTCTGCCTGGGTTCCCAGGCCCCCGTCGGCGAGCTGCTCGGTCTTCGGAACTATGGCCGCAAGTTAGCACGGTCGGATGGACCCGTCTTCCGTGTCCGATGGAGCGAGGACGACCAGGTCTTGTCGTGGGACGAGGGCCGTATCTCGATGCAGCAGTTTCGGGCTCTCTCGCACGGCTTGCTCCGGTCCGTCGCGTCGTCGACGAGGCGCCTGATGTACGACTTGCAGCCGCAGGTCGATCTCCACGCCCTCCGGGACAAGATGTCAGATGTGGGAAAAGGCTACTCGTTCGTGACCGAGCCGGCGAACCACCTGGTCGATGCCTTCTTAGCCTTGTCGGAGCGTGCCTGCCTCTCCCCCGTGAATGGTCTGATCGGTAGGAGCGGATGGGACCAGCAGGCCGTCCGTCGCTATATCGAGCTGCACGACCAAGCGCTGGTGGAGCTCATGGCACTGATCCACCTCACCGGCGGGCAGGCTGCTCGGGCGACGGAGCTGATGTGCCTAGAACATTGCAACGGCGCTTCGACAAGCCGGGGCATATACGTCTACGACGGCTCCTTCTTCCTCGTAACCAGGCATACCAAGGCCCGTTCGGTTACCAACCAAGAGTTCCAAGTCGCCCGCATGCTGCCGGACGAAATCGGCCGCCTCCTCTACCAGTACCTTGTGTATATCCGGCCGTTCACATACATGCTGCAACGGCGTTGCTACGGAATCGACGTCGAGTCTTCGTTGCTGTTCTGCTCCCCACAGAGACCCGACAGGCTGTGGAAGACACACGTCCTTTCAGGGGCGCTGCGGCGGCTCACCGAATCGACCGTCGGCCGAGCGTTTGGCACACATGTATATCGGCAGCTCTCCATTGCCGTTACCGAGAAGCACGTTCGGCAAATCAGGAATCCGTTTGACCGCCACAATGATCGAAGGCGTGACGCTGACGGTGGCGTGGCGTTCGCCTGGCAGAGCGGACATCGGCCCTGGCAGAGAGCCTGCATGTACGGGCTCGACGGGGCCTTCCCCGACAGCCTCCAACCCGCCCTTCTGCAGCTTTACAAGTGGGTATCTTTGGAATGGCACGGATTTCTACAGCTCGGGCAGCCGGATCCGGCGCGCCAAATCCCCGGAATGGCGGCGCAGCCGCCTCGAGTTTCTCTACTGCCGAACGACTGCCCGCTTGACGTCAGTGAGCCGGCGTCCTCCGCGCCGCTTGTTCGGACCGTACAGCCTCGAACAGCTCCGAATGGCCCGCAGCCAGATCGTACCCTACCTGGCCATCGATCCGACCAAGCTGGCGAGGAAGGGCCTGATGCGTTTCCCGTCTACAGACCGCCGAAGAGGCGGCGTTTAGAAGAAGGAGAAAAGCCTCTAAAGCCTCTAGCCCCCAGGGCCGAGAGTGCCCCCAATTGTACGGCCCCCGACGATCCTAGCGTACAGTCGGCTGGCTACACACAGGCCTTACAATCTCGCTCAACATCACCCAGGAATGTGTCTCCAACAAGTATAGGAACGGGGACGGAGACGGGAACAGGGACGGGAACGGAGACAGAAATGCGAATGGGGATAGAAATGCGGATGGAGACAGAAACGCGGACGGTAACACATATCGTGCAGGACGGGGCCAGGGTCGTGGGCATCGTTCGGCCACCTATTCTAGCCCCTATACGAGAGAAGGGCTTACGTATAGTGCTGTTCGATGAATTCTTCAAACGATTTCCTGCATTCCGGATAGCGGTTTGCCGCGAGCACTGTGGTGCGGTTACGGCGAAGTCGGTTGCGTCACATGTCGATTCGTACCACTCCCATCTAGCTCCAGGGGATCGGCGGCGCATCGTGGAGGAGGGGTTGGCGCTGCAAGATGACGGCTTGCTAGCCGCTAACATAGACGGCATCCGGTTCCCCAGCGAGGTGATACCGGCAATGGACGGATTGCCCATGTGGAGCGACGGCAAGAAGTGCATACAGTGTGGGCATATCCGGCGTACGAGGCAGGACATCCAGAGGCATTGCCAGTCAGCGCATGGTTGGATCAACCCGAGAGGGCGTGGTAGGAAGCTTGGTGCAGGGCCGGTAGGTGGGTTAGGCGAGGTGTGGGTGGACGGTATCCGTTGTCAGCGATTCGGCCGGACGGGCGCGCTGCAGCGGTTGTTCGAGGTGGTGCCACCGGCGTCAGCAGGGGCGGTCGATTCTATGCAAGGTCGAGCCCGGGGCAAGGACTGGTCGATGAGTACCCGAAAGGCCAAGGGGCAGCGGAGAAGAAATAATTAAGAGTAAATTAAAGAGAATGGACTAGCCAGCCAGCCCAACCCATTCCATTCCCATCCGGTCAAGATAGCAGACTCAGAGAAACCGAGAAACGAGACGCGACAATCAACCACTGCCAATAAGGAACCCCCACCATGGCATCGTTCGACGAGTTGTTCATACCGATGCCCGTGTTCCAGGTCGCGATTTGCCGTGAGCATCGGAACGTAGTAACAGCCAAGTCCATCGTAGCGCACGTCAATTCGTACCACCGCCACTTGACCGCGCACGTTCGGCGGCGCATCGCGGCGGAGGCGTCGGCGTTACGGGATAGCGGTTCGTTAGCCGCCGACACCAGTGGGGTCCAATTCCCCAGCAACGTCGTGCCGGCGATCGACGGATTGCCCGTGTGGAGCGATGGCAAGAAGTGTATACAGTGTGCGTATATCCGGCGTACGAGGCAGGACATCCAGAGGCATTGCCGGTCAGCGCATGGTTGGATCAACCCGAGAGGGCGTGGTAGGAAGCCCGGGGCAGGGCCGGTAGGTGGGTTAGGCGAGGTGTGGGTGGACGGTATCCATTGCCAACGATTCGGCCGGACGGGCGCGCTGCAGCGTTTGTTCGAGGTAACGACGCCGGCGAACGCGGCCGTACGCGGGAGCAGGGGAGAGACGGCCGATTTTCAAGCCGCCATCCGCGCCGAGTTCGAGGCGGCGGCGCGGGCCATCAAGGAGAAGGACGAGGCGGCAGCGGCGCTGATCGGCGACCAGTCGAGGTTGTCGGCCAACATGTGGGTGCGGCGGACGGGGTGGCCGCGGCATTTGCGCGGGTTTGACCGCGAGTGGTTGGCAACGACGATACGGCGGCCCGTGGTGGAGGAGGAGGAAGAAGTAGAGGAGGGGAACGGGGAGGGGGGCGGAGAGGACGGAGAGGATGGAGAGGAGGTTGGAGGGCAGGGTGGGGATAGGGATAGAGATGGCAGCGCCCGCAGCGAAGCCGCGTTGGCCGTCGTATGGTTGGCCGTGGAAAGGGTGATTTGGCGGGCGCAGAAGGCGTCGCAGGTCGAGGTGGTCGGGTCGGCGGCGGTGAATTACATCGAGCGGCGGGAGGTCGGCGGCGAGACGAACGAGAAGCCGTTCAACGCGGCGCAGAAGGGCACGACGATGATCAAGTACAGCGAGTCGTGGAAAGCGCTGATGGCGTATATATGGCGGACGTGGCGTTTGGAGCCGGTCGACGAGGGGGATGAAGGGGAGGGAGATGGGGACGAAGGGGACGATGACGAGGGAGACGAGGGAGAGGGAGACGATGATGAGGGAGACGAGGGACACGACGGAGAGGGAGACGAGGGAGACGAGGGAGGCGACGGACACGGCGGAGTAGCGGGAGACGGCCAGCAGCAACAAGCCGGCATCCGCGACCAACGGCCGGCGTACCATTTCACCGCCCAGCAGGCGAAGACGTTCGACCAGGTACGTACGGCGGCGTACGCCATACCGAGGAGCGAGGACCCCGACACGGGCGAGCTCGAGGGCCACGTGCTGGACTTTTTTATCGCGTTGTTGGACCACGACGTGGGCGACAACGAGTACCAGAACGCGTTGTACAGCGGGTTGGCCGTGCTAGGGATCCAGCCGGAGCAGGGATGGCGGAGCGCGTTGTCGTACACATCGGTGTTGTCGGCGGTGGTAACGGTGGCGCGCATGTTGGTGTTGTACAAGGCCAAGCGGGCGCGCGAGGACGAGATCCGGCAGCGGCGGCAGGTGGCGGGCGAGAGCGAGGCGGAGGCGCGGCGGCGGGCGCGGAGCCATTTCGACCGGGTGCGGGAGATGGTACAGCGGTTCATGACGATCATCGCGTACGACGGGCGGCCGTCGCCGATGGATTCGGTATTGCGGTTGCGGGCGTACGGCAAGGCGATCCGGGCGAATACGAACGCGGACGGGGTCGTGGACTGGCACGGGGACGAGTTGTTGTTGGGCCACGTGCAGTTCAGCATGGCGTCGTTGCGGGCGATGATCCACGGGTTGTTGCATTCGGCGCGGGTGCAGTTGCGCCGGTCCGTGTTGTTGTTGGACGTGGACGAGGAGGGCGAGGCGGCCGGGGGGGGCGGGGGGTTCACGGTAGGCACGGCGGCGACAGGGACGACAGCGGCGACGGCATGGCCGGCGATCCAGTGGGACCGGTTGGTAGACAACGCGGCCGAGACGAGGACGGGGTGGAGTTTTGTGGAGGACCGGCGGAACGAGGCGGCGTTCGGGGGCGTGGACGGGAAGACGTGGTTGGCCGGGCGGGTGGCCAGCGAGGCGCGGTTGCAAGGCGAGTTTTTTCGGGCGGCCGAGGGCGCGGGCGAGAGGCCGCGGTGGCGGATGGAGCGGGTGTACGAGTACGGTAAGGCGATGAAGGCGTTCCGGGAGCAGCTGTTGGTGTTGATGCACATGAGCGGCGGGCAGCCGGCACGCGGGACCGAGTTGGTGACGGTGCAGTATAAGAACGGGGTGGACGGGGACGTACGCGGCTTGTTCATCGAGGACGGGGCGGTCGTGTTCGTGACTATGTACAGCAAGACGATGGGGATGAGTGCCAAGGCCAAGGTGATCCACCGGTATTTGCCGCGCGAGGTGGGCGAATTGGCGGTGTATTACGTGTGGTTGGCGATGCCGTTTTGGCGCATGGTAGTGCAGAGGGCGAGCGAGGGCGCGGCGATTTGGGGTAGCCCATACATTTGGGAGCCGCAAGCCGACCAGGCGTGGGCGTTCCCGGAGATCAAGGAGGAGGGTGGCAAGAGGGGCGGCAAGAGAAAGCAGAGAGCGGTAGCGCAGGGGGCGAGGAAGAAGAAGAAGAGAAGGATACAGGCACCGGGACGATCGGGGCCGTCGGCTAGCGCGGTAGGCGACGACGAAGAGGGAGAGGCGTTCGAGCGAGAGTATGGAGGAGAGCACGGAGAAGAGGGGGCCGGGCAGGCGATATGGAGTCAGCCGGATACGTGGAGTACGGACCGGATCAGCCGGCAGATCGGCAAGGTATCGTCGCAGTACATGGGGGAGAAGCTGAGCATCTTGTCGTGGCGGCACAGCGTCAAGGCGATTTATCGGCGGTACATCAAGAACAAGGCGATCATGGACATCATCCAGCACGCGGATACGGCGGAGGGGGAGGACGAAGAGGGCCAAGATCTCGCTGGGCGGCCGGTCGGGGACGCGTTCCACGGGCAGAGCGGGCACGGGGCGCGGATTGGCGAGGGCATTTACGGTCGTTCGATGGACGAGTCGCTGTTCAGCACGGAGGCGCGGCGGATCGGGTTCCGGCGGGTGAGCCGCGAGTGGCACGCGTTTTGCATGTTTGATTCGGTGTTGCGGGAGAGCGGCGGTGGTCGGGCGAGGCCGTCGCGGTTGACGGACGTAGCGCGGCAGGCGGCGGAGGAGGAGGAGCGGCGGTGGATGAAGATGCGGCAGGTGGACGTCGGGGCGGAGTTGCGGCGGATGTTGGGGCCGTCGGCACGGTTCCGCGGGGTGCAGGAGGCGGCATTGGGGGCGATCATGCGGCAAGAGAGCCCGATCGTGGTGGTGATGGGCACGGGCGGGGGCAAGAGCATGTTGTTCATGCTGCCGGCGGCGTGCGCGGCGGCGGCGGGCGGGTTAACGGTGGTGATAGTACCGCTGGTATCGTTGCGGGGTGATATCAAGGACCGGTGCGACGAGTTGGGGATCGAGTGCGTGGAGTGGAGCGGGCGGCGGCCGCACGAGTGGGCGTCGGTGGTGTTGGTGACGCCGGAGGCG